TTCGTCTTGAGTCATGCCTGCATTTACTTCAGCTGGACCTCAGCAATGTCTCAAATAATTGCATTGTCCTAGTTGTTCATTTAATTTCAGCTTCAGGCCAATCATTCGTCAAAGAGTCCATTTGGTGACAGAGAAGAGCTCCGAGTCACCATCTTCGCAAAATCCCACATCGGCAGGCGCGATGAGATTTTCGTAGTCTGGACATTCGAGTATAGATGTCTACTAGCCCATTCCATAATTTCACTGCAGCCCACTAATAAGTCCCCAGATTGGACAGCGATCGACATTACTTATTCTTTTCAACGGCATGCTTGACAGCTTGACAGGCTTATGGTTCAACAATCCGCGGATAGCTTCACACGCTTCCGTGCGATTTTCAGATTTGGTGATAACTGCTCAGGGAGCTTCCTCTTCAATATGCTCAGGCATTAAGCGGACCACAGACCCATGGGTTGTAAGCTTTGACGCCAGGATATGGCTGGGATTGGGGTCGTGAAAGACCAATGCAAGATCCCTTTAGGCGCGAAGCGGAGTGTAGCAAAATGCAAGGGCCATCTGGCTTGTCCCCGGGATTTCGGGCGGGTGTCGGATGATGTGTTCGAAGAGATCTACAATTTCCGCGAGCTCGATGCCCTCAAAGCTCTGCACTAATCGAAGGTGGCGTAGCCTGGGCGTTTCTGTCAACATACCCTGCCGGCTGATTCATACCTAGATCTATGGATACGGTAGGCGAGAGATGTTGGTGCCGAACGGCTCTACTTGACAGTATCGCTGGACCTGACATCTTACTATGTCTTATTTCCATGTGTTCTCCTCTCTCCCACTAGCTCTGCGAATGACCTTTTGACGATGTATGCGCTAAATCAAATCTCAGCGATGCTACAATTCTCACAGCTCAGCATCCTCCACGATCATCGGAGAATCAACCCACTCATTATACCTAGTATTCTCCGGGCAACTCAAACCCGATGACGATACTCCTTCTTCAACGGCGCAATCCCCAAGCGGATATTATACGACTCGGGCTCAAACGACCCAAAGTCATAGACCATGTAGAAGTTCTGCATCCAATGCTGCCCGAAGATCGTGTTGAAGCTGTTCCAGGCGTTGAACGGGGGGAAGCAGTGGTCATCGTCCTGGTAGCCGGGCACCGCCAACTGGTCACCGGTGAGAGTAAAGGTGGGCGCCTCGCCATAGAATCCGATAGTGAAGGAGACAGACCAGGTCTTGTTGAACTCGGAACACAGCGGCCGGTACCCGTTGAGGAGATCCGAATACTTGAATGGAGTCATCGCGTAGACTTCGTCGATGTATTGTTCGGGGATTTCGATCGATGAAGCTCCTTCACATTGAGATTGGATTATCAGATAAGGTCCCTGTTCCTTGGGGAGGATGTTGCTTACCAGTATCGAAGATGGCAGTCCCGTACCAGTTGAGCAGCTCAGTGGACTGATTCTTGCCGTCGCTGGTGGTGTTGTGGCCCTGCATGCCGTACAGCCCCGTCTTGAAGATCTCAAAGGGCGACTCGGTTTGGAGCCACTGCAGCTCGCCGTCGGCGTAGATATCCTCGTGGCTTCCGCCCAGCGTGAAGACGCCGTTGTTCTCGGGGTTGGGCTCGGATGTGGTGGAGACGCCCTTGCCCGCGTAGATGGCGAACCGGGGCTGGTCCAGCAGTCCGTCCTGCATCATCTGCTCGAAGGGGGCGGTCGCGTTGTTGATCGCGATCGTCGAGGAGCCGAGACCCAGGAACCCATCGGCGCCCAGCGCAGCCCAGGTGCTGTCGGTGGCGACGAGGAAGGACTGCCGATAGGAGACGTTGGTTCCGGGGATGCTGAGGATGTCGGACGCGCTGTAGCCCTCAACGGTACCCCCGCTGTATTCGATGGAGCCATTGAGGCCGAGGTTCTTTCCTGTAGATGTGAGATTGTATTTGTGGCGGGGGTATCTTGCGGTCGGCGTGAGCTTCGGATATCAAAAGATTGGAAGATGGGTGTAACTATACCCGCTGCCGTTGGGACAATCATCGTCGGTACACTTGCCGTCCAGCACCCAGAGGTCCGTTGACCCGGTGTCATAGAGCAGATCATAAGGGCCACCGGGGGTGCCCAGGTCTACCTCAATGGTTCTCTGTAAAGAGTCAGGAGCATGAACCGCCATTCTCATTTGAGCAGGAACTTACATAGCCATTGCGGACTTTGATATCGAGATCGATTACGCTGCCTAAAGAGGCGGTGGCCAGTACAGGTGCAAGAAGAAGGGATCGCAAGACCATGTTGAGTTGTTAACACTTCAATTGTGGTAAGACTTGTCGAAGAATGTAGATCTTTTCCGGGCCTTAAGTAGGGCATCAGGGGCGGCAGTCCCGGAGTCCCCAATGCCAAGTCTTCTAGAATAATGTGAGACAATCGGCGGGTGGTGGAGATTCCAGACCCTGAAGGACAAATTAGCTACTCTGTGTGGAATGAGTTTGAAACAGCTTGTCTCAATGTTCTATTTCTGTGCCTTGCGAACCCACTTCCCTGCCCTGCTTGCCTCTTTACCTCGGCCAAGCACCGCAGTAGTTAGAGCTTGTCGTCCCTTTTCTCATCAGTAGCCAGGGTTTCTACACTCAAACTCATCTATCAATGAGGGGCAGAACTAAAAGGACGACAGATGAGAGTCGAGCGATGTAGTTGTGATCTCCTTTGGCTCCGGGATCGGAGTCAGTCTTTCTGGCCTGAAGTGGGGTCAGCCCTAGCTACTTGAGTAGACAGCTGAGGGCGGCAGAATTGCATAGCATAAGTGATTCATGTGGTCAGCATGGGTACCACACAGTGCAATAGTCACCATTTATCAGTTATCATCAATCCGTTGATCACGATCAAAAACTCTGAAGCCCGGGTTTGTAAACCCATCGGAAACCCAGTTCCGTTGATGCGGGGAAAATCCTCGGTTTAAAGACGCTACTCACCACCACCCATGGACAGCAGAAATCAACCATTAACATATACTTCATAACCACCGGTTACAATGTTGGCAAACAAGCAAGCCATTGGCTCCAAGTCCTTGGGTCAGCATCCCAGTCACACCCTCGACCAAAAGATCTTGGTCGCATCGCGGCAGGGCTTCACCGGCATCGAGGTCGTGTACTCCGATCTCGCCGACTTTGCGCAACATCTAAACATCTCCATCCACGAAGCGGCCAAAGTAACAAGAGATCTCTGCGCGGCGCACCGAGTCGAAATCATCTCCCTGGCGCCCTTTGAAAATTTCGAGGGTGGCAGCTTGCCCTTATCCGAACGACTCGCTACCGCTAAGCACTGGTTGCAGCTGGCGCGCACCCTCCAGGCAACCTATCTTCAGGTTCCCTCATACTACAACCCCGACGGCAGCACGGACGAGAAGGTGGTCGTATCCGATCTACAGCAACTGGCGGATCTCGCCAGTGCCGAGCAGCCAGTCATCTCCGTTGCGTACGAGTACCTCTCGTGGGGGGTCCTCTGCTCCACCTGGGAGACAGCCCTTCGTATTGTAAACGCGGTGGACCGACCGAACTTTGGCTTGTGCCTCGATAACTTCCACGAGCATACCAAGCTATGGGGCAGTAATATGGAGAAGTCAGGAAAGCTCCCGACGGGCGATCGGGATCTGGAGGCGTCTCTAAAGCGGTTCAGTGAGCAGTGCCCTCTGGAGAAGATCTTTTATGTGCAATTGTCCGATGCGGAGCGCTTCGACCCGCCGCTGTCGGAGGCGCATCCGTGGTACCTGCAGGGTGAGGCCCCTCAATTCACCTGGTCGAAGCATGCGAGGCCTTTTCCAATGGAGGCGGAGCTGGGTGGTTATCTCCCTATTTTAGAGACCGTCAGGACGTGGGTTGTGGATAAGGGATTCAAGGGATGGGTTTCGATGGAGGTGTTTGACTGGCGGATGCGCAGCGCGGAGCACAAGCCGGGGGATGCAGCCAGGCGGGCGAGAGTGTCATGGGAGAAGATCCAGCACGGACTATCGGGAAAGACGGGAGATAGGCCCCTCAAGGCACATTATTAGAGGCTGGCATCTCTTTTAGTGTTGAATGTTAAATGAGTTAGATGCATGAATTTCTCCATAGTGAAGAGCTTGTTCTTCTGTTACTTGTCCCGATCAGGAAACTTCGGCCGTTGAAACCACGGAAATAGTGCACGTGACTCGGCTCTATGGGCTTCGGCCGCGTCACCGGAATGCTTCATCTCCGACCTCTTTCTCTCCCCTTCCCTCTCCTCTCACACCACTTACCCTCCTATCAGACTACTCGAATCAACCTCTTATCGCATCCCTGTCATCACCTAGGTCTATCACGATGGTCATTGAGGCCCCCAAACCACCCACACTGCGCCGATCCTGCCAAGCCTGCGCCCGTGGCAAACGGCGCTGCGACCAGCGCTGGCCGCGCTGCAGCCGCTGCCAGGCCCGCCGGATTGACTGCGAGTACATCAACGTGCCATTGACAGTCAACGCCTCCTCTTCCACCTCTAGCCTCGCCAAGGCCCGAAGTCTCGTTCACACCACCACTCCCTCCTCTTCCTCCTCGATAACACAAGCCAACATATCCCGCCCCCGCAAACCAAGACCATATACCACCACCACGACGATCCCCCCACCCCTGCCCCCCTTGGAGATCACCAAAGGCTACTCCCCGACCGTGATCTCCTTCCTCATCTCCGGCATGCGCCAATACCCCCTCACCTTCGCCTCCTCCCTCAAAACCCATTTCATCCACCCCGACCTGTGGCCGAGCGCCTCCACCCCACCCCCACCCCTACAAGACATCTACAGCCTGTGTAAACACTATCACTCCTCACTCTTCAGTCCCAGAACCCACCAGCGAAAAGAGATCCAGTGCCTCTTACACCAGAAATCCCGCTCCCTGCACCGCCACCTCGCGCGCGCCTCCACCTTCCCTGACCTGCTCGCCAGCGCCCAAGCCCTCCTCCTCATCCAGTGCATCCTCCTCCTCTCCCCGCCGCTCCATGCGTCCGACCCGACCGAGACCCAGCAGCAGCACGACACCGAATACCAGGAGTCCATCAGCGAGATGCTCCTGAACCTGGGGCATCGGCTGTGGGTCCAGGCGCCCGTGCAGCTGCCGGCGACGCTCAGCCCGCGCCGCGCGTGGCTGTTCGCCGAGAGCGTGCGCCGCACGATCATCGTCGGGTTCATGCTGCGCAGCGTGTACTCGCTGCGGACGCGGAACTACTCGGTGCGCACGCCGTTCGTGGACGCGTTGCCGTTCGACGTGCGGACGGGGCTGTGGGATGCTGCGGACGAGGAAGGGGTCGTCACGGACGAGCTGTGGGGGTCCAGTGAGGGGGCGATGGTCTCGTTACACGGGTATTCGGGCATGTTGGAGCAAGGGCAGGTGCATGGGATCGGGGCGTTCGCCGGGTTGATCCTCGCGGCGTGTCGGGGCAAGCAGGTAGCGGATGTCGCGAGGGGGTTTCCTACGCCTCCGCCTGCCTCTTTGGTAGTGGAGGTGTGAGAGTATACATTATGAGTGAACCATGAACAAAAAAAACAATTCAAAGCCGGCAAGGTACGTCATGCAAATAAAACAATCAAATTTCTACTCCTATATGCAACATGCACCACAAAAGCAAACATCACATTTCATCCATCATAAACCTGACTTCATCCATTTGCAGAAGTGGCTCTTACTCGCGCAAGAACTGCTTCAACAAACCCGACAACAACTCGGTCATCCCCTTGTACAACTCCTGGCGCTTGACCTCGAAGGCCTGGAAGATCTCGGCGGCGGAGCCGACGGGGATCTGGTCCTCGCCCTTGCCGAGCCGGGCCCAGACCTCGTCCACGAACTCCTGCAACGGCATGCCGATGAGGTGGCCGTCCTTGAGGTCGGGCTGGTGCTTGGCGTCGTGCAGCTCGGTCTGCACGGCGGGCGGGTAGATCTCCAGCACGCGGACGTTGCCGGCGCCCTCCTGCAGCTGCGTGCGCAGCGCCAGGATGAAGTGGTGCAGCGCCGCCTTGGAGGCGCCGTAGTTGGGGCACCGCATCATGGGCACTAGCGCCATCTGCGAGGTCGTGTAGACCAGCGCCGTCGGGCGGGGCTGCTGCTGCAGGTGCGGCAGGAACGCCTTGGTAAGGCGCACCGCCGACGTGTAGTTGGTGATCAGCTCCTGGTCGAAGACGTCCAGGTCCACCGTCTCGGGCTTCGCGAAGTCGAACGGCCGCTGGATGCCGCTGTTCACGAAGATGCAGTCCAGGTCCGGGTGGGCGGCGGTGATGGTGGCGGCGAATTCGGGGATCTTTGCGGGATGGTTAGTGGTTTGTGTTCGCTTGGAGTGAGGGTTGGGGAAGGGTTGGGGGGGCTCCTTCCTACCTTCTCGAGCTGCATCACGTCGAAGACCGCAGAGTCGACCTTGTCGCTGCCGTGCTGGGCGACGAACGCATCCAGGTTCTCCTTGCGGCGGCCGGCGACCACCACGCGGATGCCATTCTCAACCAGCTTGGTGGCTAGGGACTTGCCGATGCCGGAGGTGGCGCCGATGATGAGGACCTTCTGGTAGGGGAAAGACATGATTGTTGTGATGTTTCTTGTGTCAAATGAAGAGAACAATTAGAAGGAGGAGAAGAAGAAGAGACAGTAGTGATCACACTAATAGTAAAAAGAGCTTGACTGATGAATAACTCTCCCAACCCGGCCGCCAGCCCGGTATTTATCGTCTGGGGGGGGCAGAGGAAGGGCTCGGATGGCGTAACTGGTTAACTGGTAACTGAAGCTGCAACGGAGACTAAGCCTAATCCGATCGGACCCCAGCCAAGACATCCGCGCGGAGACTAGACCCAATCCGGCAATCTGAATCGGATCTTGCTGGGTCGGTTCGCTACCCGAGACGTTGGTACCAGTAAGCTTTTTTTTTTCGTCTTCACATTTGCCCCGGCTGGACTTGGAAGTGTTCAGAAAGAAGGAGAAATTTGAGATGCCGTGTTTATTAATTCGATGATTTGTCAGGGTCTGGTTTTTCGGGGTGATGAGGTGGAAACGGGGGTATCGGAGATAAGGGAGTGGGAAATTCGACATTGCCTCCTCCGTGACATCGTATGCATGATTGCGTCGGATACGGATCATTGGGGGGTGGATGTTATCTTCAGGGGGTATACTGTCTTCCCCCCTCCCCTGCTTGCGTGGGCGAGGTCGAAGGTTCTAGGACTTGCGAGAGCCATAGTCAGCCCACTTTAGCACCAACTATGTGCTCATTGCATCCCCCTGAGCAATAACCTCCATCAACTCCTCCCGATCAACACTGCTCTCCACCAGCCCCCGAAACACCCCCTCCGAATTAGCGATCAATTCTCTGGGAGACCCGTCCTCAACAATCCGTCCCGCGTCCAGCACCAGCACCCGATCAAAGTCCACGATCGTGCGCAGGCGGTGGGCAATCACCAGCACCGAGGAGTAATTCCCCCCGAACTCCGCCCGGATCGAGGCCTGGATCACTGCGTCCGTGGTCTTGTCGATGGCCGAGGTAGCCTCGTCCAGCACCAGGATCTTCGGACGCCGCAGGATGGCCCGCGCCAGGCAGAGGGTTTGTCGCTGGCCCTGGGAGAAATTGCCACCGCGTTCGGAGACCCTAGTGTTGAGGACGTTGCGGGGGAGGTGCGCGTGGGGCTCGAGGGATTCGAGAGGGATGTTGCTGTCGCTGTCGCTGTCACCGATGACCTCGGGGTCATCGTGGTGCCGGGCTGTGGAGGTGGCTCGAGGGAGAAGTGTGTCCGGAATGGTCCAGTGCACGCGCTGGAGGGCGGTGAAGAGGTCACGGTTGGAGTATTCGTTGAACGGGTCGAGGTTCGACTTGATGGTGCCCGAGAAGAGGACGGGGTCCTGGGGCACGATGGCCAGCCGCGAGCGGAGGTCGTGGAGTGGGATCGTGCTGATGTCGACGCCGTCGACGCGGACACTGCCCTCTTGGGCTTCGAGGAATCGGAACAGCGCCATTGCCAGTGAGGACTTGCCGGCCCCGGTGCGGCCCACGACCCCCACGCGGGTGTTCGGTGGGATGGAGAAGGTGAGGTTCGATAGCACGGGCGGGAGCTCGGGGGTGTAGCACACGGTCAACTCGGACACGTCGAGTCGGCCCTCCGTGGGCCAGGACGCTGCCACTGGAGTGGGACTGTCGTACTTCTCCTTCGGGGTATCCAGAGACCCCGCAACTCGTTCGACGCTGTTCAGCGAGATCTCAAGGTTGGCGTACTGCCGGATCGCTTGGGACATGATCGCGCTGTATCGCATGATGAAGCTGATGGCGAATCCCGCGGTCGCGGCTGTCACGCCGTTCGTGCAGAGGACCAGCGCTGACCCAAGGGTCGTGAAGATGGCGCCAATCGTGCTGGCTCGCATGGAGATCCAACGGGTTAGGAGCCATAGGCTCCACGAGGCGCGGCAGTGGCGGTCAATATGTGCATGCATCTCGTCGCGGTAGGTCTCTTGTTGTTGGTAGGCGCGGATGGTCATGATACCGTCTACGGTCGCACACAGATGATTGAGGATGGGGCTTCGCATCCGGCTTTCTAGTTCCTTGACAGCGCGGATCTTCCTGATGAACTTCCGCCCGTAGTATGTGGCCAGAAGAAGCGAGCCCAGTGACAGAAGATTGAGCCAGACATTCACGATTGACGCTGCCAATACGATGACAAGGAGATCGACAACAAGCCCGAGAGCATAGTTGAGATCATAGCCCAGTCGAGAATCGATCAGGCTGAAATCGGTGGAGAAATTGTTCAGGATATTCCCGGTGGGGAGCTTGTCGAGCCATTGTAGGGGTGCACGAAGGATCGAGTCGAGGAAGCGATGGAAGAGTCGTCGAGACATCTGCAGTACGATACGTATGGCTAGGAAGCTCCGTGCCACAGTGACCAAGCACGAGACAATTGCAAGAGTCAGATAGATAGAAAGGAACCATCTCACGTCACTTGTCACCGCCGTGGATTTCATCTCCAAGGATTCTTCGGCCTCCCCCGCAGATGGACCGCTGTTGTTACTCCAGACCATCATCCAAAGACCCTGTCCATGTCAGTCACAACCATAAACCAAGCGAGAGAGTTATAACTTACTCGTCCTACGCCCAGCCCGCTGTATAAGAGATACAGTCCTAGGAGTATCATGCAGCGATATCCAGCGCCCGAGAGCTTGAAAATCCTTTGGCGGATCTGCCATTTGCTGATCCGCGCGGCATCAACCTGACCCCGGTCTTCCAATAAAGTCTGCTCTTGCTCTGAAGGTAAAAGAGTGCCACCCCAAGGCGCCTCTTCAGACAAACAACCGCCAATATCCTGCGTATTCCTCGAAAGTAAAGGCTTCTCTTCACGCATCGCGGCAGAAGGCATCTCACTAAAGATTCCCATCTCTTTCAGATTCTTCCGAGGCCCAGCATATCGCAGCCCTGACTCATCCAGAGCAACAACATACTCCGCACCTGGGAGACACAGCTCAAGATGGTACGTCGCCAGTATGCGCGTCCGTCCCTGGACAAGGCTTCCCATGAGCGCATGCTCGTATAGATGTTGTGCGGTCTGTGCATCGATCGAACTGAAAATGTCATCTAGCACAAGGATCTCGGCACTGGAGTAAAGCGCGCGTGCAAGTGAAACACGCCATAGCTGTCCCCCGCTCAGGTTGCTGCCTTGCGGCCCCATCTCGGTCTTGTCCTTCATGTCCATCAGCTCTAAGTCGCGATCCAGAGCGCACGCTGAAACCACGCTCTGATAGCGATCTTGGTCAAACGGGCTGCCAAAGAGGATGTTGTCTCGAACAGTGCCGCTGCGGATGCAGGGTTCCTGGGGGACGAAGGCGATAGCCGAAGATGGCGGTCTCCGCATTTGGCCGGCAAGAAACTCACATTCGTTTAGAATAGCGGCGAGAATGAGACTTTTACCCGAGCCTGACGGGCCAGTCACAACGCTTAACGCACCCGCGGGGAATAGGAGTGTGAGATCGTTCAGTTTGAAGGCCCCGCGGAGGTGGCGGTTCGTCCAGGAAAGTGTCGCTTGGTCCAAGACCACGTCATCCGCCGATGGGACTTGGAGACGCTGGTCAGGAGAGCGTAGGAATTTCTCAATCCGTCGAAGGCTTACTTGCGCGCTGGTAGCGCTTAGCAGGATCTGCGGAAGGACAGCCAGAGGCGTAGTCAGAGCACCGAGAAGAGAGATGGAAGTGAAGGCGATGGAAGCAGGCATCCCTTCATGGAAGATTGCATACGTGCCCAAGCATGCGGCAGATACCAGAACAGGGGCAACATTGTAAGTGACGAACATCAACAGCTCCCAAATGTAGACCTGCCATTGGCTTTCCAGTTCTTTGTCGCGCAAGCCGTTGATGCAACCCTCCCACTTGTCCTCCAACGCAGACATCTTGACCTGCCGGATGCCTTGCAATACCTCGATTATGGTTGCCATCTTCTTGTCGCGGGATTTCAAGAGAGCCTTCTGCGTACCAGCATACTTGTACACAGCGTGTATGTTGCCTGCGGTGACAAGCAAAAAGACCACTGCACCGGCCGCAAGACTTCGCAGTCCCAGTAAGCGACCGATCGAGATGGCTGCGATTATGATTCTGAGTGGCGCATCGCAGAGCATAAAGCCAAGGGCAGAAAAGTCGGCTACCCTTTTCGCATCAACGGCCACGAGATTCATGGTACCTTGCTCCCCCTCGTCGTTGCTCATTGCGACCGGTGTGCTCCGAGCAGTCTTGGCACTCAGAACCTTATCGTAAATAGCTGCTGACAGCTGTTCCTGGAGCCGCACAGCGATTCGGTTGGAGGAATGGTAGTAATTCCAGTTTTCAAGGAGTGCCGAGAAAATGAGTGAGGCGCCAAGTCCGATGATGGGTAGCCATAACCAAGAGTCGTTGGGATCATTCTCTAGTCGCTGCAGGATATTGAGGATGGCATATTGAGGCGCAAAAGACACAACTGCATGGATCAGAGTCAGGCAGAGCTGGAAAGCTAGAGGTTTGCGATGGCAGATGCAGAGGAATTTCCACAGGCTTGTGCCGGAAGGGTAGGCTGCGCGAGCCTCGCGCATGAGATCGGAAAGAGTCGACGTTCGGTTGGAGTATTCTAACTCGGGGACCTCTTGAACATTGAGGTGTTTCTGACCGGAAGACAAGGAAACATGTAACCAGCTGAATGATAGTCTTTTGAGGAGGGAAGTCGATGATTTGCGATCCACCAGGGTACCATCGCGATAGACGTCCGGACGACGCGGGATGGAAGCAGCCGCGATGCAGGCACCGATCGCAGCGCATATTTGCCCTAACAGGAAGAACCGCTGGGAAGCAGAGAGCTCATCGGCCTCATGATAGCGATATGCCTCGCTGGTAAGCATGGCCAGCATAGCAAGACAGCCGACACTGACCCAGCAGCCATGCGTAAAACGAGTCGTATATTCTCTCTCCAGCATTACAACTGACAGGCTGATCACCAGCATCACCCACGCAGCGATGCGCAGCCATACTAACCAGGTAAAGGCGGGATTTGAGGTGATAGCACGGACGACGATCTCGGTTACCGACAAGCAGACCCCGGTGGCAGTCGCGATAAGCAGAACAGTGCAAGGTGCCTTGTCGGAAAAGGCCCGAATGGATTCGGGAGTAGCATGACCATCTTTGTCATGATAGTCGGTTTGTGAGTCGTCTTGGAGTGGGAGTGACAGGCGATGTTGTTTGTGTCGGGGTCGATACCGAAGGGCGAGAAGGATGGCGGCGCGTCCGCCCACAATCGCCGAAAGGCCGAAGCCGATCACGTGAAGCACGAGCAGAGCCATTTTTGTCTTTCGTCCCGCGCAGCAGCAGGGCAGCTCACAGCCCGAGAGTGCATTCTTGCTGCATTCAATGCAGTGTGCAGAAGACAGATGACAGAACTCTGGAGGGTTCAAAGACACTCCAGATCAGGCTGCCGGATTAATCAAACAAATATGGGGGACTGGGGGGAGAGAATTCGGAATTCGGAGCAGAGAAAACTCAGGAGTGGCTGACGTAGACTCTTTCATCAGTTCCTCCACTCCTCGGGCGTCTTGCCCTAACTCGGTTGGTCTCATCCTCGTGCATCGCAACCCCCCCTCCCATTCGGCTAGACAAGGATAGTTGTTGCCATTGCGTGGATGCACGACACCTCGCGGCCGATCTTAGGCAGCTTCTTTGATCTTATCTGATGGGAATTGTCCTTCGGTGATAGCATGATCATCCTTGGATCCGTAGCTGAATTTGGAAACTCGGCCTTCATTACTTTCTCAGGATGTTGTCCAGCTAGTCGGGTGCAATACTCCGTAGTCATGCACTTGGTCGGATGAACTCTCCGATGGCCTTAAGCGGTAAAAGATTATCAGCCTAGCAGCTAACCTTTAGAATCACTTCAGGAAAAATATGTCTCGTTCGATATTCTGGTCCAGTGAAGTATTCCAACCAGCAGAGTGGGTCACACTTGATTGATGGGTGTTGTACGAGCACTTCATTGCGGCAGCTTGGGGACAGCCTTCGACGAAGCTCTTCCTGGTCAGTCGCCAACACCGCACCGACCAGGTCGCTTAGATTTCTGGTTCCTGACCTCAAAAGTGTATGAAACCATTTGGACTGGGTTTACAGTTGGCTCTTGGTGGTGGTTATGTGGTAATCAAATCTTGTCTAGGACAATCGGAAAGATATATAGTGCTAGACCCCCATGGGCAGTGGATTATGAGATACGAACATCAGAATGAATCCATTCGAAGGCATAAAACAGTAGCTCAAAGTGTGTATGCATACAATCCCCGAGCAGTAAGCCTGGAATCAAATTGCTGTGTGAGTTATGTTTTCGGAACTGGGTATGGGTGGAGGAGAAACAAGATAGTGAGCAGGAAAAGTCTCTATAGAGGGAACAATCAAGGGGCAAAACAACAAGAAACAGTCACGTGGTCTAATGGTTATGATTTCTCGTTCACATCCGCTGAACGACCCGAGAAGGTTCCCGGTTCGATCCCGGGCGTGACTATTCTTTTTTTCTTTTCTTTTCCTTCCTCCTCCAAGCATCCACCCCCACCCCCACCATCGTCATCCATTGCCATTATTCATACATCTTGCATGCTTATCAGGTTCCAAATTGCTCTTCACCTTCACAAGTGGAAATTCGTCATCCACTCATTTTCGAGACCAGCACTGATGGCATGACTGAGTACCCCCATCCCCCCCTGCCAAGCAATATCTTCAGCGATTCAGGATTGGTGCTTTCCCCGCACGAAAGACGGTTAAATCTGTTTTGTCTTCAGCCATGGCTCTTCTTCAGGTACTCCAATCAGGAAATTCTCCGGATACCCCGGGCTCTTCATGTCTCTCCCCACCGGAGTATCAGCACAAGCCGTTCCAGGGGCAGAGCTCCTGTGGGGTAACATTTAAGCCGAGACTCCTCGTTTCAACTCGAATTGAAGTGGAAATGTAGCGCTCACCGAGATGTTGACCCTCAGTACCGCTTTCTCACTTGCTTTGGCTGCTGGCCTAGTCCCAGTCACCGCGTTGAACGTCAACACCATCACCTCCAAGTATTTTGGCAACGATGCCCCCTGGTATCGTGACCGCATTCCACTCTTCGAGACCGACCAGACCGTGCTCCAAGATGTCTACTATTACCGCTGGGGTGTCTTCCGCGCTCATCAGCGTGACCTGGGCGCCGAAGGCTACCTGACCACCGAGTTTCTCAACGACGTGAGCTGGCAAAAGAGCCCATGGGCACTGCTGATTGATGCCTCCAACTTCCACCTGCGCGAAGGGCGCTGGTCGCGAGACCGTCGCTTCACCAGCGACTATGGCAACTTCCTGTTCGGGCCCAACGGGATCCAAAACCAGTTCTCCGAGTCCCTCGCCGATGGGGTGTGGCAGGTGTATCTGGTGGACGGCGTCGCTGACGACGCTACGGCCCATCTCTCAGCCATGCAATCCTTCTTTCAGGGTTGGAACTCGACGACCCTCGGGGTTGGCGGCTACGACTCATCGAAAGGCCTGTACTGGATCCAACCCTTGACTGATGCCACCGAGTACACCATCTCCAGCATCGACGCGACCAACGGCACGGACGGTTTCACAGGAGGATACTCCTTCCGTCCCAGCATCAACAGCTACCAATACGCGAACGCGCGCGCGATCGCTCAACTGGCCGAGCTGACGGGTGACACCGCTGTGGCGGACCAGTACAACGCCTACGCCGACACGCTCCAGCGCCTCGTTCAGGCCGACCTCTGGAACAGCACATTCTCCCACTTCATCGACCGCTACGAGGTGAACAACGAGTACGTGACATACTGGGACTTCATCCGCGGCCGAGAGCTCGTCGGCTACGTGCCCTGGGCGCATGACCTCGCGGACGACAATGCCACCTACGCAGCGGCCTGGAGCCACGTTCTGGACTCGGACAAACTGGCTGGGACGCACGGGCTGCGCACCAACGAGCCCAGCTACCAGTACTACATGGTGCAGTATCGCTACGAAGGCACCCACCCGGAGTGCCAGTGGAACGGCCCGGCCTGGCCATACCAGACGACCCAGGTGCTCACGGCGCTGGCCAATCTCCTCGACCATTACCCCAAGTCCGCCGCCACGGGGGTCATCAACCAAGCCGACTACACGCAGATCCTGCTGCAATACGCCCGGCTGCACTACAACCCGGCCCGCGGCGGCATTCTCGACGTGGAAGAAGACTACTATGCCGACACCGGCAGTCCGGTCGTGGGGCTGACGCGCTCGCCGCACTACTTCCACTCCGGCTTCGTCGACGTTATCCTGTCCGGGTTCGTCGGGCTGCGACCCCGCGCCGACAATGTCCTGGAGGTCAACCCGCAGGCCGACAGCGGGACCGTGTCATACTTCCGGGCCGAGCGCATTCTCTACCACGGCCACGAGGTCGCCGTGCAGTGGGACGCCACGGGCAAGCACTACGGCAAGGCCGGGCTCTACGTGGAGGTCGACGGCAAAACGGTCGCCAGCGCGTCGAAGCTGACGCGCCTGACGGCCAACATCACCCGCGCGGCGCCGCCCACCGTCGACCGGCCCATCGCCGTCTCCGTCCAGCTGGGGACCACCACGGAGTATCCGGCGGGAAGTGTCTCGGTCGCCGGGGCGGATGCCGACGACGTGCACGCCGCCATCGACGGCCGAGTCTGGTTCTACCCGGAGACCGACGTAGCTAACGGGTGGGACAGTCCCGCCGGCAACGGCACGGAGATCTGGTACCAGATCAACTTCGGCAGTGCGACGCAGACCGGCCGCGCCGAGATCGCCTTCTTCGCGAATGCCACCCAGGGGTATGCGGTGCCCACCTCGTATCGGATCGAGCAGCTCGACGGAGACTCGTGGACGGCGGTGTCGAAGGCCAAGTATGATAAGCCGCTGGCGAACGGGATTACGAATGCTTCGTGGCAGACGGCGCAGACAAGCCAGGTTAGGCTGGTGTTTACGCCGACAAAGGGGGAGAAGGTGCGCTTGGTCGAGTGGAAGGTCTTCAGCAGTTGATTTTTCCTGATGTATATGGCGAGTACAGGATGGACTCGAAGAATGTTTCCCGTCCCTGCTGAGCCTGTTGTTTGTATCAGTCAGTTCTTTTCGTGTACGAATGTTGATAGTAGTTGTGCGAATTCACTGTGTTTCTGCCTGGGCTCAGACTATACCTTCACGCCTTCACTTCTCAGCCGACCCAGCAGGCACTGCTCCCAACCACCCCGTCATCATCCACAACCCTGTCCCAAAGAACAGAAAGAGCTGGCTCATGATGACGTGACACGAGCTTTCGTTCTAAAAGCCTGCACATATTTGGTAGATAAACTGTATCACCTGCACGGCTTACCGTGACGTCGTCGGCCGAGATGCTTGAAACGTTATTGGCAAGACGGGGCGGAAAAGAGATCGAGGGAGTTTTCCGCGGAATACGGTCGCACATCCAGCTTCAGCCGCGTAGTACAGTACATGATAGAAAAGTGGCGCTCGGCTTAGCTGAAGTAGGAGCATCTTGATGGCGGAGGCAACGAGAATGGGTGGCTGTGGTTGTGGGTGTGGATTTTGTGGGCTTGCATGCGTGGCCTGTGTATTGCGTTGAGGCATATACCATCGGATTGGGATTGGGTACACATTACTTTTGTATCGTCTGAGGTGCTCTAATAAATCAGGAAGGGGTATAAGAAATCCGTGCTGAGGATGCTTTTTATCGAGTACTGTTGAGGTACAGGAGAGTCTCTACCAGGCTGGGTATGGATGGTACAGCGTGAGCTGACATTCAAGTCAATGCTCTGATTATAGGTTGCTAAGGGTAAATACATCCCCAGATAGTGGTGGAAAGATTAGAATATCACTCCACTCAGGTTGATGCAAGCATATCACGTTTGAGGGGTGTTTTTGCCAGTCCTTGGAGAGATACAACTCAATTAGTGTCCTTGTTACCGGTTACTTTACAAGTTACTGACTGCCCTGGAAATATCTCAGATTGTTGAGACTGTGTTGCTCTTTCATGACTAGAGTTCTCCTGCTCGAGACATGATATAATAGTTTCTATGACCTGCCTTTGTCTTTCAAGCTGTTCCCCAATCGGAGGTGATCAGGGTTGAAGAAATTCGGGGTGCCGGGTATGTTCGGTGTAGATATATATCATCCGACGCTGCAGCTATCACGGGTAAGCAGCAATATTTCCAAGCATACAATCATGGGCAGAGTCTGCATGAACCTATGAAGACAATGAGTAAGAGGGGCCAGGCAACCATGGATTAATATAGCACCAATGTTGGCTGTTTTGTTTCACCAGCAGATCCCGAGATTGCCCAACCAGGCCAAGTGGGCGGGGCCGGAGCACCACAACAATGGCTGTTATTGACGGATTCCCCTCATTGATTGATTGATTGATGCATGCATGCATGCCTGCATGCCATTGAGGGCAAGTCAAATGCCCACTAAACTGGAACCGGTAGGATGCTCCTATCTTTGCTGACATTCCCTGCTTTCTGTATGATTTCTTTCTCCAATCATCCAAATAAGCATTCCCCCGACCATACCCTCTCTGGCAAGACCGTCCGCTATGCACGGATGAGGCTGCACTAACCCTCACTAACCCTCACTATTCCTCACTTTAACCACTTTTTAACGCTGCGACTCCACCGCCTCCCGTGCCGATACCCGTTTTTCCTCTTTGGTTCGACTTCATCCTCATCTTCTGCCAACTTCTTTTCTCCCATTCTTGCTGGGATGACCCACTCCGACCGGTCTCGTTTCGGCCAACTCTCGCCCCCGGTCGGGTTCCCGATCATTCCATCTGCTCGATAATGCGCGTCAGTGGCTGTCTGGCGGGTTGTCTGGTATGACCGTTATGTGCCCGGTGAAGTTGACATCACTCCCCATGGAACCTCGGCTGCGGCAATCGGCACTTGAGGGAAGGGAAGGATGCTTTCATCTTGAAGCTTGTACTTCCTTCGCGCCATCATCATCGCTTAGGTTTGATGTACCTGGGACTTCCCCGGGCTAAGCATCCGGGCCGCGTCTGGGCACGACTCATCCGTGGAAATCAGCCGGCGTGGCGTTGATGCCAATTTTGAAGCGGGATTATCGTCCAAGTCTATATCAACATCTGCAGAATGACGATAGTATGGAACTAAGGCTCTCTGCATGCTGTCCTGAGACTGTCTCCCCCTGTCAGGCTCCACCGCCGATCCCTGAGCACAATTGCGCCTGTGTCGACTTTCTATTGAATATGCTCCATTGCTATCGGATGGCGGCATCGTTCGAGAATGGCCTCCACGGCCATACTCGTTGCCTACAAATACCCTCGTCGCCCTCGCATATCTGGGTCATCTTATACACAGCTTAACTCCCGTTGCCTTTACCTAGTCTACAGTTTCTAATAATTCTTCATCTACTTTTTCGTGCTAACGCGCCAACTTCATCTATCCCAGAACCAACCCGCCTTATAGATTTACTCATGTCTGACCTGCCCGGTGAAAGACTCTGGCCCGCGATCGTCGACCACCGCGCGCGCTCATCCCCGTCCGAGCTCGTCGGCCTCATCCCCAAGGGCTCTGAAGTGTCCGATGGCTACCAGGAATTGAGCTTTGCGGGCCTCGCCCGTGCTGTTGATGCGTGCGCTCGCTGGATCGAAGCTCGCATCGGCCGAGCCAAGCAGCCCGAGACCATCGCGTATATGGCCACGAACGACGTGCGGTACTTGGTCTTCATTCTGGCTTCTCACAAGACTGGCTATCAGGTACGACAGTACCCCCAACACTCACTCACCTTGGGCCAGCACTAACCACAACCAGCCTCTTCTTCCCTCTACCCGTCTCTCGGACGACGCCTACAAGCACATCCTCACCGTCACCAAGTGCCAGAAATTCTTCTACACCCCTGACAAGCAGCGTCGTGTGTCGGAGATTCAGACAGCCCAGCCTGAGACCCAACTCTTTGAAGTCCCCTCTCTGAGCGAGTTCCTCGAATCCGAAAGTTCCCCTTACCCCTTCGAAAAGTCCTACCAAGAAGCAGAGGATGAGGTGGCCATTATCATCCACAGTTCCGGGACAACGGGCATGCCCAAGCCCGTGCCTCTCACGCACGGCTTCCTCGCAACCATGGACATGGGCGCCTATCTCTCGCGCCCTCAAGGCCGTCAGTCCTCGATGTTTCACGATCTCCAAGCGGGACAGCTGGTGATGTCGACGACGCCGTTGTTCCACCTGATGGGCCTCATCGCCTTCACCGAAGCTCTGTTCCACGAGATCCCATTCGTCATGTGTCCCGACAAGCCCCTGTCAGTGGACATCATTGTCGACGTGATTCAAGCCACGCAACCCACCGCCGTCCTGCTACCGCCATCGATCCTGGAAGACATGAGCCATTCCGCCGACGCGCGCGCCGCACTCCGAACTCTGGAGGCCGTCTACTTCGCGGGCGCGCCGCTCGCCCCGGAGGCGGGCGACCTGCTCGAGCAGGACACCAAGGTCATCACCGTGATTGGATCCAGCGAGATGGGGCTCATCAGCTCCTTTGTGCCGCAAGGCGAGAAGGTCTGGGGCTACTTCGAGTGGAACCCGGCGTACGGCGTCGAGATGCAGCCGCAGGGGGATGGACTGTACGAGCTGGTGATCCGCCGGCGCGCCGACAGCCGGCGCATCCACGGCATCTTCCACACCTTCCCCGACCTAAACGAATATCACACCAACGACCTCTTTGTGCAGCACCCCGAGCGGCCAAACCTGTGGAAGTACCACGGCCGCAAGGATGACGTCCTCGTCCTGAGCAACGGCGAGAAGCTCAACCCCGTGACGCTGGAGAAGACGGTCGAGGGCCACCCACGCGTCAAGCACGCCCTGGTGATCGGCCAGAGCCGCTTTCAGACGGCGCTGCTGGTCGAGCCCAGCGAGCCCGTGACCGACGAGAAGGCGTTCATCGAGGCCATCTGGCCCACGGTGGAGCGGGCCAACGAGACGGTGCCCAAGTACGGACGGGTGTCGAAGAACAAGATCCGGCTGGCCTCGCCCGCCAAGCCATTCCAGGTGACTCCCAAGGGCACGACCAAGCGCCGCGCCGTCAACAGTGACTACGCGGAGGAGATCGAGGCCATCTACGCCGCCGCCGCCGCGGCCGAGGCGGCCGGCGTGCCCCAGCTGCCGGACACACTGGACCTGGCGCACCTGTGCGAGTACGTGCGCAGCCTCGTCGCCGAGCTCCTCGCCCGCGCCGACCTGGCGGACGACGAGGACCTCTACGCCGCCGGCTTGGACTCGCTGCAGACGATCCAGCTGGCGCGGACGCTGCAGACGGCGGTCTCCAACCGCCTCACCGACACCCCCGTCGCAATCAACCAGCAGCAGATCTACGCCCACCCGAGCGTCGCCCAACTGGGCCAGTATCTGGTCGACCTCGTGCACGGCCAAACCAGCACGACGACCATCTCCCGCCACGAGCGCATCGCCAACATGATCGAGAAATATGCCTCCCAACTCCCGCCCCCCAAACCACTGCCCACCTCTCTCCCCGACAAATCCACCGTCATCCTGACCGGCTCGACCGGCTCCCTAGGCACCTACCTCCTCCACCGGCTGCTGACCTCCCCCACGGTCGCGAAGGTCTACTGCTTCAACCGCAGCGCGACGGCCGCGGAACGCCAACGCGAGAGCTTCACCACCAAAGGTCTAGACGCGGGCCTCCTCTCCGACACCAACCGCGTGGAATTCCTAACCGTCGCCTTCGGCGCGGCGCACTTCGGCCTCCCCGACACGACCTACACCTCCCTCCTGGAGTCCGTGGACCTGATCATCCACAACGCGTGGAAGGTCAACTTCAACCACCCACTGGAGTCGTTCGAGGACCCGCACCTGCGGGGCGTGCTGGAGTTCCTGCGATTCAGCCACGCCAGCGCGCACCGTGCGCACGTGGCGTTCGTGTCCAGCGTGAGCACGATCGGGAGCTGGAGGGCGGAGATGGGCCGGGTGGTGCCCGAGGCTCCCGTCGAGGACGTGCGCGCGGTGCTGGAGCAGGGCTACGGGGAGTCGAAGTTCGTCAGCGAGCGGCTGTGCTGGGCGGCGGCGCAGCGCTCGGGGATCCCGACGACGGTGCTCCGCGTGGGCCAGATCGGGGGGCCGACCACCCGGCAGGGGAAGTGGAATGTGGACGAGTGGGTGCCCAACCTGGTCAAGACGAGCGTGGCCATGGGCAAGGTGCCCAAGGATCTGGGCGGGTATGCCGTCGATTGGGTGCCGGTGGTGAGTATCCTCCCCCTTTCCTGATCTCAAAACATATGAAAACATAAGAAAGAGGCACTCACACACACACACACACACGCAAAGAAAAGAAACAGAAAGCTAACAAGGTTGATGGCACAGGACACCCTCGCCACCATCACCACAGAGCTCACGCACACCCGCCGCGGCGAACAATCCCACACCCCCCACCGCGTCTACCACCTCGTCAACCCGACCAAGACCGCCTGGGCCGACCTCGTGCCCGCCATCCAGGCCAAATACCCCCACGTGCAGGCGGTGGGCTTCGACGCCTGGCTCCAGGAGCTGGAGGGCATCCCCTCGCCCAGCGAGGAGGAGGTCCGCGCGAAGCCGGCGCTGAAGCTGCTGGATTTCTACCGCGGGCTGAGTGGGAGCGTGCTGTCGGCGGAGATTGCGGTGGAGCGGACGAGGCAGGGGAGTGAGACGATGGCGAGGTTGGGGGGTGTGACGGGGGAGTTGATGGGGAATTGGTTGGAGCAGTGGGGGTTTTGATTGTTTCGTTTCCTTGCTTGAAGTCTTGATTCGTGGGTGTTGGCGGGGAGAATGCGCAAGGGAGGAGAAACAGTAGGAAAGTGGAAGCTGGGGGTTGGAGGGTTGGCGCGTGTCTAACACATGCATGCATATCTGCGGCCGGCGCCTTTTTTTTCTTTCTGTTAATTTTAGCATACTGTATAGACTTTAGCGTAGCAAAGAATGCATATCTTGGTCTTTTTTGCTTGGATGATACTCGGTGCGTACGTAGGCGATATGAGTAAAGTGAAGATTTTGACTTTGTCCCTGGCAGATTTCACTTCCTTGCTTCCAGACAACAACCACACAATCACAACAACGTTTCGTGGAACAGAGTCCCCAAGGCAGGGGGTATATAAAGGCCACATTCCCCAGCACACTCTCCCAGCAATTCAGACCAACCCTCCTACCCAAGTCCGAACCAAACCATCCCAGAAAGTCAGTCCCCCCCCCCCAACCGCCTCCCACAGTATAAGGTCAACCCTAATTCCCTGAAAAGACATTAAAATGAAGCTCACCACAATCCTCCTCCCCCTCATCACCACGGCCACGGCCACAACCACCTGCTACTCGGGCGCGCCCACCAGCGAAGGCACCAACTGCCTGAGCAAGCTGGCGATCAAGAACTTCTGGTCGCTGCAGTACTGCAATTACCGGTGGAACGTCAACTACGGGGACTGGGACAAGTGGATCAGCAACAACGCCAGCCACGTGGAGCGCGGCCGGGTGGCCAAGACGGGGGTGTTCGGGGGCATGGAGGAGTGCCTGGATGCGTTCAAGGAGGTCGTCGAGCCGTGCTACGACACCGCGCAGGGGGCGTACCTGACGACAGCGAATGTGAGCCTGGAGGTGAATTGGTGTCAGTGGTGATTTCTTCCCTTTCCTCCCTCTCTCTCTTAAGGAGGGGTATGGGTTGGGATTTCAGGGGGGCGAACGGAAGTTTGTGGGGTGGTGGTGTTTGTTGATAGTCGAGGGGAATGGGATATAGTTATGAAGGTCATGAAGCTTGATGTGATGTGAACGCAGTATACAACAACGGGTTACTTGTGAGAGGTCAACAGTGTCATGGACGTGGTATAAGATACACCCCCTACTAAATACACACCACAATGAACTTATATACAACTCCCCTAACTTCCCTACCTCTACCTTCATCTCATCGGTGGCGACACGACTAATCATCATTGAAGTCGTAGAAGCTATTCGCCGTCCACCCATCCACCGCCGTATAATCCGCCAACGGACTCGTGCCATGCAGCACCTCGTACCGCTTCCGGCCCTCACAGCTGCCCGTGTAGTTGCCCGCCAGACACTTGCCGCGCAACAGCCGGCCGACCTCCTGCGCGGCCGCGCGGCCCTCGAACCAGGCCCCGTGCAGGTACCCAAAGTAGCCGGCGCTGGTGGCCTCGCCGGCGAACCACACCCGGTCGACATTGGCGCGCAGGTTCTCGTGCATCTCCAGCGTCACGGCGGGCGGCCAGTTGGAGTAGGTCCCGAACGCCCAGGGCTCGGTGGACCAGCGCGGGTAGTGGAAGGCGACGGGGTCCGGGACGGTGACGTTGGGGAACATGGCGCGCAGCACGGCGAGGGCCTCCTGCTTGGTCTGCTCGTCGGACTGGCGCTCGGCGCGGTGGGCGAAGTCCTGGGTGACGGTCACGAAGATGATCCCGCTGTCCTCGAAGAACCCGGGGGTGCTGAGGGACTGCCAGATCGGGTACCAGCCGCGGGTGACGGGGTCGGCGTACAGCAGGTACTGCGTGTCCGCGGGCCAGAAGGTCTCGTTGAACTGGAAGAAGATCTTGGTGTACGTCGCCATCGTGAAGGCTTGGATGGATTCCTGCTTCCATTGCGGCAGCGCCGGCGAGAAGCTGACCGCGTCCGACTGCTGCAGCACCCCCAGCGAGAAGGTGGTGATCGCGTACGCGGCCTGGTAGCAGTCGCCGGACGCCGTGGTGATCGTCACCCCCGTGGCGGTGTAGGTGATGTTGGTGACTTGGGTGTTCAGGTGCAGGCGGCTGTCGTTGCGCCGGAGGAAGGTCGACGCCATCCCCTCGATGATCGTGCTGAACCCCCGCTGGTCGGTCACGAAGTTGTCTTCGTCGCTGAAGCCGTTGACCGTCAGGTTGCTGCCGGCGCAACCGAAGACGAAGGAGCTGTCGGCCGGAGTGTAGGCGTCTTCGAAGTCTGGGGTGGGTGTTAGTGTGCTACTCCAGAAGGAAAGTCGTCAGACCTCATTTTTGGGGAATTTACCCCAAGACCACCAGTCCACCGCCTGCGCCTCCATGTCTGTCACCTTTGGACGCCACCCGGCCATTGCAAGACCGGTCTGCGCCGTGGAATCCTGCAGGTTGTCCGTCAGGATGACGCCCGCGTTGGCGTTGGCGGTGTCGTAGGCGTCGTCGTACTCGTCCAGCAGGTAGGAGTAATCGCTGTAGCCATTGTGGTTGTAGGTTGACAGGTTGCTGTAGTTGGAGTAGGTGGTCGAGAGATTGTACACTTGGGCCTGGGACTGTGAGCGTCGTGCGCACTGTGCGTTGAGACTGCTGGCTAACTCACCAATGTCCATACGGGATTCTGCGGACCCCCAGGGCTTCCAAGACCTTGCACCTGCACGAGTCAGCGAGGTTGCCGACAATACCAAGCGGTCCGACCCACCCAGTTGCAGCCATTTTCGATGATATACGGCTTGCCATCCTTCTTCTTGCCGAACGGCTGGTGCCACGCCCGTCCTCCAATGCGGTCATTGTACTCGAGAATCAGAAAGTCGTTCATCGAGGCGTTGTGCAGCGCTTGCTGTTGGAGTTAGCTACTCCTCGATCCACTGTATGGTCGGTTGACACCTACCGCAGCAGCAATGCCAGCCATACCACCACCACTACACCAGTCAGTGACGTTCCTCTTCGACAGCAAGAGGCGACCTACAGAATAGCGACGGTGGTCTGCTTGCATTGGCCCTGATCACGAGCATGAGCCACATGGGCAGCGGTGGGCTGGACAGCCCACGCTCCGAGAAGTGCCAGCAGGAGAGATCGCATGGTGCGAAGGAGAAAGACGGTGGGTGAGGGGCAGCTGGGAGAGAGAAAGGGAAAGAAACTGGGCAGTCGCCAACTTTTATAGCATGCTAATTCAATAGCTCCGGTGAGCCACCGGGTTCATCGACCTACCCAAAGCTGCAGAAGCTCAACACGGGCTGAAGAGCTCCACCGACGGGGATGGTCAACTTATCACACTTGCTTATCGGGGTTCTAAGCATATTTGGGCAAGTCCAAGCGGGTCCGGGAAGAACCACGGATTGGAGAATTGAAGATACGCTTGGACTTGGCAGATTTGGGTTGTGGGGGGAGGGAGAATCAGTGAATCGGTGGTGAAGATGAGGGGGATGCCCCTGAAGCGGAAGAGTCGCCGATTGAGACATCGGCCGTGAGAAGAGGTATCAGATCATATTCCTGCATGCTGCATCGTCTGCGAGCTCAGATTCCCTGGCTGTACTCCGTAACTACATCGTACACCGTCAGCGACAGGTACAATCAGTCATGCGCTGCAAGAACCTCGGCGATCATCACCACTAGTCTCACTTCTCACCAACTTTTCCCCGCCTCAAACCAGGGCAAACCCAGCCGAGTTCAGCTGTTGCCCGCTTCCCTTGGTCTTTTGCCTCGCAAGCTGCTTACCTCTTTGTCCCGTCCAGGGGAAATGGGTTGCTCGTCCCGTTCCTGAGAATTAATTAATTAATCACTAGAGCTTTGATGACGGCTGATAAGAGCTGGCCTCGGAAGAAATCTCCAATCGGTCAGATGCTTATCAGCGAGGGTCAATAATCTACGTAATTTGTGGTTATCGCCGGAGGGTTGTTGCTTGTTCGACTGCAGTCATATGTTCGGAGCTGTTTTCCTTTTCTCTTCTCTTCCATGAGCTATTTATTCTTTTTTCTTTTTCATTTATTCTTCAATTCTTCTGGTTCTCTGCACCGCAATCGTACTGACATCACCTGGTCGCTCGTCGACTCCACACCCAGAAAGCGGGGACTGCGCCCGCCTGTGCCACGGTTCATGGAGAATTGTAGTGTAGTTCCGACGAAAACAGTAGTATAGTGGCAGTGGCAAGTCAGCTGCAAGTACTGAACACAAGAGACATTTATCTCCTGCAATCATATCCTCCACATTGTCTCTTGGGGGGTGGAACAGCCTCCACCATCACCACCGTTGACAAGGGTCCTTGGGGTCTTGACAAGGCTGTGATTGTCTCACACTCTCAATAGTTAGGCAACAATCAACAAACGACCATCAACAACCAGCATAATTCCACTCTTCCCATCTCCATGAACCCAAACCGTCAAGATATCCTTGACAGGCCCGGCCCACAGCCCCATGCGAGATGACAGACAGCGCCAGCACACGCAGCACACGCCGCCCGCGGGCGCATCCTCGCCGAAGCCCTACAGGATGAGCTCGGCTTGGCGCCACGATTGGGCTTCCTTTTATTCGGGGGATTCGACTCACTAGGTACGGCGGCTAACTGCGCCGCCAACAAGGCTGGTCTAGCCTGCAGTAGGCTGTCAATCGAGCCTTTTTGTTTGTATATAAGAAGAGGCAAACCATCACCAGCCTCGCGATGGGCGCCTAGTTCTGGGTGTGCCTTCAACCCTCCGCGCGCGATGGAGAAACTCCGCACCAGCTCGTCGGCCGACCGACCGGAGACGAGGATTTTCGAGGAATGCGGTAAGTTTTCCTCTTTGCTTTTTTTGGCAATCCAGACCTGGCTAACCAAGTCACAGAGCCAGATGACTGGGTAGAACGGCGCATTTCGCTGCTTGAGTTGGATGCAGAGGTCACACACTCTCCCTCCACACAGCACAATTGAGCAAACAATACTCACAATCTCAATAGACCCCGCGCTACTCGACAATAATGTATTCATTCATCCAATTCTGTCCCACTCCCGCACCCACCAGAAACCCTGACATCAAGAAATTAGCTTCACCTCGACCACGACCCTCAACGAGCCCTCCCATCTGCCCCTCTTCCCCGACCGCTTCCAACCCATCATCACCGAAGACCTGAACGGCTCCTTCGACTGCGAGGACATCCCCAACGAAGCCGGCCAATTGATCCAGCACAGTAAGCCAGCCAGCCAGCCAGCCAGCCACTCCCCCTCACCGCACCCCCCATTCATATACCCTTCCCACCACCACAAAAATAACAGACAGTCTAAAGGATCATGGTCCACCTACAAAATCAAACGCGTCGTCGAACCCCACAAATACCACTGGACGCAAGCCACCTGCTACGTGCACTGGGACCCGACCACCAGCCACCAGACCGTCTACTGCATCGACCTGCCGCTGGCGGCCCGCATATTCCTGAAAGCCTTCACCCCGCCCGCCCGCCGGCGCGCGCACGACCCGTACGCCTGGCACGCGGCGTTCGCGACGGCGTTGATCCCGGAGTACGATCGGTCGATATGGGGGTTACGGGATCTGGTGCGGGAGATTGAGAAGGTTAGTTGGCCCTTCCTGCACTTCAAGGACCAAAACAAAAAAAAAAAAAAAAAAAAAAAAAAAAAACAAGCGCTACAAGACACAAGACCCCAGCCGTCCGTGATGCAATACTTATAGAGTTGAGGGAGGATAGGGCCGACTCAACCCCACGGCCCTGACGCCGGATTTCTTCCCGCACCTGCACGACATCGCGCGCCACATCTTCCACGCCAACGAGACCCTCGAGGTGGCCCAGCATACCGTAGAGAGTTTGGTGAGGGAGCAGATTCGGTCGGCGGGGTTGTATTCCCCAGCAGCAGCAGCAGCAGCAGCAGCAGGGATACCAAATCCCACTCCCACTCCCAGCTACAATGCCTCGTCGCATTATAATCACAGCTACAACCACAGCCACTGCGCCCCAGCACCAACCACAAGCACGCACCTCTCCACTCTCCAGACCGAACGCGCTCTCCGCGCCCTCGCCAAACAGCTCCATGCGCTGCACACGCGCAGCCGCTCGCTCACGGAGCGGTTACACAATGAGATCAATCTAGTGCGTGGAGGCCTTCCCATTCTGCTTTTTTTTTTTTTTTTTTTTCTGGAGATTGTGTTGATCTTTGCACTGGTCTTCTCGCTAACCAGAAAGTGGGGGTTAGGGGTTCAACCTCGTCTCTCAGCAGTTCGGCCACGACACCAAGTCCGATTCGGCGATGATGAAGACCATCGCCGTGGTGAGTATGGTCTATCTGCCGGGGACGTTTGTGTCGGTACGTGGGTCTTTGTTTTTTTACACATTAAGCTTTGAGAAGGAGAGTTGTTCTGGAGCTGATGGCTGACGGCTTAGGGCCTCTTCGGGACCAACTTCTTCAACTTCACCGACGGCGACGAACACACCTGGTTCATGGCAGGCTCGTTCTGGTTGTACTGGGCGGTGACGATCCCCCTGACCCTCGCCACCATGGCGGTCTGGGCTTGGTGGCATTACTTCCTGCCTGCAAAGAGAAGAACCAGAAAGATGCCGGTGAGACAGAGGGTGGAGACGGTGTGAAGGATACGCAATGCCCGGGAAGGGGTTACTGACGGGTGCAATGAAGTGATGACTTGGATGATCGCGGGTTGGAGATCATAGACAGTGCATTGAGTTACTCTGTAGGATCGATCCGGGCAGACATGATGTATAATGAGTTATGATTATAAGATGTTAAATGATGGTGCAATAGCTACTAATTCAAGATGGCAGTGATTCAGAGACACATGAGACAAATGCTGAATCGGGAGCCCGCAAGTAGCTGGGGTCGAATCCTGAGGAGCGACCGGCTACTAGTCGCTACAGTCCAGGTCCAGCTAATGGCAAGGCTCAAGATTCAGTCGTAGACCGGCACACAGGCCGGTCGGTTCAGGGCTCGCTGGCCCGTTGAGGAGGGATCATTGGATCCTCTCGGGTATCAAATTGGGCATGGGCAAAGGAGGGTTTCAGGCCACCTCATCCGGCGGGACTGCTTTCCTCCGCCCCATCGGGGGATTCGTCGACTCCCGACATCGGGGTGGTGGCTAGTGGTAACAGGAAAGTTGTAAAGAGAGAGGCGGTCTCCACGGGCAAAATCACCCCTTGAGCCTGGGCGGTGGTGCGCACGATCCCCAGCAGATTCCTCCCACCGTCCCACCGTCGTGTTAATGATTTGGCGGCAACGGAAAGGGTGATAAACGCCTCTCGGTTGTCGGGCTCGTCTAGCCCATCCAACAGAGCGAGAAGAGCCCCCAACAGACAGGAGCTATTGCTGACCGGCATCCGCTCCACGCCCCAGCACGAGCGATGAATGCATGTCAGATGGGCAATGTTTCGCGCCGCCGAGAGCCGCACAGCGCGGGCGTGGAGCCCAACCCGGTCGGTCGGCGAAGGCGGTGTGCCGGATAGAACCACTCCATACAGCGTCAGGACAATCAGGTGGTAATACATGCTACATCCCTCGGTAAGTTACCAGTCGAACCAGATCGAACACCATGGACTCATAGACTATGGACTCACTGCAGACACAGGATATGAGGCGCTTCGAGTCGCGTGCCTTTCAAGCATGCAGGCCAGTGGTCTGCGCAATGTTGGAGGTGTTCATGCAAAACAGTTACCCGCGCGGCAAGATCGGCGCGTGGCGGAAGCTCGAATAATCGAGTCACCTCGTAGGCAATGGGAGTCAAGTTCGAGAGAGCGATGAACAGACAGTCCACATGACCAGGGATGCCAGCGACCGGGCGTGGATACGGCTGCCATATGTCATCTGGGCCGCCCTCATGGCGCAAGGGTGGGAGCCGGTGGCGGTCGGGTAAGGGTATCGACGGGCGGCTCCGGTCGGTCAGGGCATGGATCCTGGCCGACGCGTCAGTGGAGCTCCTTCATCAGGACCGGGCGCATGGGGGCGATGGAAAAGGAAGAGGCAAAGTCAGAATTCGGGCGAAGGGGCCGTACGTGGCGACGTTGAATAACCCCCAGACGGTGCGATTCAGCCCATGAACCATCCGCAAGGTATCCAGGTCGGGATTTGCGGCGAGGGTGGAGTTCTCCTGCAAGAGTTCTTGCAGTGCGTAGGCAAGCTGGTTACGATAGATCCAGCCCTGACGGTCGCGACCGGTCCGAGCAGCACTACGTGGAAGGTCAACCCAGGAACTTGGTTGGAGGTGTCGTCCAAATGACCTACCACGACCATAAAATCCCCAAACCCTGCACGGTCGGCAACGTGATCCGCCCGGCTTCCTGGTCGAGTAATCGTTTCGCTTCCTCGTAGAAATGAGCGCCCTTGGAAGCGGCATCGCCGGGGATGGTGAACGCGTCCGGATAATCCGAGTAGGCCTTATCTGATTAGCTCGGCGTAAAGCCACCACGAGACCTGTGCCAACCTACACATGCGTCGGCGAGGATACTGTTGACCAAAAACGGAGAACAGAAGCGCCCTGACCGCTTGCCGGTCTGCATCTCCCGCAAGAACAGGTCCCGATCGATCCAGTTGCGGAAGGGATGCGACCAGGTAAACCAGAGCGATATGAGATGTGAAACAAAATGGGAGTCCGGTACTACAACGGTCCAAGGATGCGCCGGTACGAGGTACCGTGGCGAGTCGGCGGCACGCTTGGCTTCGAGCATGCGGCGCATAGGTCGCGAGCGGTCGGAGGATTGTAGATGTTGAACTTCGCGACTCAGTTGAGCCAGGTCGGGCGTCAACTCCATTTCCGACTGCGGGATATGGAGGTGGATGTGTTGGCGGATCTCGTCGAGGGTGGGATCGGTACGGATGAGGTCGATGAGGGGCATGACATGGCCATTGCCACTTTCGCGAATAGCACCCACGAGGCGGACCAGCAACTCCTCCTTGTCGGCCAATTCATCGATTTTGCGTTTAAGAGCGCCCCGGCGGCGCTTGTCGGCGCTCTTGTCGAGAGTGCATTCGACATTGCTTTTGACGCAGCTGGCACAGGGCACGGATCCGGTACACTATAAGTCCGCCGTTCGGTTAGTGTGCGTGCGAAGGGAGAAGGGAGAAGGGCAAAGGCGAGAAATAATGGAGGAGGATGAGCCGCGCACCTTTAGTTTCCGCGCTTTGCAGGCGGCACAAGCAGTACCAACATTCTTTCTGCGCTGATGGTTGTCGAGAGCAGCATTGGCACCAGGAGGGGCCGGAGCCAACGGGCGCGACTTAGTATCGGACATGATGAGGATCCATGACTAAATCGCACGGGGAGAAGCAGAAGGTGGGGAGAGGAGGAGGAGAAAAAGAAGAAGCAAAGGGACGACGGCGAGAGAATATAGAGCGAAGGAAGGGGATGAAGGAGGAAGGAGAGGTCAAGGAGGAAGTGAAAGGGTCGAAGATAACAGGGCGCCAGAATCGCAAAGATAAGAGGAGGAAGAGGGCAGGATAGTAGAAGAAAGAGGAGAAGGGGAAGGAGGAGAAAGAGAGGAGGGAACCGCAGGAGGGAAAAGATGGATATGCATGAATGTGTGAATGGGGTGGTGAGTGGTAGAAGTGTTGATTAGTGGTGGTGTTAGTTTAGTAAGTAAGTACGGAAAAGTAAGTAGGTAGTTCAGGTTGGAGTAGGAGTGAGCAGCCTCAGAATGGCAGATCCCGTGCAGGAGAGGAGAGAAAGCAGGTCGATCCAGCGCGAGGGAGGGGGAGAAAGAGGAATGACGGCGGACGATTGGGTGGTGGGAACATCCCTTCCACTCGATTGGGACCAAAGTGGATAGTAGGTAATGGATTGAAATGGATGGACCTCAGTTCAAACCAAAAGGTGGAGGAGGGAAAGAAAGTGGATCGACCCGCTTGATGCTCGATGCTCATGCTAGATGCTCATGCTCATACTTCCAGTTCCTGTATGAATGGGAGAATACTCTGTACTTTGTGTAGACAATAGACAATCGACAATCGACAATCGACAATCGACAATAGACGACAATAGACCGACACGGATCATGCAGGCAAAGAACTATTGACTCCAGTTGCCTGTAGGTACTTGATAGGTATTTATTCAAAATGCAAAGGCTCAATTCAGTCACAACTACAGTCAGTCTCTTCTCAGCTTGTACAGTCCATACGGTAGTATGTAGTAGATCTGATCCATGTCGACGCAGGTTGCTGGATTAGGCAAGTGGCAGCATTCGGGCATCATGGGTCCATGAACCATGAACCGTGAACCATGGGTACCCCGTAGTCATACTCCGTACGTCTGAAGCCAAAGCAGGCTGGAAAAGTACATCCTAAGTCCATCCATCCATTCATTTGCTAGGATAACTCCTTCTCAGCTGGGAACTATTCCCGAGATGATTCCTTCCTGCCGGCCGAACCGAATCAGGAATGGGGGGCAAATTCCGACCCGAAACCGGCAATGCTGGAGCACGCTGTTGCATCTGACTGGTGAATTTCCCAGTCACGGGACTAGACGGCCCGACTCCACTAAGCCACTTTCAGGAATCAACCTGTCGCCTACTATCTCCGCTGCTTTTCATTGGGTGGCAGATGGTGCCTGGCTATATCCGCCGGCCGATCGGGTTTGCCAACAAGGTTGAAAGGTAAAAGTTAGGGAACATTATCGAACTGATTCATTCGATATTCATCAAATTCATTCGACCATTCGACTCAATCAAACAAATTCCTAGGCGATCGTCACTCCCACACGGTCTCGATCCGAGAGCAAAAAAATGTTGAGGCCCACTACGTTAGTAGTCAGAACCTCAAGAGGACGAGAGACACCGAGAAAAAAACAGGTTTTTCCCCCCTCTTACCCCAGTCGGCGAGCAGTGCAGCGACCTATTGAGGTCTTAGACCGGTCGGATCTCAACTCTCTCGACTTGCGCACCGAAAGAGACTCCCTTCTTTTCACTCCTAGGCCATAGGCTATAGTAATTTGGTAGCTCGGGCTTGCTCGGCACTTGGACGCTATATCGACGATTAAATTGGGGCCAACACCGGCATTCACTCCTACGTACCTCATCATTCGCTCATCGTGGTTCATGCTACCTACCGGAAATCATTTCCTATGGCCGCCCGGACCCAACAGTCCCCATAAAGTATCAGCCACCAGGTGAGGCCTAACTCGATACGGGCCAAAGCGCCCTAAAACCACCAGATTGTTCCGTTCCTGCGTGGAAATTATCATCGGGAACTCTCTGGAGGGGTTTGATTTCCGTGGGATTTGTGCCGATGGGTGTGGCAAAAGGGGATGCTCGTGACAAATACTCATAATTAGTGTTATTATTATGACGCTCATGTTACATATAGAACCGGTAGAGCTGAGTCCTCATACGAGTAAGTGAGGCGGAAGTGGCGAGGCGCCGGCTAGGCGCGGCAGCGTTGGACGCGGACCTGGAAGACCTGGATTGTGGCCTCAGGCTCCAAGGTCACATGTCGTGTGTTTACACCGGCTGTGGCTTCACATCCACCACTTGCTTCTTCTCCCGTGACTCCTCTTCCGTAGACACCACCGAGCGTCGCTCCTCCTCCTCTCCTCCAAACGACCGATCCATCGAATCGTCACGCCAAAAGTCTTTCTTACCTCGCGCCGCCCGCTTCAACCACGGAGGGAACAGCCCGCCGGGAATCCGCCACGTCCATGGCTCACTCTCGTCCAGGTTGGGCGGCACCAACCGCCCGCCCGTCACCTTCGCCAGCACCCACGTGATGCCGTTGATCGTGATGTAGCTGCAGATACCGGCAATCAACCCGTACGCGATACTATACGTGAACGGCATGATGGCAATCGTCAAGAATGCCGGAATGGCATCGCCGTGGTACTTCCAGTTGATCTGCGTCGCCGCCTGCGCCATCAGCGCCCCGACGATGACCAGCGTGCAACCAGTCGCCCAGGGAGGGATCGAGGCAAAGATTGGCGAGAAGAACACCGAGATGAAGAAGCACAGGCCCGTCATGCAGGATGTCAGCCCCGTCTTGCCTCCTTCTGAGATACCGGCTCCACTCTCTACAAAAGCCGTCACGGGCGGAACTCCAAATAGAGACCCGATCGAGATCGAAATGGCATCCACCATCTGGGGACAATTAGCGTCAGAGCGCACAGAAATAACGACTGAGGATACTCACATAGGCAATAGAGCTGCCCTCGAAGTCCTGCGTGACCGGATCAATCGTGCCTGCATAGCGCGCCATCGAATACAGCGTTCCCGTCGTGTCGAGAATGTCGACATACTGCTGCTGTTAGTCGTGTGCCCTCACCAGCCGTTAGGGAATATTCACGTACCAAGAACGAGATGAAAGCCAACCCGAACTTCGCGCCGTGACCACTGATGTTCCACTCCTGCGCGACGAGCGTGCGCGTGATGGGATGGAAGGTCACCACCTTCTTGAAGAAGTCGAAACGGCTGTCTCCGATCGAAGAATGAGGGAAATAGGTGACATCGGTGGGGCGGGGCCACGAGATGATAGAGACAAGGAGGATACCCATGATGATAGCACCCTTGACTCGGTACATCATGAGCACGACGGTGAGCACACCACCGCAGAAGATACCGATCCACATGGTCGGGCTGCGCATGACGGCGGAGGAAGGACAAGCACCAGTGGTCGCATCCTTTAGGCTCTCGGTACATCCTGCCAGATCGATGGGCACACTGGTGCCGCCCGTCACAAGTCCGATACCCGCACTATAAGTGAGGCCGATCAAGGTCAGATACAGTCCGATACCCGTGCCGGTGGCCAGCTTGATCGAGGCAGGTAGCGCACGGGCCAGCCATTGTCGGATACCCAACAGCGTCAGAGCCAAGAAGACGAAACCTTCCACAAAGACGGCCGTCAAAGCGATTCCATAAGGAATCAAACCCGATCCGTGATATCCGACCACTGTGTATGCGAAATAGCTGTTGAGACCCATGCCTGGGGCGAGTGCGACCGGAAGATTGGCGAAAAGTCCCATGCAGAAGGTCGACAGGGCCGAAATGGCAGCGGTCGCGGTAACGACATCGCGGTTGACCTCCTCGACGCACAGTAGGTACTCCGTGTTGGTGGCGCAGAGATCGGACATGCTGTCCGCGGGACAGACGCAGGGACCACCCGATTCGGAGGTGATGGTCGCGTTGACACTGATGATGTACGCCATCGCGAAGAAGGTGGCGAGACCGGCGCGGAGCTCGGTGAAGAAGAAACTACCCTTGCGTTCCTTGGGCTAAGGGAGGGATCAGTCACGTTCGCGATGCACCGCTGTGCATCCACAAAGTGCCACCACTTACATGGCCCGAGTTCTCCAACCGGAACCATCTCCCCACGGGGCTGCGAGCCACCGCGAGATTGGTTTCATGCACCCAGTTCTGCAAACCCATGGTGCAAGGCGACTGTCAGTCTATTGCAAGACAATCTGCTGCGAGACAAGCTCGAGGAATGAAAATTAAAAAAAACAAGACAACGCTGACAGCTTTCCCCCCAAGCCCGGGGAACCAGGGATTATATGTGGTCTGTCAGGCAGAAGCGGCGAAAAAAATGTCGCGGGAGCCGGGGAACGAGGCCAAGTGATAAGCACCCGCACGCGATCGGGAAAGCAACGTGTGGGAAATTTTCTCCTTATCATCTTGGCAGCTTGGCAAAGGAATGGATCCAGACTGGACTGGCTGCTCTGTCCATGGGTGGCGTGCTTGGCAATTCGCCTCCAGGCAATCAGCATCGTTGCAGTGAATATCTCCTGATTGTTATCGGCTAGGGTTACTTCGCTAAGCGGCGGAAAAACTGGTGGCCAGCCTTGGCAACCGCCGGAAAACTGCAGGCTAAGAAGCAACTAAATGAGCAACCAAATGAAGTAGGTTTCTAATCTGTTACGGAACATTTTCACGTGTGCTTATCAACAAGCTTTCTCCTGGAAGACTACGGGCGATGGCGCAAATTTACTCTTTCGCCGCAGTGCTGGGCCATACAGGATGAATCCCAGTGGGATGGGAATCATGATCGCGGCGAGGCATCCCAGTAAGGTGCCTGCCCATTGCACCCCCAGGTTGACGAACATCTGCTTGGCGAACAAGGGGAAGCATGCGCCCACCGCGGACCGGAGGATAGTGTTGGCGGCGAACACCGAGGCAGCACTATAGTAGCTCTCGTCAGCTGATGACTTGCAGGGATGCAGGGACCTCCTCATCGACCCACAATTGCAGATAAGAGTCAATAAGATAGTTGAAGCACTGCAAGAAGATGCAGTATATTCCGAAGCCGGTGAACACTCCAGAAGCGGTTGGGGCCATCCAGTGGATCGACTGTGTCCAGCCCGTCCAGCCGTACCTGTCGCAGCCTTCTTTAGCTATTATTCCCAACTCGGTGATGACTGCCGGGGGGGGGGGGCTTCCCTTACCAAAATAATCCGATTGTGAACGCCGCACCGCCTACAATCGCCGGGGGTAATCTCCACTCCGGCACCGGGACGTCTCCGTTGGCAATCAACTTCTTCGTGTAGCTCCCCTGACTCATTAACACGTACGTCCCTCCGGCAAACTCGCCAATAATCAGCCCGATGAAGGGTAAACTGCCCACCCCCAGGTTCATCCCATGAATCTCCTGAAACACCACGGGGTACGCCGACAGCAGCGCATACATCAGGCCATAGATGAACGACATGTACAGGGTGACCAGAAACACAATCGGCTCGGTAAAGAGCATCCGAAACGGGCGGCTAAAATTGACGGTGATCAGCTCGCGCAGATCGATCTCCACCTCGTCCTGCTTGGCGTGAATGCCCCAGTTCCGGGTCTGCCGGCGCACGATCGCCGCCTTCTGCTGCAGGAGCGCGGGCGCGTACGTCTCGCGGTAGAAGAGGAGCAGGAGCGTGAACCCCAGGAAGCCCATGATGCTGGCGATGTACATGGTCCAGCGCCAGTGCAGATAGCTCATGGTGATGAATCCGCCCGTGAAGGGCGACGCGAAGGGTCCCACGAACACGGCCATGGCGAACATGGCGATCGCGATGCCGCGCGTGCGGTTGTTGTAGATGTCCGCGAAGGCCGCGGGGACGATGGCCAGCGGGCTGGCGGCGAACAGCCCCGCGAAGAATCGCGTGAGCATGATCGTCTGCACGTCCTTGGCCGTCGCCGTCCCCATCGTGAACACGCTGTACCCGAAGATGCCGGCGGTGATGGGCCAGCGGCGGCCGTAGAGTTCGGATAGGGGCGCCCACAGCGTCGGGCCGGCGGCGAAGCCCAGGACGTACAGGGTCACGCCTAGGACGGCCACTTCGGTGCTGATGTGGAACTGTTCGCTGATGGCGGTGACGGTCGAGGAGAAGATGGCCGAGGCGAAGGAGGAGACGAATGTCACGTAGGCTAGGATTGCGGAGAGGAGGATTCTGCGGGATGGTTAGGGTTTGTGTTTTATGGAGTGCAGCAGCAGCTCAGACAAGCTCGCACCCAGATCCATGCTAGTATATGTAGAGGCTAAGAATCACTCACTTCGTCCCCGTTGCCCAACTATGCGGATGCATCGGATCCTTCTCGTCGAGGAACTCGACGACATACTGATCCGGGTCCGGGAGATGCGGGGGAAACTCCTTCCCACCGCCCATGGGGAGCCATTGCTCGCGCGGCGTCCGGGTGCTGCCTCGGCGGGAGCCGACGGTTGATTCATGGGTGAGGCGGAGGGATTGGATGCGCGAGATGGCAACGTTGCTCTGGGTCTGATGGAGGCTGGTGCTGGGGGTGCGCACGGGTTCGAAGCTGGGGTGCTCGGTTGGGATGGTGGAGAGGGAGGAGGCACTGGAATGCGGGGATGAGGGCATGGTGATTTGGAGGGGGAATGCGATGGGGAGATGGGCATGAAAGCGATGTTCTGCGATTGGGTTGCATTTAAATGATGCCCATGGTGACTGGGAGAGCAAAGTGGTGGTGTCATCATTGCGGGAGAGAGCCACGGTTCGATCACAAAGGGACGGTGTATGTAACATGAGGGCTGATCTTGGTACGGATGAGGGCTGCACACAATATACCTATCCAGAACGAAGCTATCCTCAACATCCCAGCTCCTCCTCTCCCACAGCATATATCAACTAAGTATTCTATAAACTCAACCCATCTACCACGTAGCAGCCAAATACCCGTCCAACGCGGCATAAATCGCCTTAACATACTCCCTGGCGCGCTCATTCTCCGCCAACCCCATATCCATCTTATTCATGGTATACGTGACGGTGACCCCCCTCTCAACGTCCATCAACCCCAACGACCCGCCCCAACCCGTCCAATATCCCACCCTCCTTCCATCAGGCAACCAACTGGGCCCCGAAGGCCTCGCCATCGCCATGCCCACCCCAAACGTGACCGGAGTGCCCAGCACCAAATCCACGCCGGACACCTGCTCCTGAAAAATGAGATCGACCGTCTCCTCCTTGAGAAACCTTTTCCCGCCCACCACCCCCTTGAGGGTCACCACCTCCAGAATCCGATTAATCGCCCTGGCATTCCCAAACCCATCCGACGCCCCCATCTCCGCGTGCCGGAACCCCGGCGTGACCGGACTATCCACGCCGACCGCTCCGGCGGCACTCGATATCGCCCGCCCCGCCACACTCCCCGGCTCCAACACGGGCATCTCCCACTCCGCCGGCGGCGGCGGCACAAGCGCCGCGATCCGCGCCCACTCGCGCTCGGGGACATCGAGAAAGAACCCGCCCGCCGCGCCGAGCGGCACCACCAGCTCGCTGCGGATGAACTCGCTCAACCCCCGGCCGGTGACCTGCCGAATCAACCCGCCCAGCAGGAACCCGTACGAGAGGATGTGGTACCCCGAGGCCGTGCCGGGCTCCCACCAGGGGGACTGGGCGATTAGGCGCGCGGTGCAGGCCTCCACGTCCAGGATCTCCGAGGCGGTGGGCCCGGGGCTGTCCCACCCCGCCAGGCCGGAGGTGTGGCTGAGGAGATGGCGGACTTGAATGCGCGGGGAGGCCGTGAAGGCGGGCCAGTAGTGGCTGACGGGGGTGGTCGCGGAGAGTTGGCCGCGGTCGATGAGGAGGAGGGTGCTTAGCGCCGTGATCAGTTTCGTCAGGGACCAGACGGGGACGAGCGTCGTTTCTTCCCAGGGTGCCGGAGGGGTGGAGGAGGTGGCGGGGCTGGCGGTGCTGCCGCCCCACAGGTCGAGGACGGTTTCGCCGTTGATGCTTACGCAGAGGGAGGCGCCGATCTCGGTGCCGGTTTGCAGGTGTGTTGAGAAGAGGGCGCGCACGGCCGCGAAGGCCGGGTGCGAGGTTCCTTTGACGGTGGGGGTGGGCATTTGGGTGGGTTGGGTGGGTTGGGTGTTGATGAGAGGGAGCAGGAGGAGAGAAGAAGGGGATGAGGGAAGGAAGGAAAGAGAGGAGGAATGAAAGGGAAAAGTTAGAAATATGTGTATAGATTTCTGCTTGGAAATGATGTATATGTGTACTGTATGAACTGACTGACTCAATGCATCCTCAAGGTTAACTTGTTGTTTGTCTGGGCTGAGGTGAGATTAGACGAGGATCTGCCTCGGTTTATCCTAGTTCGGATTAGCTGGGCCACGAGGTAGTTACTAGTGCCACCATGATTCAAGCTAAAGCTACTCTTCTGTACTTCATCTAGACCCGACTCTTAGCCATCTCGACGGCATCGTCCAGCCGGCCGTCCTCCACAGCCTTGGTCGGCTGCGCATCCCCCAGCCTCAAATCCTTCAACGATAGACTAATCAAGAACCCGAACCCGGCAACAGCGGTGTACAGTACCCAGACCCAGCTCAACGCCTTCGTCAATGCATCTAACACCACCTCCCGCTCCTCGCCCTTGGGCAACATCTTCACAAATGCCTCCGCCGCGGTGGACGCTGCCACAATCTCCTCCGCCAGGGTCTCACCTAGCACCGCCGCCATCGTTCCCTCCTTCGTGCTCACCACATGGCCATACACCACCGATGCAACCACGACCGACACCGCCGAAGCGAGCTGCCGGATGAAGGAGAAGGTCGCTGTTCCTCGGCCCAGCTCCTCCGGTTTGGTGTTCGCCTGCAACGCAATCAGCGTCGCCTGAAAGTTCGGCCCAATGCCCAGCCCCACTACCACCTGAAACAGAATGATCCGCGGCCACGAAGCGTATGACTGGAGGTCGATGTAGAGTCCAAAGCCAAGGGTCGTGAACAGCATTCCCAGACAGATCGCCTCACGCGATCGGCCGGTACTCCGCATGTAGAATCCCCCCAGCCCGGACGAAATTGAAAGGGCGACGACGAGCGGGAGCAGGTACACGCCGCTCATGAGGGAGCTGGCGAGGAGGACGTTCTGGAAGTAGACGGGCAGATAGAAGCACCCGCCGATAAACACGGTGGCGTGGCAGAAGTTGATGAGGAGGATCGTCAGGTTGTAGGGGTTGGAGAAGATGGTGATGGGGATGATGGGCGTGCGGGCGAATTTCCACTCATGGAGGAGGAAGAGACCGGCCGTCACTAGCCCGAAAACGATGAGGCAGATGATTGTGGCGGACGACCAGGGGTACTGGGAGCCCCCGAATTCGAGGCCAAAGAGGAGCATGAGTGTGGCGCCAACGATCAGGAAGAGGCCGGTCCAGTCGATGGCACGAAGGCCGGCTGCGAGCGGGGTGAGCGGGGCGGTATCGAGTTTGAGGAAAAACAGAAGACCGAAGAAGGCGAGGCCTCCGATGGGAACTAGATGAGGTTAGCGATGTAGCGATGGCGGTGCCACGAGCACGTACGGTTGATGTAAAAGCACCAGCGCCAAGTCGAGTAGGTGGTGAAGGCGCCGCCGATGATGGGTCCGATGGCACCGGCGATAGCCCAGGTTGCCCCAAAAATGCCTAGATACGCCGACCGGCGGCGCACATTAAACAGATCGGATACGCAAATATTGGCCAACACAGTAATGCCTCCGCTCCCGACTCCCTGTATGGCGCGGCCCGCGATGACCATGGCGACGTTAACGGCCACGCCGCAGATCAAACTCCCTCCCAGGAAGAGCACCACGGAGATGATGAGAATGGGCTTTCGGCCCCAGATGTCGCTGATCCGACCCCACAGTGGGACACACGATGCATTGGCAAGAAGGTACGAGGATGCGATCCAGGAGTATGCGCTGTCGGAAGCTTTGAAGTGGGCCACCATTTCTGGTAAGGCCGTCGAGACAATAGTCTGTCAGGGGTAAGTGTGGTTATCCATGATACTCAAAGAGAAAAGCCTTACAATGTCCAATGCTGCCAGAAAGACGCATAGCTATGCAAGCATGTTAGCGATTGTTACATAGGGTTGTGCTCGCACAGGTGCTCGTACACTCAGCGCTGTCATCACGACAGCGATTCTCTGTTTGCTCTGATGGTCGGCCGGCGAGTCATCCTCCGCTGTAATCGGAGGGACATCTTTGCCCACAGTTGACTCCAATAAATCGTGCTCATCTTCCATTTGCTGGTATGTACGGGGAGACGATCCTTCCTCCGTCTTGACAGCCATGGACTGAGTTTAGGGGTAAAAACCTGGAATGAATGAAACTGAAGGATAGAACGAACGACAAAACGAGGGACGATTGCTTGAGTAAATGAGTGAAAAGTATGATGGCGATATTAAAGTCAAGAAACATTGACACAAGTGTCTGGGAAGGCCAACCCCCGCGACAGCGACAGGCCACGAGGGTCGAGAAGTTTCGGATAGCCGAAGCTCCTTGACAGCCCATCTGGAAGCATGAGAAGCCCCACTGGCTCGATCGAACCTGGTGTTAAACCTCCCGATTACGGATGGCGATTGGTGGTATCTGCCTAGGCCCACTAGGTGTATATCCACCCGACGTCATTTCATGGCGCCTGGGAATGTTTTCCAGGCTAAGGCTGGGGGATATCCTTAAGGGGTAAATAGGCGAGTTGCCTCGGGTAACAATGAGGAAAGTACGTGTAAGGGGGAAGTCGGGAGAGGACTCATCCGCCGTGGTAGGAGGACTTTCGACACAGGAACATTGCGTCCCATGGTGCAGCAGATGTCCGCGGGGCACTAGATGTGTGTTCCTCGAAACCTTGATGAAAGAATCAGAATCAGAAGGAGACGACGGGCATGGAGAAAGTGAGGGAATCCACAGAAAAGACTTTCGGCTCAGTAGCCATGGCTTGCCCGGTGGAGCACGATGAACGGGCAAAGCCTGACCAATCCTAGGTAGCTGAATATTGGAGTGTGAAAAAGTCTGGGCATCTTAGGCAATGCTCTTTCAAAGAGTGATGGTGGCTGAGCTGGTCAGGGAACCTTTAAGATGGCAGACAAAAGGTAGGTAGGTATTGAAGATGAAGATGAAGATATCTGGGTGAGTGCATAAATCTAAGTTACTTCACTAAGTGGGCGGGTGAGTCAGCAATCCCGGATCTATGCAGCACGTGATACCTCTCCTCAGTACTCAACCAGGAGATGCTCAGTCAGGTGACTACCCCGCGAGTTTCTCCGACCGTCTTTGCCTGGTGGCTGCCTGGTGGCTGCCTGGGTGCCTGACCGAGTCTTATCGATAAGGCTCCAAGCGATTGCCAACACAACAAACAAATTCACCTGCTGCCTTGGTCCATCACCGCACATGCCATGCCATCATCATTTACTCTCTTCACTCTCTTCCATGACATCTCTCGGGCATCTTAAGAGCAGTCAAATTGAATCTAATCTGTTTCAATTTTGTCGCATTCGCTTCTGAATGTCTGTGACCGCCTTCGCTATTTTATCTTTTCTGTCCCCCAAGCATATTCACCACGTCGGTTGAATGCCTGGCGTCCATCAACACACCTCTACTACTTCACGGGGCCGGCGACCACCCCTAGTAGTCCATCCAGCCTCGTCTCTTCGTGAAAATCTATCTGACAATCATCAACCATCAATTCCCTCACTCCAAGTTCCCCTCCCAGTCTCTGTCAAGCCTACCGAAGACCAAGATGCTAGCAGATGCCGACATAAACGCTTTGGACAGCCACCTAGGCACCATTGTCCGCGAAAACCAACAACACCACGACAACCTGCAAAACTTGCTTTCCAAGTTCCAAGAGCTGCTCGAAAGCTACAACAATTTGAAGAGTGATTACGAGGAGGAAAAAGAGGGACGGGAGCGTTACAAACGGTTGGCGAGGGGGCAGGTATGCGGGCTCCAGCTTGTGCTTGGCCAGCAGCTAAAGGGAAATACCTAGGAACGGAACCCGTTTGTGTTGGTCCTAGTTGACGGTGATGGCTACCTGGTATGCGTGCATATGCTCTGTCATGTACGGCACCTGACTGATAAGGGGCCTAGTTTAAAGAACACCTGATCAAAGCTGGAAGCGATGGAGGTATCACGGCTGCTCGACTCATACATGACTCGATTCGCGAGTTACTACATGACCGCCTTGGGGGTCACGCGGACCAATGTCGGATCATGGTTCGCATCTATGCCAACGTCCTGGGTTTATCCAAAGCTCTGGCGCGCTCCGGACTTGTGGGCCATGAAGCCCGATCGTTATCGCCCTTTGTAGCCAACCTGACAAGCTCCCAAGATTTGTTCGACTTTGTCGACGCAGGGGACAAGAAAGAAGCGGCTGACTACAAGATAAGAGGTCAGCCTGTCCCTCCAACTGCCACGTTCTGTTCGCTGACCGAGATAGAAATGTTTCGGATGTTTGCTGACAATAACCAATGCAAGCATATTTTCTTCGCCGGGTGCCACGATGCCGGGTACCTAAATTTACTAACCCCCTACCGTGGACGAACAGATCGTATCACCCTTCTTAAAGCGGCCGGGTTCCATAATCAGTACAATACTCTAGACTTGCCGGTCAGAGAACTTCGGGAGGTCTTCATGTCGACATCCTTCGCTGGTGTTCACGCAAGGGAGTCTCCAAGTCAATCTCAGAGTCAATCTCAGATCATACCGCCCTCGCCTAGCCGTCCGGTCTGTAAGCATTATCAAAAAGTAGCACCCACCGTGGCCCAAGTGTTGTGCTGAGCTAACGTAGCTACAGGGCATTTGCAGGTATGGAAGCACATGCATCAAGCTCCACATACAACCAAATCAACAGATATCTAAAGTCCCCGACGATACTCCATCAATCTTTGACCGAGAAAATTCGTCTCCATCCCGAACTCACGAATACTATGCAGCCAACCTGCCCACCACTACCGACCCATTCTATGGGACTCATGTGCCTATCAACAAGACTGGGGATCGCATTGATACCTACTGTGCCGCACCCTCGCCTGAAGCGCGGGACCAGTACTCTCGTCGTGCCAGGTTGCACCGGCCTTGCAATAACTTTCACTTAGCCGGATACTGTGATACTGTAAACTGCGAATTCGACCATGGCCCCATCGAAATCAACAGCCGCAGTGTGATGGCCCACATTCTACGCCAGCACCCGTGTGGCGCCGGTCTCACTTGCCGATCAATGAAGTGTTTCCTCGGCCATCACTGTCAGAAAGACGGATGTCGGGGCACCAAACCGTGCAGATTTAACAGGCATGCTCATATGCTGGACCTGCACATTGCCAAGTGGGTGCCAGCCTTGGAGAAAGAAGACGTTGTCGCACCCTCCGTGAGCGATGCATCAGAAGAAGCTAGCCCGGTCGACTCCGACAACACCTTCGCATATTCAACCAACGATACACTATCTTGAAGCGCTGAACGATCTATAGTGATCGGTGCATAGAGATTCGATACTATATCCGAGACTGGAACGATCGTAATGGAGACATAGGTATTAACACTAAGATGGAATCATTAACTACGCCGCCTGCATTAGGTCGTTCTAGGGTCAATATGTAAAACCAGATTACCTCAGGTACATGGAGGTAATAATGCGATAGCCCAAATTTGAGCATAAATGAAATCGTTCCTCTGGATGTTTCCCACGTTATCTGACAGTCAAATGCCGACCTTTTACACGGACCATCAGGAGCCAATTTACCTTGAAACTGTGCCAGGCCTGGCTGACTTACAGACACTAACAACCCCAGGATCCTGCTTTGCGGTGGGCTACGGGCAGCAGCTCCCTTGACGGCCCTGAAATCGCCTCCATGCAATATTCCCATGCAACGCTCAATGTATTCTCGCATTAATATCCACCTGAACCCAGGTCGATATCTGACCCCGCAAGAACAATGTCTTTTTGACACTGGTGGATACAAAGAAAGCACTAAGAAGTTTCTCTTGCGACCGCCTAATCGTTCTTAGTGTTTCACTTTACCTGAGCACTTTCTTTTCAAAATTTGAGGGAGTTTACCGGCCCACTGATTGTTCTTGACGCTTGGTCGAATTAGCCTACTTCTTTGAGTTCTGGCACTTTCGGCTGGAAGCCAACACTGGCTTGGCTTTGTGCTTTCATGCTGGATGACGTACCTCGTTTGCTCCAGGTCCGCCATTAAAGAGCAGCGGCTGTGATCTCCGAGTTGCAAATGCTACAGAGCATTATGTCGTTCATATGACTTTCCTGACCCAGCCGGCTTTGGTCGTCACGATAAAGGAAACAGAGCTTCACCAGCGCGGCCCACATTGGCATATTTCGTCGAACAAACAAAGCAATGCCGTCCTCTCGCCTCTTCCAATATGAGGTTTGGGATTATATCGGGTCGACGTACTCCAATTCCTTTTCGAAGCAAAAGGTATAAAATGGACTCTAAATCACATAGACGAGGGTTTCTGAAGGCTCTAATATCACAAGCTCTCATCTACGCTACGGTATAGATTTCGCACGGTACACAACTTGCTCACCGCAAACGCTTGCCATCGTCACCACAGAAAAGAATTACAATGCCGTCCCAGCTTTCCAGGTTCCCCGAGATATGCCCCCGGTGCAAGAACCGGTACAACGTCCGGGTTCTGGCTGAGCTGTACCGCACCCAACGAGCACGACTGCCTGTCTCTGCATTCCCCAGCGCAGAGGCACAGGCCAACCCGGAGGAGTCATGCGAGCTGGCCCGCGATTTCCTGGATATTTTCAATCGCGCCGGATTTACGGACGAGGAAGTCTACCGCATCCTCGACCCCGACTCTGAGAGCGAGGACGATGGGCTGAGCGCTCTCACGCAAGAGATGCAAGACCTAGCTGTCACCCTTCCGACCCTCTGTGCCACCAAGCCGTCGAGAGACTCTCCCTGGCAATCGGTCGTGCAGCGCATGGCCTACAGTATCGTTGAGGACGTCCTGCCGCCAACCACCCTGCCCTCTTGCAAATGCAAAGCCTACTTGCTGACGCCGACTCGGCTGAGCTGCCTGGATCTGGCCCTGCTGACAGACTCCGTCGCGGCAATAGACTTCCTCTTCTCCGCGGGCCTCCACCCGACCACGGTGCTGCCCACCGGCTTCAACATCCTGGGTACCGCCATCCTGGCCGAGGCCACCCACATCGTAGCCTATATCTACGACGCCTTCTCTGTGCCTCCATTTTCCTGGGTCGGCAACGCACACACCACCTTCATCCCCGACCAACCGTCCCTCCACCCGCTCACTCTCGCCCTACGGATGCACAACATCCCCTTGTTCCAACTCATCCTCAGCCACGAGGCGCCGGGCGAACCGATCCCCGCGGAGATTCTGCTGTGGGCCGCCCAATACGGCGACGTAGAGATCGTGCGCGCGCTACACGAGCAAGCAGGCGTGGATTTCTTCGCCGACGACCAGCCCAATCGCATCGTGGGATGTCCTGGCCACAAAGTGCCCGGGGCAGTTGTCGAGTACAGAGGTGGAATGCCCATCGCGCGCATTCTGCTGCACTTCGCCGCGCGCAACACCGCCGCCGGTGCGCAAATGCTTCAGTGTTTGCTCGGCATGCTCCCGCCGGGAGACCTGCGCCTGCGCCGCCGCCTCCTCAACGCGCGGTCCTGGTACGGCACCACCCCGCTGATGGACGCCGTGCGCGCCGGCAACCACGCCGCCGTCCGCTACCTAGCAGACCCGCAAACCACGTCTCTCGATGTCGCCAACCCGCTCGGCATGTCGGCGCTGTACCTCGCGGTGCAGCGGCTAGACATCCAAGTCGTCGAGACCTTGTTCGAGGCCGGCTGCGCCAACGGGAACGAGCCCGATGATAAAGACGGAAGGCCGGTCAAGCCCCCCTTCTATGCCATTATTGACGCGTATCGCCGGCCCTGCATCGGACGATATAATCCCATGGAGTTGGAGGCGCATCTTGACAAGGTACTGGATGTGGCTAGGGTGTTGTTGTTGAACGGCACCGATCCCAGACTCAAGTGGGAGGAGAACGTGGAGGAAGGAGCGGAGGTCAAGACGGTGCTGGAGGAGGTGAAGACCGAGCCCGTGCTGGAGAAGTTGGCACGCCTGTTGTTGGAGGAGAAGGATTTCCCGCTGGGCGACATTTGAGCTACTGGCTTGGTCGCTTCGAGTAAGTTTAGACTCTGTTTGGAATAACATATATTAATCATTATAATTCAAGTCTTCCTCTTGTTTTTACTTTTTTTTTGTTTTTTTTTTGTTCTTTTCCCTTCTTCTTTCTTTTGGAAGGATGATATATGTGCAAAATGTGTTAGTCTCGGTTTCCAGGGTTGTGATTCGGAGCTTTGGTTGTTCCTGGTGTTGAAGATACTGTAAGGTAAGCGCAAGACTCGATTGACAACTTTTTACCTTCGAGAGCTAACTAATCGTGATCATGATATAAGCGAAAGCAATCGATGATGCAAGAACTCCATGAATGGGCAGAGGCGGGCTGCAGCCATGATGTCTCCGCATTGTGAAAGCTCTGAAGGTGCCGAATCAGCCTCAATACACGTTTGCCCGGCTGTTTACCGGGCTTACACACTAGGCCTACTTCTTCATCATCTTGGCCGGGGGCCAGAAGATTCGTTATCAAGTCTCCTTAATACTCCCGGACTTCGAACAGAATACTGGCCTGCTTAGGCGGCCGCCTGTTCTTATGTCTGAACGTGAACTCGGAATTGGAAAACCTCAATTTTATTATTCTGCGACAAAATCGCCTTTTGACAAATACTTGACGATCGTCGATTCACTCTCGACGGTGATCTCGCTCTATAGATCAGCTTTGCTCCACTCGACTGGATGGGAACTAGCAGCCAGTTGGGGCTCTCCCAACCAAGCTTCGCTGACGAAGGTTATATCAGGTTGCTGCGATGGTGAGGCACCACCTCTATTCGTATCCAACGAGAGCCCCGGTATCCTCTGCTGAAGATCCCCTGGAACTCATGCGATCTGAGCGTGGAAAGGTGACAATGAGCGCTCGATAATGAGCCATACATTGGTTTGGCCATTGCTTTGATACTTAAGGGAGACATCCGTATAATCAGGGTCTGGTCAACGTGTCCGGAATCTCTTGAGGCGATGTTCACGAATCGATGAGGATTCTCGCTATGATTGTTTATCTGAAGTGAATGTACCATGGTACAAACTCAATGTGTCGGTGACTGCAGGGAATGAGAATCACAGCAACGCACATATATAAGAGGCGACATGATCGAATATGAAAACAACCCAAACCCCCCATAGTTCTCGATCGATACATCCTTCAGAACATCCAACCCACCTTCATCAAACAAGACCAGCTCAAACACAAAACTATCAACCATGGACAACATCGACCGAGTCGAAAGCGCCCAATGGTGTGGCCAATGTGGTCATCTCAGGAGGCCTGCCAGCATGGCCATGGAGTTCAGGCAGCTACGTAAACAACGCATGCCAGCGCTTCCCGAGCCGGAGGGCATCCAGATTCTCAACGGGGCGAACCTGATCCCCTGTCTGATGGCCCTGTGGAAAAAAGCGGAGCTGGACCTCTCCCATCTAGAGCGTATGCTACGGCCGGACAACAACCGCGGCGTTGGGGCGCCAACCCTGCGGTCCATGATCCAACGACGCTTCTGCGCGGTACTGGCTGAAGGTTTCCAGAATTACCAGGTCTCCGCCGACGGGAGGCTGCTCCAATTCTGCTGCTACGCCGGGCACCAGCAGGCCCCCATAGGCCCTGGGTCGGGCCCCGCCGCTGCACCGCAGGTCGCCTTCCCCAACGTGGTGCACCACGCCCTCGCCCACGACTCGCTCGACGAGATCAAGCTGGCCGTCGCGTTGGGCCTGGAAGCCCACCGGCCCGTCTACTGGGGATATACCCTGCTGGGCGCCGCGATCCTGGCCCGAGCCCACAAGGTGATTCGGTACCTCTTTGAGCGGGACGATCGGTTTCCCGGGACGGCCAAGCCCCCCGCCGACCAGCGAGTCAACTGGATTGGGAGCGACTACTACGGGCCGCTCGAGCTGGCGCTCGTCTTGAAGGACAAGCAGCTCATCTGGCTGCTGCTGGAGCTCGTCGGAGGGGGCAACACGGACACCCTGGAGTGGCAGCACGTGGAAAACCTGTGCGTGGAGCACACGACCAGCGGCGTGATGCTCAAGTACCTGGTCACCCAGATCGGAGTCGACCTGCTGGCGAGCAACGCCAACATCATCCACCAACCGGTGCAGCTCAAGCTGTCAGCGGAGCTGGCGGCGACCTGGGGCGACAACGCAGGCGAGTACCTGCTGCGGCGGGCGATCCGCCAAGACTGGGCGGTCTCGCGGGTGGTGATCGACCTGGTGCTGGGGCAGGCGCAAGCGTCCTGGACCCACACCCCGGCGACAGACGCGAACTATGCCAACCGGTGCTATCAGCTCCTCAACGACCCCATCGCCGGCCTCGACGACGACCGTCCGCGGAACGCGATCCCGCTGATCGCATGGGCCACCACGTTCGACCACCGCTACGCCTTCGACGCGCTGCTCAAGCAGCCCGGGTTCGACCTGAACCGCGCGTTCGTCGCGCAGCCTGACGGCGACCACATGTACACGCCCCTGACCTTCGCCGTGCGCATGGGAGCCAGCTGGGCCGTCGACAAGCTGCTGAACCGATCCGACTTGAACTTGCACCGCCACGGTCCCATGCCCTTTCGCTGGGCCAACGCCCTACCGAACACGCGCTACCCCAGCCCCTTTCGGGAGATTGTCGACCTCGTGGAGGACCGGGCCAGTCAATGGGTCCCCGGCACTAATCGCCAGGTTGGGCTGGACAACGCCATGATCGCCTTGGGCAGGCGCTTCCGCATCATGGCCACACTGTTCATCGGCAGGTTCAACCCCCAGGTTCACGTTGGGTGGCGTACGGGGGAGACCTTTCCGGAATGGGTACTGAGGAACCAGTTCATAAGCATCTACCTTGATGGTGTGGTTCAACTCCTGCACCAGCACGGGTACATTGCGTGATTACCGCGTTGGACATTGGACCCTTGGGGGAAGGGAGTAGATAATGGCTTAGCTGATAGTTATGTTTTAGATATCTCCATGTATTAGACTTAGTTCAATTTTTTAAATTGGTAATAATGTACGTCTTCAAAATATATCCGGAATCTCACCGCCTGCGGGCAGGATATCCTTTTTTTTACTCTAACAAGACTAGACGAATTCAAGCAATCAATATGTATGTATGTAACTCGGTGTTGATTATACCCTGTATGTCGTATATATCTCTTAATTGGAGCAAGAGGCAAACCTCGAGTAAACTCGCAGCAAAGACAAAACATAAAAGCTCCCACAACGCCAGCGCTCGTGTATATGCTTTCGACCCATGAATACTTTTCAAACACGCAAATAGAAAGTGCACAAGAAGCATTATGCAGAGACAAAGAAATCATTTTTTCCGTCCAGTAGAAATCCATCTCATCTTCAGTCCTGGTTCTCCTCGACCGCCTTCTCCAGATCTTTGATCTTGTGCCGGCCAATCCGCAGCTTGCTGCGCATGTTCTTCTCCTTGATGAGCAGCGCGCGCTTGCGGCGGCGCGGGGGATAGTTGATGGGACTCTCGCCGCCGGTGAAGATGGCGAGATCGTAGACCATTGCGCCGAACAGCCCGCCGAAGATGTCGGCCACCCAGGGGCCCCAGACCCACCAGACACTGTTCTCGGTGAAGACCTGGCCGCCCCAGCCGGCCATGAGGACGGTCAGGCGGGGGCCGAAGTCGCGGGGCGCGTTGAAGCAGCTGCATTGCCGGCACCGGGTTAGTTTGCTTGCTTACTATCTAATCTAACTGGTGGTGGTGGGTGTGCGAAGGAAAAATGACTTTTGGGGGGATTGACTTACCCGCCGGTGTTGTAGCCCAAAGCCAGCAGCAGCACCGTGATCACGATGCCGATGATGAACGCCTGCATACCGGCGCCGGGCGGGGCGTTGGCGTCGTCGCCCAGCGCCAGGATGATGCCGACCAGGATGGCGCTGCCGAGGAACTCGTCGAAGAAGGCGGTCGCCGGCGTCACGAACGACTTGGGCCCCGTCAGCATCGCCTCGCTGGCGGTCGTCTGCGCCTGCGGCAGCTGGGATTTGACGGAGAGGTCGACGATCGCGTCGTGGTAGATCGCGTAGGCGATGCCCCCGGCGGTGATGGCCCCGAGGATCTGGGCGAGTACATACAGCGTGCACTTCCGCGCCGGGAAGCCACGCCACACGGACAGCGAGATGGTGATCGCCGGGTTGAGATGGGCGCCCGAGACACCACCGGCCATGTAGATCCCGATCATGAACGCGAACCCCCACGCCGCGCATTGCGAGACGTAGGTCCCCGCCTGCTCTTGGGAGGTGTAGTGCGACAGGCCGGCGCAGAGGCCGAGGGTGATGGCTACACTTGTCTAAGGAGGTGAAAAGGTTAGCATCGGCAAGATGATTCTCCGGGGGGAGGGCGAGGGGGCAAACGAATGAACTCACTCCTAGCCACTCTGCAAATGGCTCTTTCGCATAGAAGCGGATTTTCGACCAGATGTTGAAAAACCCATCATGGTCCGGGTCTTCTTCTTCTTGCTGGGATTCTTGGGTCTGAGGGATCCCGGTCGGCGGTTCCTCGGCGGCCGGGGGAGGGCGTGCTCGTCCATCCTCCCTCTCTTCCTCTTTGCGATCCTCCGGCAAGGCTCCGTAGCGCATGCCATCGCGGACCACGTGAGGGAGTGGTTGGGCGAGACTCCAGACCGGCTTGCCGGGCTCGTCTTTGCCGTATTGAGGGTTGAGGTTGTGGTACTCCGGGTGAATGTAGGGTCCGTAGGAAGGCGGCGCGCCCCAAAAGGCAGTGGATCCTGCTAACGAGAACCCTCCCGGAGGCTGGCTCCCCTGGGTCCGAGACCGGGAGACATCGTCTCGCAGGTCGCCGGTACGTTGAGTTCGTGCGGTAGCCTGCCGTGAGGCCGGGGGTCGTTTGTTCGGGGGTCTTTCCCGGGGCTGCTGCGACTTTTCGTGGCTGTGAGAAGATTCGTCGTCCGAATGGGACGATTGAGATGATTGAGACGATTGGGATTGAAATTCCTCCGGATCCGTGTGAACTTCTACGGTGGCGTTAGCATTGTCGGGCGACTACATTCCCAAATGCATGCAGTAAGGGGACAGACCATCCACCTCTTTTTTGTGCGACTCGAGCGCGTTCGCCATGGAAGTTGATATTCGATTTAGAGCAACGAGAGCAAAACGACAAAGCAATTGGGAGGGCGAAGTGAGATAGCAAGTGTACAATTGATTAAAGCCCGAAGACCTTAAAGGACGGAATTATCAAGCGCAACCACTGGCCTCGCTCTTCAAAGAGCGACGGGGTTCCAAAGCGGGTCTTATATACTCGGTCAATATTGCGTCACGGAACAAAACGTCAGGATATTCGACGGGGAACGGCCAATTAACGATCTGCATCCACACTGATAAGATCCATCAGCGCCACAACCTGGAAACCTCTTTTTGAACACCAGAGCAGTACACGAGAATGCGGTACAATCCAGAGAACTTGATCATGGACATACCCCGGCTTGTGTGGCGCACACATCGTAGGTAACTAACTCGAATGACAGAGTAGCTAAGTGGGCAGATTGCATGAATCATGGTGGCTGCTCTTCGTCATAAACAGCAAGCATCGGGCTGTTTTACCATCCAGTCGACTCGAGACGCAAGGGTGGGTAAGCTGGCTGTAGGGCTCCAGTACCTGAAAATGCTTGTCGGGTGAGGGATCTACGGCGATGAAGAGCATCCATTTAGCAGTACAAGTACAGTGGAAGTGGTCGGAATTCGAAAAATCCCGTGCTGATTGGCGGGTTCTCGAAATCAAGGCAAGTCCACGCCGTCGTGGACTGGTATGCCGGGCACTGACCCTGGGATGGTTGGCGGAAGCCCATCCGTTGTGCGCGCGTACACATTGGACAGGTCCGTGAGGATCGGCCATTTAGTCAGTCTCAGCGGTCGACGGGAGCAAAGATGGGACCCACCGGTGACATCGCCGGCCCAGACAGTCCCGAACTTACTCTGTAGTACTATACTCAGTGGCTGGCAATCAAACCAGCTGCGGTGCGAATCAGTCCAGCTTTGAGGCGGAACAGAAAAGCTTTATCTGGTGCTTTCGACAGGGTTTCCATGTCATAGCGGACGGACATCCCAGCCAAGTGGGATTGCGAATCGTAGGGCCTCCGGAACGCACTCCGACTGGAGGCACCTCTACCGGGGAAGGAGACTTTCATAGCAAGGATGGCATTGGAAGATTCGATGTACTCAGGTGGGAACTCTGCTGTCACATATCCTGCGATGGAAACACTTGGTTCAGTCTCCGAGATAAAGATAAGATTTGTAGCCTCGTGGTGGGCAGTTTGCCAGACGAAGTTTCAAAGTCAAGACTTAGCTGAAGGTCGACGGGATGCCCGCGATGGTCGAGACTCCCAATCGACTTGGCGAGAAGCCGAAAAGGGAAAGTAAAACGGCCACCATGACATCATCAGTCCGGTCGCATCGACTTGTTTCCAAATTGGGACACCGGCGGCCTGATCTGTCAGGCTGCCTTGAAGTCCCCGATCGATCGCTTTCTCTCCAATTCGTGTGCATGCTACTCCGTAACTTATGTTAGATCAGTTCCCATCAGGCCACCTCAGGTGCATCTTCTCCTTGCTGTCTCGGAATTCTGTAGAGCGACTGTTCTCTGAGAATAGGAAATATACTTACCGCTTTGGTGCAGATGCAGGCCTTGCTATCGCGACAGGTGGGCCCGAGCTTCAGCACGAGAAAGGATCTGGCAAGGCACCAGATATCCCACCGTGCATGGAGGCTACTTGCTCAACCGCCACCAGTCTGAAGGCTTGGGTCTTGCAGCCTCACCAGCGATTCATCCCAGCAACGATCGTAATGTCGTACCCTCACAAATCTCGCTGTTGGCTGCGTACATGTCAATAAATAGCTGTTGAGGCAGTTCGGAGAATGTGAGGGAAAGATACCCCACTCAAGCAGTAGCTTTCCAATCGGCATTCGATGACACGTCACCTTGACCATGAGTGCATTCTCTGAGCAATGGTAGGCAAGAGTTTAGGAGACGATCAAGCGGCAGTCCAGCCCAGCGATACGGTCATAAGCGGAATAGACCAACTCAGTAGTCCGGATATGGGGTACATGGGAGCTTTCGGATCAACAATGCCACGAGGCGGTGGAAAGAAGGGGAGGCTATACCCTCGCTGTCCCCAGACGATCGGTTACGCATGTGGATAGAAAAGTCGGGCCATAGGTGAAGGATTCATGAAGAGTGACAGTGGCCACAATTCGGTTGCTACCACCATCATAAATGAGCTTCACGCCCAAGGGGGAGGCGCGGCCGCCAACTCTTCCTCTCGATTATCCTGCGGATGAATCGGGATGCACTGTGGTACTAGCGGTTGTGTGTATACTCGGCGTCCGATCACTCGCAGTCCCTCGGCTCAGCATATACATCGTGGGCTTCCCAAGCATCATGGTCACCATGAGCTCGGCAATCGTGATGAGCGCCGCCTCTAGTCGAAGCTGTTTGTCATTACTGATCAAACATTTCGGGCAAATCCGAGATTTGCATAAAAAAATGAGTGCTGGAACCATGTGGGCGATGGTATGCTTCGTCTCGGGTTGTCTCACGTTTCGAGCAAATATGCACCGGTCAAGCTTGGAGGGAAGAGTTCAACCTCTCGGCGAGGCTATTGGGGAGACATGGTGTTGGCTTCCCACGAGCGCGAAAGGATGGATACTCGTGCCGGGACGGAAAGATCCTGGATTCCCTTCGTATATCGTGGCGAAGTTGCGGTAGTCATTGTGTCTGTCTTGCTATGGTCTAAGTGCCATATAAGCCCCGGTACTGTCTTCTCCGTCCGTCACCAGTGACTCGAATGACTTAATCCAGATCGTGTAGTCCTCAGTCTGGTCCCTGAGTCAAGGCCACTGGGAAAGCCACGAATCCTTTGCGGTCAAATGAGCAAGACAGCATCTTCACTTTCCATACACACCACTGTTGCGTGGGTAAGTCTGCCCTGTTGCCACGAGGAAAGACGATCGCGCGATAATTCGCGCTAACTTGGTCAAAGAGAGGGATCAATCTGTGCTTTGTCACGGCAACTGAGGTTCTTGACGCATTGGGTGACTGCGCTGGGCAAGTGTAGAGTGAAGTTGTCGATCGTGAGTCTGTAATGGTACAGCCATCAGTTAGTATCATAATATTTGTTAGGACTAGTGGAAGCACAGGCAGCAGAGGGACTCGAAGATATATCTCGTGACACACCACACTAGAGTAACAGGGTCGACCTTCCCTAAGAGTCTCACCATTCTGTGAAGGCTCCAGTGATGTGCATTCAAGCTCAAAGCTGGCTAAAAGATGATCAATGTGTATTTATGAGTTTAGCTCATGGTGTTCGGCACTCAGTGGTGGCATAAACACGGCAACCTTTGAAAGCCCGGGTGCCTGGCCGATGTCCTCATTAGGCCTAGTGACCACCACGGCCCCACCCTTAGAGTCGTAGCCTAAAGAGGCTTAGTGTGATTTATAGTCCTACGTACTACTGTCCTCAGCTTCCATATACCAATCTTTTTGATTCACCTAGGATCTCTTCTGCTGGTGCTTATAGACTCTTTGTTGCTAATAGCATCTCAATACTGTACATTTTATTCTTTGATTGTGGCAGATCGAACAACAACTTTCCATATGATAAGGAGATATCAGAAGGAGACGATATCTCGGCGTCATCCGCGGGACGTGCTGCCCATACCTTCCTCGCATCGCAAGGATCCAAGCTTTGACTACTGCAGAGAGATCCAACGTGCACTCACAGGTTTCATGGTTGGTTTCACTCCCATACCCGCATTTCTGTGGCGGCAGGTGATAAGTTCAACCTGACCGCGTATGCGTCGGTTATGGCTATTGCATGGTTGATTGGACTGAACTTCAGGAATTCTTTCCATGGTTGTCCCTGCGCAAGAGAAGGAGAACCACTGCATCAGACGCCTCAGGGAGGCGGCTCTCAGACGATATTAAGTATCTGACTCATGTTATACGTCGTTGATCGCATAGTGCGAATCCTAAATTCTTTACAATGAGACTGACCAAATCTCGGAGCCGCAGATGACCCCCTTCGAGAATCCCCCTTCCGCTCACCATGCAATACGCCTAGTGGAATAGAGACTGGAAATACGTCTGATCATACTCCAAACAAGCTACATACGTACACACAACTCCTTTTCTAGCGGAGTACAGCCGATATCAGGAACTTCCGTTCGCCGATTGGAGCCGGGCTTCCGGTCGCGCGGTACGAAGATGATACCAAGTGGGAACAGTAGGCAGGAATGAACTGAGGCTGTGCGCCATAACTGCTCATACTATTCAACTCGGACCTAAGAAAGCGGAAGACCACGGTGGTCTCGGGACATCAAGAGTGCACGTGGCGACAACATGGCAGGCACGATTTGTGACGCGTTATGGTCGTACTGGAGGCCCTTTCAGCTAGTATGGACCCGGGAGACGTTGCAGTAGTTCGATACTATTCTTGCTTCAAAATGTCCAACATGAGATTAGTGAAGCCAGGGCCGAGCTACTATAGCTCTTCCCTCGGAAGGGGCCTGTTGTCGTCAAGCTTTGTACGAAAGCCAAACCGCAGCCTTGGCAATTGAGATTGCCCCTCATGAAGCACATGTTGATCGGTAAAGAACTGGAGTACCGGGCCTGAGCCGCATCAGCTGCTAGCTCCGCTGTTGAGAGTCTTGTGGCTTTCAATTCATTAGCCGCAATAGCTGATGGCGTACTTCACAGCGAACTGCCCATGATACAGTGGAGATCATGACGTGCGGCAATAAGATGGTATGCGCCTTTCCTGTCCTCCTGACGTCGGAATGCTGAGAAGCACTGTCATCTCCAGGCAACGGGCTTGATCTTGCAGATCTCACGCGTGAGCCTGCCACCTACTATACTGCGTCAACATGGAACTTGGATAAGTACGTGACTTACCTATCACTCGTCTTTGCGGCCAATACTTGCCAGAGTTGTGTGGGGACTAGACGAGAAACCTGTGACGCTCTATTATAGGGCCGCCCGGATAAGTTTTCCAGCGCCCGCTATGCCAAAACTATCGTTAAGGGATCAGCGGGGAAATCATTATGAAGCCTACACGGTCCTGCTCTGGAAATCATCGATCATGTCGGAGAGGCTTCTTCTATGATATCACTTCGAAGCCGAGGCTCAAGACACATAGCAAGATAAGAATCCGACACAGCACCACCGATCTGATGTATGAATGTGACGAAGACGAGCTGTCATCTGAATCCTAAGGGGGGCGACGAAGCCTCCGTGTTGTTGGGCAGGTAGGATGTCATTCATCACAATGTTTTTGTGGTTGTGGTGATGAAGAAGGGCTAGGCGTGGGCCTGGATGGTCGTCCGACGTCATTTGTTTTGGCGATACGTCACACCCGCCGCCGCGGTGACTCGCCGGCTACTGCTACGCGGTACTCCATACTACTCGGTTACTACTCACTAACTACTCAGTATGTCTCAACTGCCAGTGAGTGGACTAGATCGATCTAAACCTCATGATCGACGGGTTCTTTTCTTGTTCCAGATCTTCCGGAAATGTTACTTCCCGGTGGTCCTGACCAATGCACGCCGCCGCATTCCTCGACAGGGGAGCGGAAGAGCCCACTACACAAATGGCAGCCGTTTGAGATCCCGGGCCCAAAGCCCACTCTGGATCGAAAGTGGTGCTGAAGCATGAAAACTCAAAAAGGCTGCCTCTTGATTACGATGTCCTACCTAGGAAGATTTGAGTGAAATGCTTCAAATGGATCGGAGGATCCATGATCCCCAGTGATTCATTCCAAAGGCGAAATGAGCCTGGACCCGGCTGCACCTCAGGCTCAGAGGCGAAAGTGCCGCTTACGGGCAGATGCGCACTTGGCGGACTTGACGGACTCGTGACCGGACTAGGCCTGTTTGGGAGATTTCTTCGGAGTGCAATCGACCGCCTTCGATTTCGACTAGTTAATCATCGTCCGTCTCCTGACTCGATTTGTTCGGATCTTTCCGGGAATGCGACTAGCCCTCAATTGTACCCTGCGCATTTCTCCATGAATCGATTAGTGACTGTCTGTCTGTCTGTCTGTCTGTCTGTAGACAGTCAGTCAGAGACAGTCAGCGTACCCGGAAATCTCACCGTTTTTCGCTCTCCTTGGTTTCTGGTTTCCTCCTCATGTCAACCTTCCTAGGGGGGGAGGGGCGTGGAGGGGCGTGGTGGTTACGACCCTATTTATCGTATCGGGCTGCCTTGCGTTTCGGGCCAGGCGAAGTCTGATGGATCATTTTTTCTCTCCATGCGGGCCCGATGATGTCACTGGCGAGGGGCGGTTCTTCATGCTGCCTTGATTGTCCACCCAGAAGGTCTGCCCCGTGCGGGTCTCGTTCCCTTCGCGACTCCCCCCCCCAATTTGGGCATTTCGGTGGCTGTCATGACGGCATGCCCGCGCCCTCCATTCAGGGTTCCATGCTCCTTGAAATATATAGGGTCACGCCCGGCGGCAGTACCTTGATGCAGCTTTTAGATGCTTCCCCGCACAACCAGATCCTGTGGGGGATGAGCCAATTGTACAACAGCAATGCAGCGATCTCCACGACTTCTCACCACCACTAACCTCCTGTTCAACATTGTTTGCTAAGAATCAATATCCCGCCTCTGGACGGTGATCCCCATCGTCGGTTTTGACCCGTGACCCTACCTAATCGTCCCGACCGCTACGGCGAACGTCTCGCCACTCTCAATTTTAAACCTCCCTTCCAAGTCCAGGACCACCCCCCCCCCCCCCCCCCCCTTCACGCACAATGGGCGACCACAAAAATGCCGCCAAGGCCTCTGGAGATGAAGACGGGGCGGGTGCAGAGGAACCGGGACGTCCGATAAGATTGACGTACAATGTCGAAGGGGCCCGCGAACGTGAAATGCACATGTAAGTCTCGAGCCCGTTCTGACGGTCGCAAATCTCCTCTCCTTCACCCTCGCGACTGACGCGTGTCCTGTGCGGTACAGGTTTTACCCCTACTGGGGAATCCCCCCGGTAAAGAAACGATCCGCCAATGCGTCTCGTGATAATGTCCTCACCGTGTTCGCGCAGCTGGCGACTCTCCGGCTGAACGCCAAGCGTGCCTTGATCTCCCTCTTCGATCGAACCACCCAATACGTAGTAGCGGAAGCGACACCGCGCTACGACCTCCGCCGGCATCACAATCACCAACAGGACTCGAACGCCAAGGCGAAATCTGGAACTTTGTGGCTTGGTGTGTGCCAGATGTCTCGGGAACACATGAGGATGTGCGACCACGCGATGAAAACCTTTGTGGACGATCCTGAGGCCATGTTCATGGTGCGCGACTTGTCCAAGGATTCCCGCTTTCATGACCACCCTTCCGTGGTCGGACATCCGAATAACCGGTTCTACGTCTCGGTACCGATCGTATCCCCTGGGAAGCATGTGATCGGGAATCTGGTGGTCATCGATGACAAACCGCGGGATGGACTGGTCGAAGAGGAGATCGTCTGCATACGAGACTTGGCCTTGACCGTGATCGACCATTTGCAATCCCAGCGAGCGATGCGTGAAGAATATCGCGAAGAGAAGATGGTCAAGGCCCTGGCCTTGTTCGTCAATGGCAAGTCGGACCTTGGGGAATGGAGCCAGAATCAAGATGGACGGCCAACGAAGAAGACGGGTGGTGCGTTGGTGGACATGTCAGAGGTCAAGAATCGCCTCGACGACCTCAAAGTTACCGACTCGGAGGATGACTCTGTTCAAAACAATGAGTCGGAGAAGAAACGGCAGAGTGAGACAGATCCACCGTCTGACGAGCAAGATCGGCAGCAGGATGAGCCGGAAGAACAACAGGATAATACGGATCAAGTTCAAGGTCGATCGGAAAAGCAAGATCAAGCGGAGCAGCAAGATCAATCAGAATTACAGCAAAACGGGGTAAACTCGGAGTCCTTTGATGATCAAGATGACACCCCTATGTCTCCCAAGGGTACGAGGAGCCCATCGCCAGACGTCAGCCCATCGCCAGACGTCAGCCCATCGCCAGACGTCAGCCCATCGCCAGACGTCAGCCCATCGCCAGACGTCAGCCCATCGCCAGACGTCAGCCCATCGCCAGACAGCTGTGGCAATTCAGAGAAGAGTCCTACATTGAACGGCGGTACCACAGACAAGCGTCGCTCTTCGAAAAGGAACTCTGGATCTCCAGGAGAGCAGGGGTATCCTTCTCAGTCCGCCCCAGGCAGCGGGGATAATCCCAAGCCTTTTGAAGATAACAACAACACTCACAAAGCCCCCAGGGAGAAAGGCTATACATTCCAACCATCCGGTAGCGACCGCAAGGAGGACGACACTACCCCTTCGCACAATGCAAAGCGGGGGCATAGCCCGGATTCAACTGTACATAAGTTTGGAAAGGTGGGGGACAAGCCGACCAAGAGCCCGGTAGGCTCACATGCGCAGGGGCGACCAACTCGTCCGAAGCTCTCCCCTACGACAAGTCGCCTACAAGAATCGCTGGTTCCCTCCAATGTGAGGACAATTCTCAGCCGTGCTTCAAACCTGATTCATCAGGCCCTCGATGTCGAGGGAACCATGTTCCTCGATGCATCAGTCTATGCGAGACGACAGTTGATGGGCTCAACTAGCGACTTGCACGAAGATCGCAATCCTAGCCCCCGGAAGAGTTCGGGCGACAGCCAATCGACCCCCGGGAAGAGTTCGGGCGACAGCCAATTGACCCCCGGGAAGAAAGCGGCCAAGGATCAGAACCTCGGATCCGCCACCCTGGTGCTCGGTCACTCGACGAACGCTGGTCTAACGCAGGACCACGAGCCGAGCGATCGACACTACGTCTCACTTTCGAGCGAACTGGTGAGTCGCATCATCGACCGCTATTCGCGCGGAAAGATCTTCCACATCGATGCGGACGGTACAATCACAATGAGCTATGAGGGTACTGCGCTCAGCTCGGAACTGGAAACCCATGTTCGCGGAGAGGGCGCCGGCCTGGAAGGGAAGCAACCCCACGATACAATGATCCAGGAAGAAAACCGGGATATCAGAGACCTCATCAAGGTCATGCCGGGTGCCCGGTGCATCGCGATTTTCCCTCTGTGGGATTTCCAGCGCAATCGATGGTTCGCTGTCAATGTGGTGTGGACGAGAGATCCGGGCCGAGTGTTGTCGGAGCCAAAGGACTTGACCTACATGGCGGCCTTCAGCAACAGCGTGATGGCGGAGATCTCGCGGCTAAATCTGCAGGCGGCCGACCGCGCGAAGGCCGACTTCATCTCGTCCATCTCGCACGAGTTACGCTCTCCGCTGCACGGCATCTTAGGCACACTGGAACTGCTAAATGATACGGCGACTAGTGTCACACAACGACCTTTGTTAGAGACAGTCTCCAGCTGCGGCAAAACCTTGCTTGACACCCTAAACAACCTGCTGGATTACGGCAAGATGAATGCGCTAAACGACCCCCAGGGATCCCAGAAGCAAAATGAGTCAAAGTATGAGGAAGAACGTCGTACCAGCAAATCCCAGGGACCGCCCGAGCAGGAAGAGGACCTGAGCCTTATTGTGCAGGAAGTAGTCGAAGGCTTGGTGGCGGGCCAGGACTTCTTCTGGAGAACCACCGAGACCAAGCCCGAGAAAGAGAGGAAAGCGAAGGAGAAGAAGCCTAAAGGCAATCTCAAGGATGTTATCACTATTGTCGACATCAAGTGGCAAGAGAGCTGGCTTTGCATGGTCAACCCGGGCGCCTGGCGCCGAGTTATCATGAATCTCTTTGGCAACGCCTTGAAGTATACCGAAAAAGGCTGTATCCGACTGCGCATGGAGAACAGCAGCATGCTCCTCGAAAACGAGAAAGTCCCTGCTGTCCGGATCGTCATCACGGATTCGGGTCGCGGGATGTCCGAGGATTATATTTTGCATCACCTGTACACGGCATTCGTCCAAGAAGACACCATGTCCCCTGGACTAGGCGTGGGTGTGCACATTGTGAATCAGATCGTCAAATCCATGTCCGGTCAAATTGAGTTCAACAGTGAGCTTGGTGTTGGAACCGAAGTCAGTCTGCTGATTCCGATTACCATGATCACAGACAAACCGGCGACATCGTTGGCTTCGTCGAGGTACGAAACCCTCAAGAAGAGGTTGCACGGCCGCACTGTTGCACTGTTCACGAATACTTTCCGAGCCAACGACCTAAAGGTGAAACCGGAGTTTGTGGACAACATCGTGACCAACCTTCGTAAAATGATCAGCGACTGGTTTGGCTTGCGGGTGTTGACGGCGGACGAGCTGGAAGGACAACCGGCCGATATCAACATCATCACCCAGGATGAGTACAGTCGGAATTACAACCCGGAGGCCACCGGACCTGGCGGCCTTTCCCCATCAGTCTCAGTCAGTGTGGGGTTCCCATTGATCGTGCTGAGCGCGAACGCTACCAAGGCGGCTGATCTCCGGAGCGACCGGGACGACGTTGTCTTTTTCTACCAACCGTAAGTGACTTATGATCCATGCCTTATCCTGTCAAGTGCTGACAGGTGGTTAGTGTGAGCCCCAAGAGTCTGGCCACCGCGTTCGAGACGTGCCTTGACATCAAGGAACGTTCTGGAGACAACACTCCTGCACGAATGCAGTCAACGCCATCTCCTCCTCCTGACGCTCAGATCCAGCTGCCAGAGCCTGCAATGAATGGCTCCAGGCCCCAGTCTGCCGAGACCCAAGACCCAGTCAACAAGAAAATGGCGTCTCCGCGAGACAGTCCGATGGTGGATGATGTGAATGGTGTGGACGATCAAGCGACCGAGCGACGGCAGCCAATGTCCGGATCCGGACCCCGCAGGGTCCTTCTCGTCGAGGACAACGCTATCAATCTCCAGGTACGGTGCTTCCGCTTCTGTTCTATATACAAGCGACTAATCTGGTCCGACAGCTTCTTGAAATGGCCGTCAAGAAGTCCAAATTCCAATACCATTCGGTGTCCAACGGGCTCGAAGCGTCTGAGGCCTTTCGACGCTTGGCATTTGATGCCGTGGTGATGGGTACGACTCGTCTCCTCCCCATGTTGAGAGGTGCATCCCACTAACAAGTAGCAGACATCTCAATGCCGGTCATGAATGGGCTGGAGGCCACCCGCAAGATCCGGCAGTGGGAGCGAGCTCACCATTTGGAGCCCACGGTCATCATCATCCTCACGGCGGGGGTGTCGCCGGATATCCAGCAAGAGGCGCGAGCCAGCGGAGTGAATCTGTTCCTGATGAAACCGATCTCGATCGCCAAGTTGCAGGGGGTTCTGCGCGACATGCCCGACGCGAAGAAGGGGGCCCTCTTTTAAGCGGGTCTAGGTGTTTCTGGACTGGAGTCGGGGGGGTCAGCGTGGGGCGTTATTGGTCTTTGTGTGGTTGATATGCATGGCATGCATGGGAAATGACTCACCATACTACGATTATACGATTTTTTTGATGTATCAGCGACGAAGATAGGATAGACGAGACGATACCTACGGGATTTTTAGTTTTCTAGCATTGACTTGTGAATATTCAGACGGACGGAGTATAATGATTATTGGCCTACATACAAGAATGCCTGCTGCACAAACACCAACAACAAATCCAGCCGAGTGAAGGCCAACTTTCACGCCCGATACTCAATCTTCAAGACCCAGCAATAATGTTCCCCCTCCCACGCCTCCAGCGGCACATCAAACCTGAACCCGCCTTCGACCTTCTCCCACTGCACCTCCCAATCCCCCGCCGTGTCATCACCCGTCAAAGCCACCACCCGATCCCCGCCCAGCAAAGGCAACGGCGCCTCGACCACCACCTTCCCCTCCCTCAGAACCGGCTCCTCCACCCACAGCACATAAAACGCGTCCTCCGCCTGCGTGAACCTCACGGCCCCGGCATTCCCCTCCGCCATGACAAACCAATACCTCGTGGCAAACACCGCCTCCGCATGCGCGGCAATCCACCGCCCGGCCTCCCTGAGATTGCGCTCCTCGGCCTCGACAATCGTCCCATCCGCCCTGGGGCCGACATCCAACAAGAAATTCCCATTCTTACTCACGATATCGACGAGGTCGCGCACGACGGTCGACGCATTCATGTACCCGTCCGGCGGGGTGGCGCGGTTGTACCCGTAGCTGTAGGGGTCCATGCCCATGTTGGACTCCCACTTGCGGCGCTGGGCGGAGCTGAAGGTGGCGTACTCCGGGGTGTCGAAGTCGGCGGCCTGCGGGATGCCGCACCGGGAGTTGATGGCGACCTGCTTGGCCTGGTTGAAGAAGCCGGCGGCGAAGACGGGGGTCGCGTTGGCGGCGCCGCAGTCGCACCACATGATGTCCGTGCCGTAGGTGTGGGCCAGGGTCTGCATCTGCGGGAGGAGGAGGGAGTCGATGAAGTTGCCTTCCTGGACTTTTGGCAACAAGGTGTCGGTGGTGCTGGTGGTGGTGGTGACGTTGGGCAACGGGATCCGTCCCGTGTAGGGCTCGACCTCCCCCGTGAAGGGGTTCACGGCCGGGAGGCCGGGCCAGCTCGTCGAGCTGTTCCCCGGCAGCTGGGCGAAGCCGTACGGCGCAAAGTCCGGGTTGAACCACTCGGGTAGGGAGAAGTAGGTGCCGCGTTTGAGGTGCGGCTGGTGGGTGGCGGCGGCTGTGAAGAGCTCGCCGACCAGATCGCGGTGCGGGCCGTAGTGCAGGCTGTTGCGGTGCGTGGTGTTGCCAGTGTCGAAGAGGGCGAAGCCGTCGTGGTGCTTGGTCGTCAGCACGAAGTATTTCGCCCCGGAGGCGGCGATCAGGTCGACCCAGGCTTTGGGGGAGAAATTGGTGGCGGTGAAGTTGGCGAAGGAGTCGTCGTAGTTCCAGTCGCGGCCGAAGGTGCGCAGCCGGTAGGCTTGCGTGGAGGATTTGTCGGCGGCTGGGTGCGTCGTGTACCACCTTTTGTTTCTTTAGTGGGTGCTGGAGTGGTTCTTTGGGGAGGGGGGATAGGGGTGGTGAAGGGGGTAAGGGGGTTGAAGGGTAAGATAGGGTAGGCGATGGGCAACGTACCAGAGCCATTCGGCGTAACTCTCCCACGGAGTCGAGTTTCCCCAGCCCGGCACCGCGTACGGGCCCCAATGGATGAAGATCCCGAACTTGGCGTCGTCGAACCACTCGGGACTCTCGTGGTGGGCCAGGCTGGACAGGTCGGAGGTGTACTTGGTTAATCCGAGGGAGAGATCGACGGTCTGGGTGGTCAGAATATCACCCCTGTAGGTGATCTGGATGGTGGCCGTGCCGTTGGCGGTGCCGTGGACGCCCACGTTGACTCGTTTCTGATCACCGGGGCAGAGTCGCTTGATATACCCGGGCTCAGCCATCGTAGTGCCTGGCATCTCAAGCGTGGCTGTCAGTCCTGGGCCCGAGATGCATTCGTTGCCCGGATTGTTGACCGTCAGCTCGACAATCTGGTTGCCCTGCTCCGTCCATTTCTGGGTGGGCCGCACGAACTGCACCTGCGCAGCCGCCGTCGAGGTCACTGGCCACAAGGAGAGTGCAAAAACGTGCAGTCGGCCCGTGGTGGCATTGGTCGTCACGGGGAGGGTGACAGACTGCAGGCTCTTGAGCGGGTCCAGCGCGGCGGTGTACTCGAAGATGTGTGAGGTGTTGAAATTGGTGTCGTTGGGTGTGTATCGGTAGGGGAAGATGATCTCGCCGCGATTGATCGTCAAGAAGGCCCACCAGGGGAGACTACGCAGCTCTGACACCACAGTGGTGTTATCGCTATAGGTGTAGATCACGTCCCCGGAGACGGTTTCGAGCTCCACATCCGCCGAGACGAGCATCGAAGCAGACAAATAGCGACCTTGGGGAACTGCGATGGACTGGCCGGCGCAGATGACATTGTCGGGCAGACCAGCCTGGCGATATCCGGGGAAAGAGTAGGCGATGCCTGTCTGCGATGAGGTGTAGCTCCCGTTGATCCCTAGTTCGCTGGGGTCGGGATAGGACTCGTTCGCTGCATTGAAGGTAGCCTCCCCTGGGAACTGACCAAACGCCTTGTTGTTGAAGTATGGCTTGAGTGAGACGGAGGTAGACTCGGTTTGTTAGAATGCAGAATGTCAAAGACTGTCAGTGGAACATACGGAGTGATTGATATGGACAGCAGCAGAAGCGACTGACCCTGCGAGGGCCACCCAAAACAATGCTTCGTTCTTCATCGCGGTGATGCGGTGGAAGAAATGCACGCCGGAGGGGTTGAATTTGAACAACTGAGCCGACCTCATGCGATATTGTTCCCCTCACCAATAATGCCACAGTGACATCGTCACTGGAGACACGGGAACTGCCAGACCGCGCATGCGCAACGGTTATTGGAGGCGACAGGCGAGCTGCAGGGGACTAAATGATGCTAAGATGGCTAGGGGCGGGGAAGGCGTCGATAAGAAGAGGAGATGCAATTTAGGGCTTCGTTCCCCTCCCCGATAAGCCCGTGGGCCATGATACTGCCTCGCACGACTTCATGTTACATCGGCCGAGACGTGGGGCGAGTTAGTTATCGTTCAGTAGATAAGAAGACGCAGGCGCAATTGGACTTGTCAGAGACTCTTCACTATCATACCCAACCCACGATGTGGTCGAGTCTGAACATTCTTGCAGCGCTGGCCTTGGTGCCATTGAGCGCTGCCTTCAACAACCCCCCCGGGGTGGACATCTGGTGTGGCAAGGCCTATCGCGCGAGGTAAATCACCTCCATCAGTTTCTGTCTCCACCTACTGACCTTGTACTGCAGCAACGCCTCATTCAATCCGGGAGGATGGTTCGAAGAGCCTTCATACTCCGTGACGCCCCTACTCAACCTCAAGGTCCGACCCCGGATGAGCATCTATCTCTCCAACGACCCCAGCGGCAGTCTCCTGGTTGACACAAGCGTATCGCATCGCATCGGCGACCCCTTGCCCCTGACAGCAACAGCAAGCAGCAACCACAGCGCGCAGGCCTTGCACCTGCACATTGAGATCGGCGACACCAACGGGACAGCACTCACGTCCATCATCAACTACACCCTCCCACTGGACACGCGCAACAACGAGATCCCCATCCCATTGCAGGACCTTCCCGCCCGACTCCAGCCCTACACCGTGGCCGTCCACGCCACTCTGCCCTCGTCCAACGCAACAAGCAAGAACCCGACAACCTTCACCAAAAGCACCTCACTGTACCGCCTCCCCCGACGCACCGACGGGGGCAGCGCCACGCGCATCGACAACCTGTACGGGGGGTTAGCCTACCAAACCAGCACGGAAGAGAGCTGGACCTCGATCTTCCCCTACACCTACTACGGTACAGTCCAGCTCCCACTGCAGCTAACCCCAAGCCCCCACCACCAACTAACAACTCCCACCAGCCCAATGGACTCTCTACTGGGACACGAGCCCCACAACCCTAACAACCTTCACCTCGCAAAACTACAACGTAATCCACATCGTGCCAACGGGGCCCCTCTCGACAACCTCAAGCGCCTACCCGTGGACCACCCTGAACCCCTACCTCGCCCTCGCCGACCACACGCACCTGAAATTCCAATACGACCTCCTCTTCGACCCCACCAACACCAGCACCATGCTCACGCAAGCCCAAACCCTGCACACACACCCCTCCCTCCTCCTCTGGTACCTGGCTGACGAACCCGACGGCAAGGCCACCCCGCCCACCACCCTCACCACCGCCTCCACCACCCTCAAGACCCTGGACCCTTACCACCCGATCTCCCTCGCCCTCAACTGCGCCAACTTCTACTACGAAGAATACGCCTCCGCCGCCGACATAATCCTGTCGGACGTGTACCCGGTCGCGACGAACACGAGCTGGAGCAGCGTGTACGACACCCCGTGCAACGCGACCTACGGCTGCTGCGGGTGCGACGACTGCGCCGGAAAATTCGAGGACATCGCGACCCGGCTGGACACCTTCCGGGGCTTCGACGAGCTCGTCGGCTGGGAGAAGGTGCATTGGGCGGCGCCGCAGGCGTTTGGGAACGAGACGTTCTGGACGCGCTACCCGTCCGCGCGGGAGGAGGTGGTCATGAATCTGCTGGGTGTCAATCACGGGGCGATGGGGGTCGTGATGTGGGATTTCCCGACCTCCGCGGAAATCAGTGCCGTCACTGGGGAATTGGCGGGGGTGGTGACGAGCGCGGAGATCACGGGGTTTTTGGTGGGGACGGAGCGGAGGAGGGTTGAGGTCGGTGGGGAGGGAAGGGCGAGGGTGGATGTGGCGGGGTGGGTGGATTGGAGGGCCAAGAGGGCTTTGGTTAGTGTCGTTAATCTGAAGTATGAGGATACTATCGCGGAAGTGGTGGTTGGGGGTGCGGGGGATTGGGAGGTTAAAGCGGTCGAGAAGGTGGTTTGGGGAGAGGTGCAGTGGAGGGTCGGGGGGGGCAAGTTGGTCGTCGATGGGTTGGTGGGGTTGGAGGTTTCGTTGGTGATTGTGGAGCTGGTCTGAGGCTGTAATGGCGTTAAAGGTATAGTGACTATACATTCTTGAATGGTGACTGTTGATCAGAGAATTGACAATATTAAGACTAGGACTGAGTCGAACTGCCTTAGCACTAAGCATATACAAAAGTCATGGCCGTGTCATCAAGAGCATCATCTTTCGAGTCGCCCTGATACGTGAGTATATATATGAGAAAAGACTACCCGGATCATGTCCCTCAGGCTAGAGCACCTTCACCCGCACCCCCTGCGTGTCAGGCCGCACGTGCGGCAGGAACATGTCGCGGTAGAGTTCCACCGACTCGCGCCCCGTCTCATACAGCTCAAACTCGAACCGGCGGTAGATGTTCGCCAGCGCAATGTACATCTCCGCGTACGCGAGATTGATGCCCAGGCACGACCGAGTGCCGCGACCAAAGGCCACCATGTAGCGTGACAATTTGCGGCCGTCGGGCGCCACGGGGTCCCCGAGCCACCGCTCCGGCTTGTAGGTGAAGGAGTCGGGGAAGATCGCCTCGTCGTGGTGCACGGAGTAGATGTCCATGCTGATGGCAGTGTTCTTGGGGATCACCCACGACTTGTAGCTGAGCGTGAATTTGTCCGAGATGCGTGGACCGCGTTGTACAACACCGTAAGACAAACGGATGCCTGGATTTGTGAGCGAGGATACAGAGAAAGGCTGCACAGTGGCAAGTGGCAAGTGGGGGCACATACCCTCCTGGATACATCCCGTCAGGTACGGGAGTTTCTCCAGCTCCTGCAGAGGCGGCATGTTCGTGGGATCGGGGATCGCAGCCTTCAGCTCCTCGCGAAGGCGGTGATAGACTGAAGGCGTGCTCAGAATGTGGTAGCTGGCGACGGTCATCGCGAATCGCGTGGTGTCGAACCCGGCTCCAATGACAGTGAAAGCCTCATGATGCAGTCGCCGCAGGGTCTTGTCTTCGGGCGGCAGGTCCGAGTCCAGCAACGCGGCAAACACCGTGTTCCGATCGGCTTCCCGCGTTTTGCCCTGGGCTTTGATGGCGAGAATCTCCGCGATCTGGCTGGACATTTCCTGTTTCCCAGTCAGTATGCAACCGCACCCGTGGATTCACCGCAAACATACATGGTTGTAATGGTTCACCGACTTCATGCCCGGTTGGAACACCTCGACCACCTTTTCCGGAAGCGCATTCATGAGGGTGGACACCCAAGGGAAATGCGCGACCACGTGAACCACATCCAGCAGATCGACCATGGCCTGGATAAACTGCGAGCGGAAGTCGGGGGCTTCGATGAACTGGTACCCCCGGTTAAAGCAGTATTGGACGATGATGTCGGACGCAATGCATCCCCACATCCAGTCAAACCGCAGAACCTTTCCTGTGCCCTGATACTCCCGACGGAGCCGATTACAAAGTTTGTCCAGCTGCTCCTGCATCATGGGTGTGGCCTCGGTGATGGTGCGCTTCGAGAAGAACGCATTTAGAGCAACCCGTCGGCCGTGGTGCACATGGTGCTTGGGGGTTGGGAAGAGCCCAGTATCATTACCGAACCGATGCTGCCAGTGCTCGAGTTTGTCCCACGGCAAAGATTGGGAGTAGAGATCCTCGAAGAAAGAAGAATCCTGAATGTGAATTTCATTCGGGCTGATTCGTACGATGGGTCCTACAGCGAGCACGGTCAGCGGAGGGAATATTGACTTGAAGATATGCTCCAATACTAACCATACTGCTCGTGAAGCTTGCGGTAATGGAACAGAAACTGTCCTCCCGGGGACTTGAACACTTCGAAATATGTCTCATACCATTGGGTGAAGGCAGCGAGTTTGGGGCCCGGGAACTTGGCGAGCGGATGGAGGGTGATGCGATACAGCCCGAGAGCCAGGAAGTATACTAGGGAAAGAGTCGTGGTAATGCCACATAACAGGAGAGGGGAGTCTACAAGAGACTTCAAAGAGACCACCAAGTCTTGAACCACACCCATGGCGTCGGAGGACAGGGATCAAGCAGCAAACAGACAGAGGATACCAACAGAACACCAAGGGGGGAAGGGGGGTGGACCCGAGATTCTGGGACCAGGTGCAGATAAGTAATGTCGCGTCGCCAGGCAGGCGGACTGGCATCGAGGGCGTAGGCCCCGTCCAGTGGCAGCCGTCATCGATGACCCGAGGGATTGGATCATGAGTCTTCACACGGTCCCGATGGGTTGGCTTGGACAAGAAACGAACCACTTACACTAGTCATGCCCAGTCGTACATGCTCGATAAGTCAGTACTTAGAGTTGAGGGGGGGGGGTGGTTCCAATGCTCCTCGTCATCTCCTTCCCTTCCTTCCTTCGGTGGGCCAGGCCCGTGCGAACCATTGAAGCTGCCTACAAGGACTAGACCGCCGGGTCGGGAAAGGCTCTTTTGCTTTCGGACTCCAGTAATGATTTTGGCCGGGCTGCAGAATTATGCAGACAGCAGCAGTGCAGACAACGCAGTGCAGCCAGCACATTGCCTCGCCACCCGGGTTGTGGTTGGCTGCCAGCCCCAACAGTTGCTAGTATTATTGTGTCCACTTTGTCAATGGCTTGCCATTGGCACTGTGGCAGTTCCATTTGGGCAACCATCTACTCCGTACCATCTGGGCTTCCACTCCGATCTTCTTTCATCACCATTCACTGTGAGCGAGTGTATCTGCGAACCCTGCTCTGTAATGCAGGCAAGGCCAATGAGCGGAAGATTGATGCGGGCTGGGATGGGAAATAGCGATTGCCCTACTTTGTTAGTGGCGGACGCCGTCTCCCGTCATTCGCGTCAGTTGCTGTTCAGTCCCAATACGGTGGACGGCGGGCCCGGGGTATCGCATCCACTCTTCTGCACCGCACTGACTGACGGGTGCTAACTTGCTAAACTTGAGGGTACCGTTTCCGGCATAATCCAATATTGACACACTGCACGGCAGTCAGTCCAAAACAGAAGTTGGAGCAAATGGGTGTACCGGTAGATGCACAACAGACAGACGGGCTGAATAATTGTAGACTCTGCCGGGCGTGAATGCGTGAATGGTGCTCATCTCGATGATCGACTGCATTACCCATGACGGGTTCGAACAAGCACAGAATAATGCAATCTTGTCTCCTCGTCTCGAGCGGGCCCGCCCTTGAAGCTTCCATTCCTTCATCCCTTTTTCCTTGCCATTTTTTCTTTTTTCTTTCTTTTTTTTTTTTTTTTTTCCTTTTAGCTTTTTTTTTTTGATTTATTTTTTTTCTCCATCCTCCTCCTTCCCGTCAACCCCTCTCAGTCTCAGTTCAGTTCTATCCCCGCTGGCTGGATACGAAAGTGGAGACTGCACACTGGGACTAGCGCCGGTAAGAGAGGGCCAGCAGAAACTTGCAGAATTGCCGGAAAGTGCAGCAAGTGCAGCAAGTGCAGCCAGTGCAGCCAGTGCAGTGCGTAGCAACACAGCAGAACTGGTTTGTCGATTCCGGCGACGGGGGTCTGACTGGTTGCTTTCCCCCCTCATGGGCCCCATCGAACCATGAACTTTAATTGCTTCGCGGGTGCGACCAGACCAGAGACACTTGACTTTGACAGGACCGTCACCGTTTCATCCTCCCTGTTTGTCCCTCTCTAGTAGTCTCTACCCAGAGGAGAGTGGAGGGAGATGACTGAACCAGGCTTCACCAGACACTCAATGCCTGCGAGACTGCTGCAGTAATGACACACTGCCGAAGTCCATGTAGGGGAAAAATAACTGTCTTGCAGGAGGTGGGTGGGAAGTGGATGGATGGACCCGACTGGAAAGGCCCATGCAGAGACGGATGAGGGCCTACGAACCCACTCACTGAATTCACATCCGTCTTCCCCCCGAGGCAACCGGCGGATAACCACAGAACTCAGTAATTCTGGTACGGGTGGTAAGCTATTGCAAGGCGATCATGAGCAACTCCCCCGTGATGTGATGTTTTCTGTCCTGTATTTTGGGGAGAAGAAGGTTGCCCATCGCGGGTCCAGCGACACGCAATGGTCCGACCGATACTATTCCATAACCGGCAGGATCCTGACAGAACTCAAGGGGAGAGTCAGTTCGCAACCTTCAGCTGCATTGGCAGGAGTGTAAACTATATGAACGGGTGATGGAGGGAATTTGACCCACCCAATCACTCAGTCGGCGATGCGTGGTTTGACCACCGCCCAGCATTCCTTTCTCTCCCCCCTTCGATCGGCAGCAATAGTCATGCACCCACCGGAATAGTGTGGTCATGGCAGCAGCCGTCCCAGCAGCGCGTCCGCCTGCAGCAGCTCTTCAGTCCTGGGAACCCAACCAAATCTGGTTTTCCAGTCGAGTTCGATAAGAGCACGGCTTGCCAATCGAAATCTGGCCCATCGCTCAAGCCACGACCTTCATCTTTCCCAATGAGGCGTTCCCGCGAACAAAGGTTGAGGGAAATCGCCATTCACCGCTGCCTTCTCGCGCCAGACGTTGTGTAATCACTCCCGGACTGGAATAGGGATCTCGACGAACAGTCACGAATTGTAGCCAGAAAAATCATGAAACGCTGGATGGGATACCATCCATCCGATGGCGCAGAACACAAAAGGGAGCCAACCCCCTCCCCCTGCAGAGATCGGACGAGAACGCCAACGGTCGGCGGTCGGACTGGTTGCGAAGAGGCTTCCATGGTGGTTCGGCGACCACTAGAAGCCAGCTAGCAGGTTAGTCTAGCACCCATGTCGCCAACGGACAAGCCAACGAGGCGTGTCGTGCAGAGGCCCTGTCCACTTGCTCGGGCCCCCTGGCCTGCAGGGCCGGTGAATTAATCCCGGAGCCCGTCGGACACACACCCCCGTCTCGTCTCAGACTGTCGTTCTCCACGAGCACAAATCTTGATTGCGTGCATATTCTCACCTGGAGACTGGTAAGTGTTGCGTGGTTGAGCTAACAATTCAAAATCATGCTTTGATCCCGGTCGCATCGCCGCGCTTGTCCTCCCGAGACGAAGCCCCCGACCAGGGTAATGTCGACATATGGTATCGACCGTTTGGCGGACCATCTTTGTTTGTGGTCCAGGTGAGCAAGCAGGTGCGATATTAGCATGATTGCAGGCCACGAAGAACTCAGAGTATCATGGATAAGCTTCTCTGAACAGATATTAGCGGGGGTCGCCAGCAGAAGGATCTGGCGATCGGCTTGAGCCATTTACCTCGATCAATTCTTCAATGCTGTGGTCGCATTTTGACAATGTTGCTTGGTTGTCGGTCTCACGGCTATCACTGTTCCTGAACAGGACTCAGCGTTCATCGAGAGTAGTGCCTTTACTTCTGAAGGAATGTGGTGCAGCCTTCCTGGGTTCCTCGCAATGATGTTGGGAGAACCGCTCTCTTGCTTGTGAGGGTGTTATCGTGCTGTAAAATGATGAGATGGGCATGCGCCAGACAAGACAATCACATTTTCATCTGGACAGGCAATCGCAGGCGCGTTCTTGCTCGCGATCCGAATGCGCAAGTTGGTGGTACAGTAAGGAAGAGGAAGGGAGAGGTGGTCCGGGCGACTGGCCGTCAACAATGGTGGACACCGGAAATTTCAGGCTGGCGTCGAGCACTGCAAGTGGATGGAACTTCGTCTCTGCAAATGACTCAGCCAATAGTTCGACAGGCTGGAAAAAGAACCCCTTTCACTGCTGTCACACTGCTTCAGGTTCACTCTTCTTCAGCGTCATCTTGAGACACAAACATCGTGCTCCAAATCGATGTACAGTATGCACTGTACCAAAACCAAGTCAAGCACTACGATCGAAGTTTGATACCGGGATGATCCTCTTCATTTCAGGCTTTCAGGTTGTATTTCTCGATCGGAAAGTAGTTATTGGATTAAGCTTGGGGTCCGCCTCGGCGAAAAGTCAAGAGACTTCTCCTCAGGGTCGCGCAAGCAAGAATGTGTGACATTCAGATCTTGATCTGCGCCGGTGGTTCCATGATTGAGAGAAACATGTGAATTCGTCCTTGTTGAATTTCAGGTCTAGTGGAACAAGCCACCCTGAAAGACAATTCTACCAGAGGAGTATATCTAAGCGGCGAGCCTTTCGGCCTGTCGAGATTGACCGTTCGTCAACAGCATATCAGGAGTATGATTGCTATTTCTCACCATCAGATCATGCGCATGATTTTGTTCCATGGATGACAATGTCGCTCCCATCTTGGAGATTGTATCTCGAGTTCACGCGCCTGAAATCATCCTCTCGATGCAATTGTGATCTACCTGCCATGCGCTACCGGTGTCGTCCACGCTGCCGCTGTCTCCCACCGGCAGACCCTTCCTCTGTCCCTAGTACTTCAATGCCTGATCGGATGGCTCCCGATATCGGTGCTCCAGACGAGCTTCGCAAACACCATCAACGATATCCTCGACCAAGATCTGGACCGGAAGGTGTCTCGGTGCCGGAATCGGCCTCTGGCCCGGGGAGCTCTGTCCACGACCCAAGCCAGTCTCTTCGCTGCGATCCAAGCGGTAACGCTCGTTCTTCTCTCCATATGGGCTCTTCCCCGCGCCTCTCGCATCTATCCCATCGCCACTGTTGTCAGCAGCTGTATCTACCCCTTTGGGAAGCGCATCACCAACTATCCGCAGGCCATTCTCGGGGCCGTGTTCGCCGCAGGCTTTCTCTGGGGGTACGAGTCCACTGGGCTGCGCCTGGCATCCCAGGCTCCGATGGTGAAGATCTCCGCGGGCAGCATGATGGGTGTCCTGTGCTTGTGGGTCGTGATGCTCGACGTGATCTACGCATTTCAGGACGTCGCGGATGACCCCCGCGCCGGGGTGCGGAGCATGAGCGTGCGATTCCAGAACTCGAGTTGATGGCTCTTTACGGTCTTGGGGACCATGTACATGACATTTCTCTCGGTGACTGGAGTTGCTGCAAGTCTGGGCCGGAATTTTGTGGTTGTTGCCGGGTACGCGGCGACAACTTTGATCGTCAATCTGTGCTGGGTGGATGTCACGTCCAGGGCGAGTTGCCGGTGGCGATTCCAGAAGGGGTTTCCGTTGATGGCGGGGATTGTGTTCTTGGGACTGTTTGGGATTGCGTGTCAGAGGGGTTCGTAGGTGGCACAGCTGCTGCGTCAACATGTTCGGTGCCGGTGGAGGATACATGCACCTGCAGCTCTCTGCAACTGCGTTCCTGGTCTAGGGCAGCAATGGAAACAGAACTCTTTGAAATGCTATATACCTGTATCGCGAAACCAACCTGCACCATCGTATACAATCAGCACATATGCCATGCCACAACAGCCAACTCCTCTCCACCCGCCCCCAAACCCCTCTCATGAACCTGACATCAACCACCCAAACCTACCCTCTCACCCTCTTTCCCCTCAGAAACTCATAATCCGGCATGGCCTCCTCAACCGCGCGCTCCAACATCGCGGCAACCTCCTCCCCAAACTCCCCTCTCCACTTCTTAACCTCAGCGCGCACATCCACCGCGGCCGGCGTCTTCTCCTTCATCACGCCGGACGACCCCTCCAGCGTGGACAACATAATCCTAGCCGCAGCATAATAATCCCTCTGCTCCTGGGTCAGCACCCCCTCTTCCTCCTCCTTCTTGCCCCTGCGCTGATGCGGCTCGCCCACGCCCCACTCCCACTTGACCACCCCCTCGTCCAACCCAGCCAACCGACAAAACCGCCTCACCGCCGCCGGCTCATGAATCAAATCATGGGCATCAAGCAGCAGAACCTCCTCCCCGGGCTTCTGCCGCAGACACCACTCGACCAACCCCCTCGTCCACCGCAGGGACATATTGGTCGCCAGCGTGCCGCGCAGCGTCTCCTCGTCATCGACCAGATACCCGGTCTCGCCGACCTTGCGCATGGCGCGGTAGAAGCTCGGGAACGCGAGGGCCGGATGCCGGATGATGAAGGCCAGGCGCCAGGTGCGGAGGTATTCGTCGGGGAAGATGGTTTCGTTGCCTGAAGAAAACGTGGCGGTGGCGGTGGGGCCGTAGGTTTCGGGCAGGGGCAGACGGAAGAGGGTCTCGTCTGCTTCTCTTCTGTCCGCATCGTCCGAGGCCGACTCGTCTGGGTCGGTCGGGTGGAAGGAGACCGGGTTGGCGAACCAGAAGGCGTGTTCTTTGGCGAAGGCCCGTTTGCCGTTCGTGGCGGCCTCGGCGGAGAAGGCCTCCAGGGCATCGAAGCACGACTGGAAGACGGAGCGGACTTGCGCCACGGTGGCGGGGGGCCAGGTGGCCGCCGGGGTGGTCAGGACGCTGCTCTGCGCGGCGGCTGTGAAGGCATCGAAGAAGAAGTAGCCGCCTTTGTTGTTGGTGTGGAGGGCGGGTTGGGAGTGGATGTTGAGGACTTTGAGGAGCAGGTTGGAGGCGGTGCGCGGGACGCTGACCAGGAGGAGGCGTTGTTGGTCTGTGGGGTTGGTTTTGGTCATTTTTGTCTGTTTTGTTGGTGCTTGGGGTTCCATATTTGGGTCGGTTGTTTACAGGATCGCTGGATTGATACCCAGTGGGCGGGAGCTCGGGTCACAGGTTAAGCTTAAGTGAGGGTGTGGGCAATGAGAACCTCAGAAGATGAGGACATACCGGGGCCCGATGGCGTGATTTCAGCCTCTACTTATAGTTCTTTTAGCTTGGGGGCTTAGACTAGTTGGTTAGTGGTTGTTGATGGCGCATGGACTACTGGAGTATAGTCTGAGAGTATACACTATACCTTTAAAAAAAAAGCCCTCATTGTACAGTACACACAACCCCTCAATCGGCCCATCCTCTCGACGAACTCGCGAAACTTGCCTCCATCCCTGCTCGACCTCCGACAGTGGAGGCTCAACACGGGTAACAGGCTCGATCATTGGCTTGCAGTTGGCGATCGGCAAGGATTGTGGCTGTTAGGCTGTCAGAATTAGTAACGGTCTCGGTCGCTCGGCTTTAGGACTGTCCGATTAACAGCGAGAAAATACTCGGTAAATGTCAAGCACTGAGGGCTGGGATGTGGTGACAGATGCAGATCATCCCGGTCACGTCCTCACTAAACTTGTCCCAGTTGAGGCAGAAAGCGTAGAGGTCACCATGTCACTCGCGGGGATTGGTTGGGGTGGGGAGGATAGTGCTTGTCCGAGGTTTCACAAGATGAATGGAGATTGGACTGGGGTCTTGGTGGGTGGGTTCGACTCCGACGGAAGACTCAGGCCCGCACCAGTCGTTGAATGAGGGGGGTTGCAGTTCGAGTGGAACCGTGCATGTCAAGCTAGGGTAGGGTAGGATAGTCTAGGGGCTGGGAAAGCCTTAACCACCCTTTGGGGAAGAGATACACAAAGTGCTTATCAGTTGGTGTTTCATCTAGAAGAGCAAGCATTTGAAACTCTGCATCGTCGCATTACAATCAATGCATGCAGGATCAAGACCTGGCGAATCGGTTTGAACACTTGCTGGAACATAACCGGGTTTTCACATCATGTTGAACTTGATGACATGAAGATTGCGTCTGGTCCGAACGACATACCGTACATCTAGGCTGATTGTTGCACAGCTCTACCGTTGCTACGTTTCCTGGTCCTTGGAGACGGCAACGGTGAAACCGCCTTCTGCTTCTATTACCGCTCTCGGCTTATCCAGATACCATTCTGCGCGATTGCAACTTTGCATGCCTGGATTTCAAAGTCCATTTTGAGCTTAGACGAAACGGACGAACCTGCGGCTCAAGGCTGGACGCTATAGCATGACACTTACTTCAGCGGTTCACCTGCGCACCAAAAGTCCGGATCCACGACCAGAAAGAATCATACATCGGTTGTTGACTTCACAGCTCCTCCCCCCCTTTCATCAAGCTCAATACTCTCCCTCGTCACAGAGATCTGGACACTTTTCATAATAGCGTTGGTCCGTTTTAGCAGACACGGAGTCTTAGATGATGAAGCCGAGGCCGATGTACCTTGCAGGATTGGCTCGCGGTCCGTACCATTCCTCCTTGGCTGAAGAGATGGGTCTTTGATGTGGCGCGACAACTTCCACGCCGTGGGCGCTGTTGGCCCACTGTTACTGTGAGATCCTGATATTTCTTCTGTGTAGGCGAAGCCTTGGTCGTCTTCGTACACCGCGACAAACAGCTTGAGAGACGATATTGTTAAGAGTACGATGCTGAGGCTCATATGAAGCTCTGCGGTAGTGGTGGCGTAGGCTCCAAGGAGGGTAGGATCGGACGAACGGATCTGTCTCTGAACGAAATACAAGTGGACAGCGGAGAGAGGGATCAGTCTGTATAAAAGTATAAGCGGAGTGTGCTTCAAAGAAAAGACGATCCACGGACATAATGCGAAAGCTGAGGATACCCAAGACTATCATCTTTTTCCTTGGGGATATCTGGACATTCAGGATGATCCCCACCGGGTAGGACAGAATGAACGCTTCGAGAATTATGTCGAGCGCACTGATTGCTCGCCAGCGTGGCAGCTATTAAGAGTATCCAGTTAGTATTCATTTATCCCACACTATTCCAATCATACTCGACTCACAAGGCCTGGACATTCGTGGTCGATGTCGACCCAAGGATCGCTACTGCATCGAATGGCTAACAGGAGCATTGCCAGAAGCGTCCACAAGGTACATGCCACCAGAATAGACTTGATCATCCATTTGGTCCGAGGCAACGAGAGGTTTTGGTAGAACAGCATTGTGCATATCTTCGATAGCCCTAGGATGAGCACATACAATAGGTCTGCTGCATAGCCGGCCTGGTGCTCAAGAGACGTGGGGGTTAGTCACGATACTGATAGAGCACAGATGTGTACGTACCTTGAGCATAGAGGAGGAGTCCGCAGAACGAAGTATATCTTTCGACTGGCCCCACCCAAAGTGAACTTGGACCAGCACCAAAGACACTTGCACGCAGGCGCATGCCTAAGGGAGTTGAATCTCAGTCAGCGAGCCAGCGGGACAGGAGCTTCCGGCGGGGTTGTTTCAGCATAGCTGCAACCTTACCACAACTACAAACAGAACATAATCATCACGTAAGAGAATGCTTCGCTTCGAGGATGCGAACATCCGGATTCCGAGGGACGCCAAGACGAGAAAGAGTCCCAGGGAAGTGATGATGACAATCAGGCCGTTGTGATTATGCTCGTTTTCTTCGGTCAGGGGAGAAGAAACCCCGGGCGGCAGGGACGAGGAGCGAGTGGCCATCGGGGAGGAAGCTATTGCGAACTCAAGCTGAAGAACTGGAAGAACGGAGGTTGCATCGCTAGGACGAGTATATCAACAGGCACCTCCAAGAGGAGGGACTGTATTGAAGCATGTTGAAGGAGACCAGCAACGTATTGAGAGCATGAAGATCAGCCTGGCTGGCGACGCTAATGACTTCTTCTCATCATCTTTTTGCTTTTGCTCCTCTAGGAAATCGCGAGGTGCGACTGAGCAGAGATGACCCTTGCAACCCTGTCTGACACCCTGCCATGGTTGCTACCTTTGGCGCCTATCGGCTGTCTGCATCACCGCCTTCGAGGATTTCTTCCTGATGAAGCTGAACGTACATTCGGGGAAATTGGTCCAGATTTTGATCCCTTTCCCGCAATGGACAGGCGGCCCTGCTCTCTCGGACAATAGCTAGCGTGGCTTTATGCATACTTTGCCACTTGACCACCGGTCGCAAATCATGAAACCGAAGGTACATGAGGGCAGTCTAACGCCATCGCATATCCCTTGAGGAATTGGAAAACCGACTGGACGAAACCTCTTATTGACTTGTTCAATCTCGTCAATTCCGCCGAGGCAGCGCTCGTCCACTCATGAGTTCCCGTGTCACTCAGGCTTGACTGACGTGATGGGAAATGATGACTGCCGTCGTCCTAAGGCCCAAACCTCGTATTTCATCTATCGGAATGTCTCGGGGTGTAGTATCAGCCACGATTGTGGCCTTGTATGATGCTTCCACGGCAGTCCCCAGGCTGCAATTGTAGATTCAAGCCGGTCACAGCCAGATGAGCTTCCTTGATGTGCCAAACACCGGGCGTGTCTCGTAGTGGTGACAAGAGAGAGAGACCAATTGGAATTGCGTGGCCAAAAGTACGTTACACGACATTCCAGCGCGTTGCCGACCTCGTTTTCCCTCCCGCCATGAGATGGGCTCACGTGGTGGTGGTGTCAAGCATGTTTTTCCTCCGTTGTGTTCTGCACCGGTCGGTATCCCCAATTCAACCATTCCGATGGAAGAGGGAGAAGGAGAGGAGTGACTTGCCGTCTAGGCTGCCGATCGAGTGGCGGAAACGATTCTTGTAGCTTGGTTACACACCTGTACACACCAGATCAGCACGTTGCAATAAAGTCCAGCTGGGGCATGTCAGAAATGGCCCAGGGTGCATAAGCCTGGAAGCAAGACCGAGGTTCCACGGGAGGAATGACGGAAGACATGCTTGACATCGATGAAAGGGGGCGGGGTACTGTAACGGTCGGGTGAATATGTGTAGTGTACTGTATCTGTGGAGATAGAATCCGGAAGAAAAAAAAGAAAAAAAGAAAAACCAATGATGGGATTGAGAACAAATTGAAGGAATACACAGAGAGAGAGCCTGGAGTTTGTTTTGAGAAAGGGGAAAGAGAGGGAGATCATCCGTAGACACATCCCTGTCCATACAAACAAAACAACCACTTACTCTCACTCACCCACGCCGCTTTCCCTTTCCTACTCCCTCTCACGTTGCACAACAACTGGGCTTTACCTATCGGCTGCCCCTTTTCCATCCCTGTCACGGCCTTTGCCGTTCAGTCCTGAGTCTCATCCTCACCCTTCCTACTGTCTATCTACAATCATGGCTACAGCGTCTGCAGGTCTCTCCAATTCGCGAAAGGGAGAGGATCTGATCACGGCGACAGGATGCCACCCTCTCGAGATTCCCACGGAAGATAAAGATGGAGAGATGGGCACCCGGCACGACCACACTGATATGACCCGCATGGGCAAGGCCCAGGAATTCAAGGTTGGTAGCTGACAGCTGACCTGCACTGCTCATCTTTCGAGTACCCGTAATGATAGAGCCGATTGGACCGTTGACACCATATCTCATATTAGAGGAATCTCCGACCGCTGGCTGCTCTCAGTTTTGCATCGGTCCTTCAGGCCACCTGGGAATTTATCCTGATGTACGAACGCCTAGGCAGCGATCCTTTCGAAGGCAGACCTAATAGTGATACCTTCTGACAGATCGAATACACAAGGCCTTGAGAATGGGGGAATGGCCGGGTTGGTCTGGACCTATGTGTGGACCTTTGTTGGTTTTGGCTTCATCATCGTTTCGCTGTCGGAAATGGCATCCATGTCAGTCACGCCTTTATTTCGCAAGGATTTAGGAGATGCGATCTAATATACCTCGCTGGAAGTATAGGGCTCCCACGTCTGGAGGACAATACCACTGGGTTTCAGAGTTTGCCTCCCCACGCTACCAAAAGTTCTTGAGCTATTTGACCGGTCTGCAACACCTCTTACCATGGATGTCTGGTTTGTCTCACTAACTTGCATAGGGTGGATGTCTGTGCTGGCATGGCAGGCGGGTGCAGCATCTGGATCCTTCCTCACCGGCACTATCATCCAGGGCCTGATCAGCGTACACAATCCGAAATACGAACCCACAAGATGGCAAGGTACGCTCTTTGTCTTTGCCATGATCTTAGTGATCTACTTCTTCAATGTCTATGCAGCGAGCTGGATGCCCCGGATCCAGAATGTACTGCTCGCTCTGCATACCCTCTGCTGGGTGATTGTAGTTGTCGTTCTCTGGGCCATGGCCCCTCGCCAATCTGCCAGTGCTGTGTTTACAGAGATCAAGACATATAGTGGGTGGCATAATGCGGGGCTGGCACTCATGATTGGACAAATCTCCGCCATCTATGGGTCGCTTAGCTCTGATGCCACGGCCCACATGTCCGAGGAGGTCCGCGATGCCGGTCGTTATGTGCCTCTAGCCATCGTTGGTGGATATTTCAGCAATGGAATCCTGGCGCTCATCACTGTGATCACCCTGATGTTTGCCATGCCATCGGTCGAGGATGCATTGAATGATCCAACAGGCTTTCCATTCATTTACGTGTTCAAACAGGCCGTCTCCACAGCGGGCGTCAATGGGTTAACGGCCATCATACTTATCCCGGTCATCTTCAGCAACATCCTTTTCAATGCCTCGACGGCCCGTCAGACGTATGCCTTCGCTCGAGACAAGGGATTGCCCTTTGCAAGTTGGATCTCGCATGTGAACCAGAGCTACAAGCTACCGGTCAATGCCATCGCACTGTCGTGTATCGTCAGCGGCCTTCTTTCTCTCATCAATATCGGCTCCGACACGGCATTCAATGCGATCATATCGCTGAACGTTGCAGCCCTCATGTGGACCTATGCAATTTCAATCAGCTGTGTGATGTATCGCAAGATCTACCTTCCCAATACACTACCGCACCGCCGGTGGAGTCTAGGCCGACATGGTCTATGGGTGAATGCCACCGGTCTGGTGTATGTTCTGTTTGCGCTATTCTGGTCATTCTGGCCCCCGGAAATCCCGGTCACCTTGAAGAACTTCAACTGGAGCATTGTCCTGTTTATCGGAGTGTTTCTGATCAGCGTTGCAATGTACATATTTCAGGGAAGGTGGGTTTACAAAGGGCCTGTTGTGGATGTCAAACGGTTGTGAATCGTCTTTGTCCCTTGGAGCGATCACTTTGAGCATCTTCTTGGCGCAGACACTCTGTTGACTATTTTCGGACAATACTGTTCATGAGAAACAACTTTCGCAGCGGCTATTTAATTGTGCGGGGATGGTGGCTCACGTGCTTGTGTCCATCGCTATCCCTGTTGACTTTACCCCTCACTTCTACCATCTACGCCAATCAATTGACGCGCTGCCTCGGGCCAACTCTCTCATGTTTAAGGTGAGATCGTAAGCACCATCAGTTGTCTCTCGCATTATGAAACATCGATATTGCTACAATCACTCAAGCCTGCAGACTCCTTGCGGTATCCGAAGGTTCACCCTCGGTAAATGCGGGAGCGAACCCCGAGACGAGACCCTCTATTTAGCCTTAAATCCTTTGATGAAGTCATCAGGGTCGGGCCTTGAATCTTCGGGCCAACAATAGCACACCTAGATACTTTGTGCCGTCATCTAAAGCTTATGTTTCAATGTATTCCAATCGGTCGTCCTTCGAGCCCAATCACCTTTTCCAGATGGCATTGTTTGCGCAGGATCGGGGCCCATTCGCCTCCTTCCGGTCTCTTTCCTCGTTCTAAACCCTTTTCAATTAAGCCGACCCCTCGCATGTCTAGACGTTCCGATTCCTGGATAATTGAACCAGTCCCCCCACAAAACCTGCAGGGTGCTTTAAACCGGCAAAATTCTTCGGCCTGGTAATATAGCTCTTCTGCACACCCCGCACGATGCGGGAAAAGTGGTGATGATGAAGAAGAAGCGGACGGCTACATAAAGTCAACCCCATGGTGGAGCATATTTTGCAACAGAGTGCGCTGTTCCCTTCGCCGTGCAAACCTAATAGACGTTCTGCAACAATATGAGGCTTTTTGTCTTGTTGACCTTCGTCTCCCAGATCGCTAGCGCGTTACCCAGCTCTGCGGATGGCGCTTCAGCTCCCACTGTTGACCTTGGATACTCCAAGTATCAAGGTGCCCGTCTCGCGGGAGGAGTAGATCAATTCTTGGGTATGCGCTATGCTGCTCCTCCCTTGGGAGATCTTAGATTTCGAGCGCCCCAAGATCCCATGACGAATGCCACATTACAGACGGCCACTGAGGTATATTCCACTCCATTCACTACATCCAAATGGCTTTGCTCTTCCCCCGGTACTAATCGAGAAAGTTAGTATGGGCCAATTTGCATTGGTGTCGATCAAGACAATTCCCCCGCTGACTGGACGGAGGATTGTCTCTTCATCAACGTTTTCAAGCCTTCGACAGCTACGCCACAATCGAAGCTGCCCGTATGGTTCTTTATCCAGGGCGGAGGGTACGCACAGAACTCCAATTCCAATTACAATGGCACGGCCGTCGTGGAGGAATCTGGTCACGGACTGGTGTTTGTCACGCTCAATTATCGCGTCGGAGCTTTGGGCTTCCTGGCCAGCGAAGAAGTGCGGAAGCACGGTGACTTGAATGTGGGTTTGTTGGATCAACGCAAGGCTATGCATTGGATCAAAAAGCATATCGCATCAGTACGTACCCCGTATTTCCCAGGCATTTGCGGGGGCCACCAGTTAAGACTAACAAAGAATAGTTTGGCGGAGATCCAGACCACATTGTGATCCACGGTGTCTCTGCGGGCGCAGGATCCGTGGCCTTCCACCTCACGGCATTCGGAGGAAAGGATGAGAAGCTATTTGTGGGCGCTGTGGCTGAATCATCGTTCTGGCCCACCCAGCGCACGGTCGCAGAGATGGAATTCCAGTACGAGCGGTTTGTCAATGACACTGGCTGTTCCAAGGCGACGAATTCTCTTCAATGTCTCCGAGACCTCGACATCGCGACCATCCAAGGTGCCAATACGGCTTCACCCTTCCCAGGAGGCAGCAGTAGCCCCCTTCCCGACTGGTACTGGCTACCAGTGACCGATGGCAACTTGGTTCCGGAGCTTCTGTACGATGCCTTCAAGAAGGGGAACTTCATCAGGGTCCCGGCACTGGTGGGTGACGACACGGACGAAGGCTCGAATTTCGCCTACAACGCTAGCACTCGCTCTGATGTGTCGCAGTTCTTCAAGAACAACTACCCTCACCTGACCGCGGCAGAGCTGGACAGAATACTGGAGGCCTATCCGCAAACTAGCCCGTTACCCAAGCATGGAGCCTGGTTCCGAACCTCGTCCGATGCTTATGGGGATGCATGCTTCACGTGCCCCGGTAACCATTTGACCGCATCCGTTGCCAAGCACCTCCCGCACTCGACGTGGAACTACCGGGTCAATATCCTCGACCAGTCGAACCTAGCTGGCGGCATAGGAGTCCCGCATACCTTTGAGCTACCAGCCATCTTTGGTGCGGGCAGCACCGGGGCGCTCAGTAGCACGTCTTCGTATCTCAGCTACAATGCTGGGATTATCCCGGTGACCATGCACTACTTTATCAGTTTTGCCATGAAGCTCGATCCGAATCCTCTCCGATATAGCGGTGCGCCGGAGTGGAACACCTGGGGCAGTGGGTCACGTCTGCGGCTGCAGACAAACAGCACTGCGATGGAGGAGGTGCCTGCAGTCTCGGTGCAGCGCTGTCAGTTGTGGGAGGATTTGAGCGGCACAACCGAAGTTTAACTGGGATGCGACGTAGAGAATTCGTCGTCATAGACAAACGTAGAACATCTCTGCATGTGTCTTTCAATACAAGTTGATGTGAGATGCATGGCATATCATTTGGGCTGTATCACTTTCATCCTAAATTCTAAACAAGGTGTTATCAGATGCTTGGCGCTCGTAATGGGAACGCCTCCAAATGCCAATCCCTCAGCCTTACGTCGCGACGATCGCCTTTTTGTCCCGTGTTTTGTCCCGTCTCTTTTCTGCCATCTTCCTTCCACCTCTCGTACTTTGATACTTTCTGCTAAACTTCTCTACTTTCGAGATACTACTACTTATACACTGCACAGCTCGTTCCCCATCCAGTGCGCGAAGATGAGTGCAGAGACCACGATTGCAGTTCCCCCGCCGCCCGACCAGCCGGACCCCACCGACCGTGACGTCACCGATAAGGAGCAACACGCCGCCCAAACAATCCAGGTTCGATCAAACTTCAATGTTCTCAGAACTTTGTCTGCGTCGCTGACCTACTTCTCTACTCAAGAGAGTATACCGGGGCTATCGTACGCGGAGAGAGTTACGCGGGCTCGGACTCTCGCAGCACTCACAGAACACATCGCGACTGATCGAGGTAAAATCCCCCCGACCGCATTCCCCGCCTCTTATTCCCCTCGTCGCTGACCCAACCATCCTCAAAAGGCCGTCAAAGAAGCCGAATGGCGTCAGATACACCGACCGTCCGCGCCCGAGGACACCAGCGATCTCGACAGCGCCGCCCATGCGCGTAAGAACTGGCTCCGGGCCGTCAGCGTGGCCAAGCGAGCCGGGGGCGACGATGACGACGACCTCCTGCCCGCGCTCCCCGACGAGCCCGCCTCAACCACAACCTCCGCTCAGCATGAGTCTCGCACCTCCACCAGTGCCAGCAACAGCCACGGGCCACAGATACACCACGACCTCCCCGCCGGCACAATTGCCAAGATGATGGACCTCCAATACTTCCTGGAGATGGTCGACCTGAAACACCGCCACGGCAGCAACCTGCGCGTCTACCACATGTACTGGAAGACCTCGCCCACGCAGCAGAACTTCTTCTACTGGCTCGACCACGGCGAGGGCAAGGACCTCGATCTCCCGCAGTGTCCGCGCGAGAAGCTCGAGCGCCAGCAGGTGCGCTACCTGAGCCGCGAGGAGCGCATGAACTACCTCGTGTCCGTCGACACGGCGGGGCGGTTCCGCTGGGCGAGGAACAACGAGCTCGTGTGGACGGACAGTAAGCGGTTCAAGGATAGCCTGCATGGCGTGGTGCCGGTCGAGGAGAACGCGCCCCGGTTCAAGGGGAATGATGCTGCTGCCGATGGCGAGGCGTCGTTTGGAACATCATCGTCGTCGTCGTCCTCACTCTCGTCGCTCTCGTCGTCAGACTTCAGTACCACGGAGAGTGTGCACGATGATACGATCGGGAAGCATGATACCGATCAGTACAAGGCGGCCAAGGTGGCGAAGAAGTTCGTGCACACCACGCCGGCGACGATGTTGAATGCGCTAAAGGGGAAGTCGTCCAAACGAAAGGAGGATATGTGGATTTTCGTCAGTCACCCTCTTTTTTTTAAAATTGTCTTGCATCACAGTCATTGACAGGGTCTTACCGATGTAGGTGGCCGATACCTCCTTCCGGCTCTTCGTCGGCATCAAAGAGTCCGGCGCATTCCAGCACTCATCATTTCTCCGGGGCGCCCGCATCGCGGCCGCCGGGTTAATCAAGATACGCAACGGCCAACTGCGGAGTCTGGCACCCCTCAGGTAAATTTCCACCATCACACTCACCAATATCCGACCGACCAGAGTGAAGAGCTAAACCCAACCGTAGTGGCCACTACCGCCCGCCCGCCGCCAACTTCCGCGCCTTCGTGCACTCCCTGCAGGACCAAGGCGTCGACATGTCAGGCGTCTCCATCAGCAAGTCGTACGCCGTGTTGCTCGGCATTGAGGGCTACACGCGCACCAAGCGCAAGGTTCGGGCGCTGCACGAGAAGGCGGATGAGACGAAACACAAGCTTCTGCGCAAGCGGAGGGAGAAGGCCGAGGCGCACGAGCGCGGGGAGGAGACGATCAACAAATCCGATCAGCCAGGGGACGGGGTGCAGAACCGTGCAGGAGGTGCTGAGGTGCAGCCGGAGAGTAAGCCTCGCACGATGAATTTGCCCATTCGGCAGAAGTCCTTCCCGGCCGCGTGAGGGTGCCTTTTCTGTTTGTGGGCTGTGTACGCTTTGTTTGTTATGGCTTCTTTTCACTAGCAGCCTTCTTGATGATTGTGTACTTTCTTATGTGACACTCCTTATACCCCTACCTAGGAATAATACAGGCCTTGAGATTCTGGACACGCTTCTGGTTGCAATGGTTATTCTCTTCGCGTGGCCACTATGGAGGATAGGTGGTGGCCTATGCTATGCATGAACCTACTTTAGTGACTATCTCTGTAAATTAGCTCTTTTGTGTCTGATCGGAAGGAGATTTGCAAATATATCCTGGTTTGGCGGCGAATTGATAGCAAATTCGCAAGATATATAGTTTGCAAGTCCCACGGCTAGACAACACATTTCCACTACCGTGCCTATCGAGCAAGGTTCACTACCCTTCGCAATTGTATGCTTCGTTCTAACTTCTAATCCAGCAGTTACTACAAGACACGAAAAGTCCTCTGCGCTTCACTTAGACTCAAATGATAGTTCAGGAATTTGTCGACTGATGCCAGACATGAACCTGGCGGCGAGGTCACGTGCATCGTCCGGCTAAGGGAAAGGGAGCAGTTCCGCCCGCGGAATGTTGGTTTTCCACAAATCTGCAGTAATGTACAGTACTCGTCAACATCCTGGCAAAAGTCCAACAGTCAGGTCCTACTCGAGACCAAGACTTGTGTCTTTGGTGACGGTGGAGCTTGTCTACATACGAGAATTCAGGAATGCAAAGGGGGGGATGAATTGAGCCGGTGGGTCTCCATACGTGTGTGTGAGTGTGTGTGCTCTTGTCTGGTCTCGAGTTCCGTTGGATCTCCACTGCCTGGAATGTTAGCTGATTCGATCTAGTAATCTTTGTGTGTGGTGGCTGCAGGGCCTTTGCTTTTCCGAATCAGCACTTCACTGCTTTCCAGCCTCAAGAAGGCTTCATATCTGACAACTACGATTATGTCTCTGTGACAACGCTGTACCCTGATTAGCATGGGAGTACAGTACATGCCCATATTCGATTCAAATTTCCGCCCAGAATGCTCCGACCAGCGCATGAAAAGATCACGGGGCGAATGTGGCATGTGTACGAGAGGGGTAATCTGAGACATGGCCGGCTAGTGCCTACCTAGAAGGGCATTGGAGCCGGCGCAAACCTGGTCGGTCGATGTAACCCATCATCCTGGAAGCAAGGAGATGGGGCTTCTCTGTGCCACTTGGCTCGACTAGTAGTGCTTTCTTTCCTTTGTCGGGAATGTCGAACTGGGGCCAGAATTTCCGGTTATCAATCACCGCGTGGTGTGCAGCTGTCATGATCGTTCCAGGTTATCTGATCGACCGCTTTGCGTTTAGGCCGGCCATTTCCAAATCTTCTTTGCAGCTGGTTCGCTTCCTGGTATTCACTAACACCTCGAGCTTCCTTATGCCACCTGGAAGGCATTGCTCCGGATGATTCGGCTATGGAGCTTAATCGAGTGCGGCCATTTCCTCGCCCGTGGAACATGGTCCTTCGCCGGCGAAGGAGAAATTAATCGCGCAGTCATGCATTAGTTGACAGCCAAGCGTGGAGTCCATGAACACTTGGCAGATGATAAGCCTGGCCAAGAGGACGAGCTGGGAAAAGTCATTACTTTGCACAGCTCCACGACGTGCGTCCTTTCCGGACTCTCATCGCGCTATGCTGAAAAAAGGTGCACCTTGCGAGATTATCTGATCCGCTGGGACCATAGACGTAGACGACAATTATGGATTTGCTGCGACTTCGCCCGGCTGGCTCCCCACCTCAGCCTTATATCCCCAAACGGCTCGACAAGCGTTTCTTGATCTGCGCTGGATCGTATGGCATCAGAAAAATCTGCTCAGCCCTACGCCTTGTAGGGCTGAAGAGCGGCATCAAATTCACAGGGGCTTTTTTGTGTTGTGTTTGGGTGATAATCTTTGACATCGGCGGGATCTGATAAGAACACAGAAAACCTAATGCACTTTTCCCCCCTTCCAATGGTCTGATCGGTTCGCTACCACGACTAAAATCACGCCGTGGAGAAATTTGCAGCACGGACGAGTTGAGTCGAGTTATCTTATGCGGCAGCACCTTGTCATTTCCGAACCTATTCCGGAGGGTCCGGTGGTTTGGAACGTCATCCTCGTCGACAATCAATCAGATAATATGGCAATTTAGTTGGTGAGATTATCTGCACCACGGAATTGTCGTCTTTGATTCGAGGTTTCCCCTCCACCGAGACCCTCACCTGCAAAACTAGTCTAGAATGCACCCACGGGCGAGGGGAGGGCGATGGCTGACCACCTAACCCTTTTGGCCCGTATCCCCCTCATGATCGGGACAAACTAGCCGAACGCTTAGCCGACCACATTCCAGCATTGGCCGAAAGGTGGATACGGACCGCACAAGAACATGACCGCACAATCAGGCAGACACTGTTCCTCAAACACCACAAAACATGAACAGAGCAGAAGAAGAACGAAATGATCCTGCGCATGATCTACTATCTCCCGGGGAGAGGATGGATGTGTGAATGGTGTGAAAAATGTAACTTTGCCAACACGAGACACTAGAATCACCAAGGCTCCACCTTGGCTAGGCAGCCGTTCTTTTTTCACCCTGAATCCATAAGGCTAGGTAGGGCTGAACCAAGTTACGAGCCAAGTCGGACAGAACCCGGGCCCACTCTACCCTTTGCCCCCCTAGCAGCGCGTGCTGTGATGACGGTCGGATGTTGTGGGTGGTGAAATGGGAAAATCTGGTCAAACCACTTACCCGGGGCCAGCTGTTAAGTATTGCCTCCCCCCTGGCACGGCGGAATCTTATCTGATGGAAAATATCTGATCGATCAGATAATCTTGTTGCACTTCGCCGTCGCTCTAGCGGAATTCTTTTCCCACCCCATTGGGGCAGAAGTCTGGTCGCCCGCCCCCTTGCTGAATTTTCTTCGCGAAAATGGCCACCGATACGAAAGGGATGGAAAAAGAGGTGTATGCGGTGGATAGTGATGACAAGGGTAAGTTTTTCCCCTGACAGAGTGTCTGTGTGACCGTCGGCTTGCACCCAGTACTGGTGCTGACAGCAACAACCTCTTCAGCCGAAGTCGAGTCGCAGACCGAGGTGCTGCGAGCTGCTGGCATTGGCATCTCCGAGGATGATCCGACTGAGCCGGTCTTGACCCTGCGCATGTGGGTGCTTGGGGTCGGCTTCTGTATCGTTGCCAGTGGCCTCAACACCCTGTACACCCTCCGCAATCCGTCCATTACGATCTCAGCCACCGTCGTTCTTCTTCTTGCATACCCGTTAGGAAAGCTCTGGGAAAAGGTCGTCCCTGCTTGGAACGTGCCTTTGGGAGCTTGGAGTTTCAACCTAAACCCGGGCCCGTTTAATCAGAAGGTGAGGGTCTCTTGTATTACAGCAAATGGAATAGGTTGCGTTAACATTCATCTGTGTTCAGGAACATGTCTTGATTTATATGATGTCGAATCTGAGTATTTACGTCCGTCTAGGCGCGGATGTTCTCACCGAACAACAGAAATTCTATGGGTACAGTGCGGGCTGGGGTTTCCAGATGCTGATCACATTTGGAACCTTCCTCATTGGATTCTGTCTGGCTGGGTTCTTCCGTGCTCTTGTAGTTGAGCCTCGCGAATTGGTCTGGCCAGGCGTTCTGAGCTGCACTGCGCTGACGACAACCCTACATCAGGTGGGCCAGGGGGACGTTCAAGGACTGTAAGTGATTTTCAGGTTCGCTTAGAGAATGACAACTAATTGACCAATACTAGCAACGCAACTTGGAAGATCTCGCGGTACGGGTTCTTCAGCCTTGCATTCTGTATCTCCTTCTGCTGGTACTGGTTCCCGGACTTCATATTCCCGGCCCTGAGCTACTTTACTTTCCCTTGTTGGATCAACCCCAAGAGTACGGTTGTCAATCAGCTGTTCGGCATGACAAGTGGCATGGGACTGTTGCCCATCACTTTCGATTGTAAGTTTTGCAGTCATGAATTCAGTTTGAGCAATGCTTACCTGTAGTGTCACGCAGGGAGTCAGATCTCGTATGTCGGATCCCCTCTGTTGATCCCTTCCTGGGCCATCGTCAACGTCTTCGCCGGTCTGGTCTTTTGGATTTGGATCGTGGCGGTCGCATGCTACTATTCGAACATCTGGTATACCGGCCATCTGCCCTTCCAGAGCTCGTCGGGTAAGCTGTCCATGTTCCACGGCAACCTGGGATATTTCCGCTAACGAGGGACTGACTTCTAGTGTACGACAACACTGGTGCCGTGTACAAAGCATCCAAAGTCGTCAGCGCGGCGACTGGATACAAATTGGACTTGGCAAAGTACAAGGCTTACTCGCCGGTAAGTGGTGCCAGAGATAGCGTTATCGAAACACAGCTGACAAACATGAAAGGTCTATACCCCTGTCACCTACGCCCTGAACATGTTTGGTTTGTCCTTCGCGACACTAAGCTCGCTCCTCGTGTGGACATTCCTTGAGAAGCGCGATGTCATGACAGCTGCGGCTCGAAGAATCCCCAAGCTGGTCCGCCAGTCCTTCTCCAGCGAACAAGAAGAACTGGAGAAGATCGGCGCGCATGCCCGTGTGCCGACGTGGTGGTACCTCTTGACCGCCATTGTCGCGCTCTTTGTGACTATATTTGCCGTGGAGTACTGGCGCGTCGAGCTGCATTGGTATGGCGTTCTGCTGGCGTGTGCCGTTGCCATGGTGTTCTACGGACCGGTAAGTGTATTCCTTGCACTCGCCTCTAGGCTTCATTCTAAGTCGTGCCATAGTTGGCTCTGGTGTATGCGACCTCGAATTTGAAGATCAACATCGATATCCTATGCCGGATCATCGCGGGGTTCGTCTTCGAGAACCGCATCCTCGCCAACATCTGGTTCTTCGACATCGGCTACATCACGACTATCAAAGGTCTCTACTTCGCCCAGGACATGAAGCTAGGAGATTACTGCCACGTACGTTCCCCCTTCCTTTTTTCCACACCTCCAAACCTTAAACTAACAAATCCTTCAGGTCCCACCCCGCAAAGTCTTCTTCGTTCAAGTCGTCGGCATGATCGCTGGCACGCTCAGCTCCGTCTGCGTCCTGAACTGGGGCCTCGGCCACATCGAAGGCGTGTGCACAACAACCGGAGTCAACGGCTTCACCTGCCCCTACTCGCGCACGCACTTCAACACCAGTCTGATCTGGGGCGCCATCGGCCCGCGCAATTTCTTCAACAATGGCATCGGCTATCACCGCCTCCTGTACTTCTTCATCATCGGCGCCATCCTTCCGATTCCCGTGTACTACCTCCAGCGCCGCTACCCCAACTCCCTGTGGCGCCGGGTCCACGTCCCACTGTTCCTGGGCGGGCTGAACTACCTCCCGCCCGCGACCGGCACCAACTACGGCAGCTGGGCGGTCGTCGGGCTGACCTTCGGCGTGCTCATCCGCAAGCGCCTGTACCAGTGGTGGTACAAGTATAACTTTGTGCTCAGCTCGGCGCTGGATTCGTCGGTCTCCATCGCCGGCGTGGTCATCTTCTTTGCTATCTTCTACAGTGGGGCGTCGGCGCATTTTAGCTGGTGGGGGACGGAGGTGTATAAGGATACGTGCGATTATAAGGGGTGTTCGTATCTGCCGATTCCGGAGGGGGGCAAGTTTGGAGTTGGGGTGTAATGTTCGGTGAAAGGGGTGGGGATGGGCTGATAGGGGAAAGATGTGAGATGCATCTTGTTCATGCCAGCGTTTGTGCGTGTGGAAGCGTGTTTGTGTGTTTGCTTAGACATTGCTGTATGCACGCGCTGCGAATATCTCGGAGGTACAAGCAATGGTTCACGCTCTGTGTTATATAATGCTATAATTTATTTGTTGATGCCAGTATGACCCCTAGGGAAGCAATCGGGACCGTTCTTCTCTTCATCTTAGGGGATAGATTCCAAGTCTTGGTAGTGGACTAGATCTGAGGGCTCCAATTTCTTGCTCTATTGGGAGGCTAGTCCGGGATGACGATAATATAGACATATCCTGCGCAAACATTGCTTCGTACATAAGACAAACAATACTAAGTCGTAGTGCATACGACCCCAGGGTGTGGAGAACAGAGCTTCCCTTCCGCTCAGCCGTACTTAAGCCAGCTACGAGACGCGGCCAATTGCCTCTTGGAATACCTTATACAAGAACGCGAAACTGGAGAGTCACGTGGCTCATCCCCCCCGTCCATTAGAGCCTTGAGACCCTAATCCCCCATAACAGCCTATCGAACATCTTGCGCTCCCCAGTGCAACTCGCCCATGCGCCGATAGTAACTTGCATCCGTCTCTCCATCTTCCTTGGGGGTGTCGACAGCCCTAGAGCAGAGTGGGTGACATATCCCGATAGCATTTGATTGCATGCTGGCACACCCGTTGTCCACCCGATACTCGCGACAGATATCACATTTTCCACTCGTCTGGTATATGCAATTCTCCTTGGGTATAGCAACCATAATCGTAGCAGAACATATTGGCCCGCATTGCCGTCGTCAGGATACCACCGTATTCAGATCGTAGGTCACCAGCCAGTCGCCGGCCGGCTCATGCTCCGGCAGTTTGAGGTCCGGATTGTGCCGGTTCATGCCTCTGGCAAAGAGCACCCGCGCATAGCGGGGGTCGAACACGAAGGTCGTTTCGCCCGTCACCCGGTTCTTCACTTCCGCCGTGGCCTCGATCTCGTCAATGGCGATGTACTCGTCTGGTTGCGGCACGGAGGCCTTTTCGATTTGGAGCTTGATATGCTGGGCCGTCTCCGGGTCGAATCGGATGTCGATGAAGTATAGGGCGTTGGGGCCGGCGGCAGCCACGTAGGGGGTAGATGGCGCCACAACCTGGCGGCCTAACGCGGTTTCAATCACCTCTGGGACGTAGCTACTGTTCCGGTATTCCTTTTGGAAGGTTGGTGAGCCCTCACATGGTCGGAACGGGTTCAGAAGCATGGTGACCAGCAAGAGTGGGAAGCGCCTAGTGAGGATCAGGGTAGGAGTAAGGAGAAGGGAAAGTGGATTATATCTACTGCCACCTTGATAGGTCTGTGTGTGCAGAATTTGTATCATGCTTCTGTGAGTGGCGTGAGGGTTCCGGTTCATAGCATTGAGGATCACAGGTCCCTGCGCACCAAACACCCCACTAGTTCGAGTTGTTAAAGCCACACCAGAAAGGATTGGTCACTGCATTGCTCTTCCAATGCTACCGTTACAGACCCGGCGACGCCGAAATGAGGGGTCAGTTGTCAAATGTTGCTGCCTATGTTGGGTTATGCTTGTGGTGCTAATTGCTAGGAGGCAATTGTAGTTCGACCTACCCTACAGGGCGAAATGGTCTTAAGTGGCATCTGATGGTCCGCTTGTGGCAACCTTGAATTATGTCACAGCTTCCTTTCAGAGTAATGATTGGAGGCCATTGAGTAACCAAACAGAGACTACCATATGGTCCCAACGCAAAAACATTGTTTAACCCCTGGAAACCCCGATGAAAAAGATCTTTGGAGAAGATGCTTCCCAATCCAATTATACCCCACTACAACACATGCAGCGCATAAATGACTCTTCCGAGTTCAACTGTAAGAGAAGATTCTTAGAAAATGACTTGACAAGATAGTTCGATAAGCCAAGATTAATTTGTAAGTTGTACTAATTCCTCAAAGAGTATACTTATCTCATACTCCCACCGGAGCTCCGAAGAATTAACAAGGATTGTTATTTGTCCCCCCACCCTTGACCTGGTGATTACTATAAGGGTCTAGAACCTCTTTAGCCCGATACCGTGAGCTTGTCTTTCACTTTAGTACCTCTGTAGACAAGAGCCCGTGACATTCTCTTGCTCCCCGCACCCCCTCAGATTTTGTGCTACTCCCCGCCGTCATTCTACGCGGCTTTATCAGACTTGATGGATAGTCCTTGGCGACAAAAGAAAATCTGTCGATTCTGCTTCTACACACTGTTCCCTCTGGGCGGCTACACAACGGGTCCGCCGGGTTATGTCCGATACTCGCTGAGTTCAAGCAAAGCTAAAGCCATAGCATTTATTTCAGATTTCCATCTACCTCAACCCCTCGTGTCGGTGAGCGATCGAGAAAAAAGACCTTCGTTGGGGGGGCCAAATACATTGACCGATTCCCTTTGCTACAGTTCATTTCGCAAACAAAAGGAAAAGAAAAACCCCAATCATCCATACAGCAATTGGGTACCCAATCGCGCAGGACATCCACCGACTCTTCCTCCACCTCCGCGACCATCCCACGGGCCACGATCAATTCTTCCTCGCAGCGCCGGAGGACTCAACATGGCAGATCACCGGGCAGCATCCCTTCTCCGGGTCGTGGACCAAGGCCGGCTTTGTCGCCGAGATCTGGAGCTCCAACTCGACGCTGATCGCGGCGCCGGGCCCTTGTTTCATCATGCCCCGGGGCCTGGACAGTATTGTCTGTGACGAACGGGGTCGCGCGGCGGTTGAGCTCCGGTCAGTCCACACCACTACCAAGGACCTGGGCTTGAGTTACGACCAGGAGTACTCGTGGCATTGCGAGTTTGATGGGAGCAGGACACTGCGGGAGGTTCGGATCTATCTGGATTCGATCCATGCGGAGAAGGTGCTTGTGGCGGAGAGAGAGGCGCAGAAGGCGAGGACGGACTCTATGGTATCATCCGGGGTGAAATTTTGAAAGTGCAATGGTTTGAGCTTATCCATGTGACGCATGAAACGCATATTCCCCGCGGGAAACGTTCCAGACATAGTCTATAACAACTTCAGGTCCCCTTATTCAATCTGAGGCCAAGCGTCTACTACCTACCATTGAAAACTGGTTCATCTCCGCTCGGGCTTGGTCTCTTCTTCGTCATTCCTCCCTCCGATCGTGACGGCGGAGTTTAAGATAATGTTATGTACATACGCACTCGATGCACCGGGCAATCGAAGACTGTACGTGAAGAAAGAAATCTTTCCTAGTTGGTATAAGACTTGACATCTGAACAGTGTCAGTGCAGCTGGCCCAACCGTGACTATGTCCTTGGCATGGATCACACGGGTCACAACAGTTTGGGCGAATATGTCTTGTATCACGCACGCCATTGAGCACGTCATATCTTATTTTCGACAGTTATAATCCTGTTGAGTCAGAAAGAAGGATTGCGACCTCGTGTAGGATGATGAAAGATCCTACTAGAAGTAAGATTGTATCGTCAATCACGCAAATCATGATCCAATGCCGATTGGTAAGCACGGGCGCGCACAGATTGATAATCATTCACGGCTGATGCGGGGTGGCCCGCTTCCATATAAGAGGAACAACTCTCCACACCAGATAACACATCCAGCAAGAAGCTTGCCACCTCAGTCCAAAAGAATTGTTATAATATCTCTGCACTACAACTCATTCTTCCCCATACATCCGAGTACCTAAGACTACACACCAAATGTCCCAACAAACCCAGACCGCGCTACTGGTGACGGAAATCGGCAAGCCGTTGACCAAGGGCACGCGGCCCATCCCCGAGCCCCAAGAGAACCAAGTACTGGTGAAAATAACCGTGGCCGGTCTCAATCCCCACGACGCCAAGTCGCGCGACTACGGTCTCTTCATCCAAGAGTCCCTTCCCGCCGTGCTCGCCGCGGACGTCGTCGGCGTCGTCACCCGCCTCGGGCCCAACGTCTCCCGCTACCAGGAGGGGGACCACATCGTCGGCCAAGCGGGGCTGACCCTCGCCAACAGCAACGACACGGCCGGACTGCAGGAGTACGCCATCCTCGACGCCCGCTACTCGGCGAAGGTGCCATCTGGCTTCACCGACGCGCAACTCGCCACGCTGCCGACCAACCTGGTGGCCCCGGCCGTCGCCCTGTTCGACGCTAGCGCGTTGGGGATCCCAGCACCCTGGACAACGGCTTCCCCTGACTTCGACCACCACGCCACCTCGCTCCTGATCATCGGCGGGGGCTCCAACACGGGCCGCTTCGGGATCCAGCTGGCCGCGCTGGCGGGCCTCGGTCGGATCATTGTGGTGGGGAGCGCGCGCAGCGCGGCCGAGGCGCAGCGCCTGGGGGCGACGCACGTCATCGATCGCGCCGACAAGTCCGGCGCTGAGATCGCGGCGGAGGTGCGGGCCATCGTCGGGGATGATCTGCTCTACGTCTACGACGCGATCAATCCGCCTGAGAACCAGTATATTGGCGTGGAGGCCTTATCGAATACCCACAAGGGCAAGCTGGCTCGTCTGCTTCCTACGGGTCCCGTGGACGAGTCCAAGCTGTCTGCGCCCAAGCCGGCAGGCTTTGAGACGTTGAATGTGTTCGGCTTGTCGGCGGTGCGGCCGGCGACGGCGGCACCGCTGTGGGAGCACGTTACCGAGTGGGTGGAAGCTGGGAAACTCGTTCCCACGGAATCGTCGGTCATCGAGGGGTTGGATGTGGATGCAGTGAATCGGACGCTGGATGGCTATTCGAATGGCTCTGTGAGCGGACATTGGCAGATTCGGTTTTGAGTAGCAGGGAGAAAGGTGTATTTGAGGAGCATGTACAGGTCAGTATTGTCAAAGATGCGGTGGACATACGGTTATGATTGTAAATCTCTTTAATTTTGGAGACTTTTTTATAGGATAATATAATGTTTATCGGATTAAGGCTTTATGGATTGGTGCTGGAGCATTGCTACTTGATCTGTATGTGTGACTTTCTAGTCAAGGAATGTCATGCTCTGTGGATGTTGAAAAGAGGGGATGCTCTAGGTGCCATGTATGAGAACAGGACGTAGGTAGCCCTAAAGAACCTACTTCTCTCGCCCCTTCTTCCTTCTGTTGAACCTCCTTTGTGCTCACATGAGACCAGCCAGTGCACATCCAGGGCATGTTTAGGGGCAGGTGCTATGACACCCTTCAACCCACAGACCTTGGCTTGCCTCATAGACACCAAATCTGAATAGTATTGAGATAGACTATTTAGTCATTTAGCCGACTTCCTTAGCGCTTACAGTAAGTTAAGTTGACCTGTCTGACTAAGCCACTACAAAGAATGACTCACAGCAACAAGGGAACATAATTCCTCTCACTCCTGCATTTTCTTAATTCCCATTCAATCACATTAAGACCGCACGAGTCACATCTCAAATGGAGGCCCCTCTCAGACCCACAAGACCAGTCCAAATCACCCTCATCTCATATGGCCATGCTAACGGGCCTGTGGTACAACAACCTCTGGAGGCCCAACATCACCAAACCTTAGCCTACAACATTCGACACTTGCCGAACCCACCTCGCCATCTGCGGGTCAAAGCAACCGGCCTGTCGCGGCGGTTGCAGAAGGAGTTCCTCCAGAACGACGCGGTCGAGGCCTTCTTGGTCAAGGTCCAACGCGAGATAGTCAATGCAGTCCAAGAAAGCTGCGCACAGCCGCTGTGTTCCACAGCGGGGAAAGAAGTTCATGAGGGGGCCAAGCAGACTCATACGCCCCAGATTGGGGATGGGCACTCCAGGGAAGAGCCCGGCAGTGACGGCACAGATGTCGAGATCGTGGTGACAATATGCTGCGAGGAGGGCCGTCATCGGAGTGTGGCGTTTGTGGAGGAACTCGCCCGACGGCTGGCTACTGTCGAAGAAGGGGATGGTGTCTTGCACCGCTGGGTATTGAGCGTGAGGAAAACACATCGCGATATTGAAGATCGCGAGGATTGTGAGCAACCTCAAGGTCAGGGCAGGCGTCCAAACAAGGTTCAGGCTCAGACTCGACAGCGAGAACGACGTGAGAAGGGAAATCGGTTTAGATCGCGGCTTGAAGACGAGGATAACACGGACCATATTCATTGATTCTATAGTAAAGTGTTTTATATGTGCGATACAGAGGCTAGACTATGTACATCAATGCATCTCTGTGCGGACCTTTTAAGTAGCATATACTTTCTTGCCCGAGTCCTCCATAGAGGGAGGAACACCGGACTAATCTTAATAGTGGTGAATGCCTTGACTCGCTTGTTTGAGTGACAGATTGAAGTGTACAGACTCATCACGCTAGTCGTATCGCACTCTTCTGTTTTATGGGTGGCCGATATAGTCCTCCATGCGCCGTGGGTCTCTTCTCCTGCAAATCCTGGGTCTCGTTGCAGGTGGTCTGCTGGATGGTGAAACGTACGGAAAAGTCCGATTGTGAGCGTCTTTCATCAGACCTAGACCGGCATATCCTTCCATAGACCAATTGACTCGAGTAAGTGTCATCACTGTATCCCACGCTTGCTCTTGTACTGCGTGATCTAAGATAGCTTGATCCGCACTGCTTAGCTCGGCAACACTAACAATCGCCCCCTTGTCGGCTAGAAAGACTGCGAAATTATAATTCGTGTCTCGTGGTGCACCATGCGGCCCGCGCTGGGTCTGCGCCGTGCCGAAACAGCAGCTGAACTATCTCCCACCACCGACCTGTTCCATACTACCGCGCTTGTGGTAGGAGAAGAACAAACTCCCAGAAGACATATCGTCAATGAGATTCTCTACAAAGCCAACCCACCGCCCTGTGATCGGCTCTGCTACACTGTTCATAGGCAGAGTATAACTACTCAGATGCCGTGCCTATAAGGGATACCTATAGTGCTTCCCTGCTATAGAAGGAGAATTGAGACTGATATTTGTTGGCGCCGGCTCTAGAATTGATCCCTGCCCACTTTCAGAGCAGAGTCCTTTCGTCGAACAGGGCCCCCTTAGTGCAATATCCATGCAAGGGACCATGGCAGTCACGTGGTGTCCAGGCATCTCCTGTCGCTGCCTACCCCAGGCTTCACTAACATGTGTTTAAAACATGGCACATGGTTTCGTCGTGTAGATCAGCCAACTTGTGCTACATTTCCAGAAGGCCAGTTTCCATCGACCAGCAATCCGAACTACCGGTTTCAGGGCGTGTTGAGAGTCAACTAACTCCGCTCGTTATGGATGTCCCACCAATCCTACGACTTCCAACAGAGATTCTAACTTTCATTTTTGAAAATGTGGCCTCCGGCCACTACGACACCTGCAGGGTCCTGCAGAAATTTGCGTTAATCTGTCGTCGCCTCACGCAGATCGTACTACCTCTGTTATATCGTGACGTGTTGGTCAGAGTAGCGGCCGGCAGCGCCCTAGAAGCTCTGTTGGCCGTGCTACAAAAGCGGCCACTATACCGTGAGAATGTTAGAGGACTTGTGATTCACATGGACGATTGCATTGGCATCCACAGACGAAACTTCTATATTACGTCCGATATTATCACCTGTGTCACCAATGTCAAAGCCTTGACCTTTGCTGGGGGCTGGGAGCGTTACCCAGACCAGACATGGGGCCTGGTTCACCGGGCATCTCGGAGCATGCCAGCACTGGAGAGTTTGTCTCTCAGGCGTCAGGGTGAAGGCCTGACCGTGCAGGACATACTTGAAAATGTGCAGATGCCCAGCCTGCGTCAACTGAAACTTGATGGAATTGCTTTTCAGACCCCGGGGCGCACTGCGAGGGCAGAGAGACAGGGGAACAGGCCCTCCTGCCTACCGGATAGCACGAAGGGCACTGCTCAGTTCTCCAGCCTCCACATTCAGGACTACCATGATACGTCCGCGGCATTCCAAGAGCTCATTCTCTGGCCTAAGGCCTTGATCCATTTCGACGCCTCGATCTTGTGGAGTAGCGGTCCGGGATACCAGGTTAATCTCTCGATGCTCAACACATGGCTCTTTGCCCACAAGGACACCCTGCAATTCATTCATATCAGATACATTGAATCCTTGCCCTCAGGCAAGCTTTTCCAGACTAGGGGATTTGTCGCCTTGGAGCGCCTAACGCTGCCCTGGTGGGAGATCCGTAGTTGGCAGCAAAAGGACGAAAGAGACCCGCCATTCGTCTTCTTGCCCGCCCACGCGGACGCTCTTCTCTGCGCGCCCCGTCTCACGACCCTCAATCTGGACTATGGCCTGAGTGTCCACGGTGTGGATTTCTGTGACACGTTCGGGGAGGTCGAGGCCCGCTGGATCCTGGAGTTGGCCCGCGCGGCATGGGCGAAAAAGGCTGCGCTCCGGACGATCTACGTTGGGTACAGACCGGAGCCGCATTGTCTCGACGAGGTTCTGGAGTATCCGTGGGACCGTCTTACCCGACTCCGGGAGGATCTCCAACCGCTAGGAATCGGATTGGAGTGGGATGAGCCGTCGTTCTCGGAGGAGGAGTGGATTCAGGCGCGCATGCAGGCCTCCCCGCCGTGGGAGGCAATGCGTGGGAGTGAAAGTCCCCCGCTGGATGAGATGTTGTTTGGTTGCGAGCTGTCGAAGGATGGTGAGCCCAGTCTGGAGGAACAGGAGGCCTGGGAGTACGCTCACAAGGCAATCAGATAGAAGAATTAGCTACAAATCAGAAACAGATCTTGACAGTATTTGCTATTGGCTGGAGCCCCAAAGTTCTACTTTCCTGGGTCTCTCCCAGTAAACCTACGTGAGCATCCATCGGGGCCTTCTTCCACCGGACACCATTCTTCATCATTTCATCTATCTACGCTGTATATCTAATCACTCCAGCTTAAGACCTGAGAAATTGCCTGCCTCAAGTCTCGACTGTAGTCACAGTACAGAGCGACAGCCACGGTGGTCCTCGGTATTGCGTTCATTCAGCTCATGGTCGCTGTAGCCTCAATACTTACGGGCCACAGCCGTGGAGATGAAGGCTGCACAGAACTTGTCTCAGTCACTCAGAACACTATAGATATATTCAATGACGATGTCACTTCCATCGCCGGCGTCAAAGAAGAAATCTTTCGCAGTATAACTGGCGACCTCGCGCGCCTCGTCAATGACTCTAAAGTACTGGCGCTACGGCTCTCGGATGGGTGGTCGCGGCATCTCACTGCTGCAGGTTGAATCCCGGTTAGCCTCTAATATCCTCTAAACAGAGGAGAAATTCGGGATTGCTGTATAAACTAACTCAGGACTTACTTCGAGCTGTTTTACCAGGGGAGCGTGATTTATTTCACCAGTTGCAGCCTTAGGCAGCAACCCCTGCAGTGGTAATCAACAGCTTCAGCTTCAACCTTGAAGCCGATATGATTGGATCGATGATGGGTGGAGCACACACATGCTTTCCAGCTGTGTCCAATCAGCATGTGGCATGCTGCTCTTGCTGGCCTCAGGCCACAGACCCGTGCCTGGCAGCTGTCGACCAATCAAAGGGGAACAATGCAGGCACATGGTCACTGTCGGGAATCTCCGCCTTTTCCTCCGTACCTGCAATGCTTGATTGTTTGTTCCCCACTGCCGGGTTTATCACCAACCAGCATCTTCTTTTTATCAGCTTTTAATTACACTAACGTCTCTATGGCCAGTCTGCTGCAGCTTCAATCGCCTGCTCTAACCGAAGGGCTTGGCCAATTGCTGTTCTGGGGACCTACACGTGTGGTCTCGTGCCTTGTTTTGCCGTCTTATCTACTGCATACAACCGATGAGATAGCCATGCCGAGCGAGAAAATTATAAAAGACCGTGGTCATGCCGCTCTCTAATGCCTGAGCAGATGCACGTCAATCGAATATTCCATCCCCCGTCAACATTCTTGTACGGAGCTAAAGGCACGCGACCATGAAGACCGCTGCTGCATCCGCCTTGCTGGTGGCCCTCTCCGCCACGCTTGCTCAGGCACGTCCTGTCGCCGATGAACGCTATCCATACACTGGGCCGGCCGTTCCCGTGGGAGACTGGGTGGACCCGACTGTCAATGGCAATGGAAAGGGCTTTCCGCGTCTGATTGAGCCCCCAGCCGTCCGGCCCGCCAGCGCCAACCCTCGCAACAATGTGAACGTCATCTCCTTGTCGTACATCCCCAAGGGCATGCACATCCACTATCAGACCCCCTTCGGGCTAGGACAGACCCCATCCGTGATCTGGGGCAAGAGTCCTCACCAGCTCAACAAGGTGGCCCGCGGTTATACCCACACGTAAGCATTGAAGTCTTATCCTGTGCACTCACCCGAAAGAAAGCAAATCCCCTAACATCGGACTAGCTATGCCCGCACGCCGTCCTGCTCCGAGATCAAGATCATCACCCAGTGCAGCGAGTACTTCCACGAAGTCAGCCTGGAAAACCTCGAGCCCGGGACGACCTACTACTACCAGATCCCGGCCGCCAACGGCACGACCAAGTCGGAAGTGCTGAGCTTCAAGACCGCGCGCGAGGCCGGTGACAAGGGCTCCTTCAGCGTCGCCGTGCTGAATGACATGGGCTACACCAATGCGCACGGCACGCAGAAGCAGCTGATCAAGGCTGCCAACGAGGGGACGGCCTTCGCCTGGCACGGCGGTGACATCAGCTACGCGGACGACTGGTACGAAGGCACCTTGGCGTGCGAGTCCTCCTGGGACGTCTGCTACAATGGCACCAGCACGGAGCTACCCGGAAACCTGCCGCTGCCGGACGAGTACAAGAAGCCGCTCCCCGCGGGGGAGATCCCCAACCAGGGAGGTCCCCAGGGTGGCGATGTCAGCGTCATTTACGAGTCCAACTGGGACCTGTGGCAGCAGTGGCTCAGCAACGTGACGGTCAAGATCCCATACATGGTTATGCCGGGTAATCACGAAGCGGCATGCGCGGAATTTGATGGGCCAGGCAACATCCTCACGGCCTATCTGAACGACGACATCGCCAATGGCACTGCCGCCGAGGATAAGTTGAACTACTACAGCTGCCCCCCCTCTCAACGGTGAGCACTTCCCCCGCTCCCCCAATTGTAATCGGTACTGACGAGCTGATGCGATCCAGAAACTTCACTGCATACCAACATCGCTTCCGCATGCCCGGCGAGGAGACCGGCGGCGTGGGCAACTTCTGGTACTCGTTCGACTACGGCCTGGCGCACTTTGTCTCGATCGACGGCGAGACCGACTTCGCCAACAGCCCCGAGTGGCCCTTCGCGGAGGACATCAAGGGCAACGAGACGCACCCCACGGCGGAGGAGACCTTCATCACCGACAGCGGGCCCTTCGGCGCGGTGGACGGCAGCTACAAGGACACCAAGAACTACGCGCAGTACAAGTGGCTGCAGCAGGACCTGGCCAAGGTCGACCGCAGCAAGACCCCCTGGGTGTTCGTCATGAGCCACCGCCCCATGTACAGCTCGGCATACTCGTCGTACCAGCTCCACGTGCGCGAGGCCTTCGAGGGCCTGTTGCTGAAGTATGGCGTGGATGCTTACTTCTCAGGGTGAGTCTGGCCCCTTTTGCCGGGCGCAAAGCCCGGCCTTTCCTCGGGTGCAGACAGTCTAACCCAGCACAACAGACACATCCACTGGTACGAACGCCTGTACCCCCTCGGCGCCAACCAGACCATCGACACCGCCAGCGTCGTCAACAATAACACCTACATCGCCAACAACGGCAAGTCGATCACCCACATCATCAATGGTATGGCGGGCAACATCGAGAGCCACAGTGAGTTCAGCGAGGGCCAGGGGCTGACGAACATCACGGCCGTGTTGGATACCGTGCACTACGGGTTCAGCAAGCTGACGGTCAAGAGCGAGACAGAGGTCAAGTGGCAGTTTATCCGCGGGGATGATGGGTCGGTCGGAGACGAGGTTACGTTGCTGAAGCCTTCCGCCGTGAAGGCGAAGGGGAAGGGCAAGGGCAACGGAAAGGCGTATTCTGGCTTTCGGGCTTGAAAAGAAAAGTTCACGAAGTAGGGGTAGTCGTATGACTGCTGATGATGTATGTACTGTATAGTGGGCCTATCGATGTTAATATGAGTGTTGTTGCTGTGAGTATGTTTGGTGGTGCACTGCCCAGACGCTGCTCGCCTTTTGGGTCATTTCACTCTTTCCCAGAGCCATCCACGTGCTGTGACTTTGACTGTAAGACTTCACTGCTGCAGAAGGACTTCTTTCGATATCAGTCGTCTTTCGAACGTGGTGTGTCGATTCAGCCTCAAGTATACAATCGGAATCTCTAAAGGCATTCTGCATCATGGTTACATACTCATATGATATCGATGCACCCCCGATCTTCTTCAGTTTAAGTCATGTGACCGCATCTCTATAGTAGGAGAGTGAGGTCTGCCAGCCAGCCCCTCCGTGAAGATCCCCGCGTGTGCTGCATTGAGGTTCCTTCAACTGACGCGCGATGAAAGAACAAAGAAGCGAAGTCCAGCGATCGAGTGCTTTGAGCATGAATAATGGCTTTGTCATAGAGCCATCGCATTGTACTGTGGTATTGCTGTGATAACGCAGCACACGCTATCTCCGGTGGCATCTTTCCCCAAGGCAGAGATTTTCCTTCTCGATTCATTGTCTCATCTCTGCAACAATCGCCCGGAGAGAAGACGGCAAGATACATCTCTACGCGAAAGGTCATCAGCAAGATAGACCTCTCTTCCGGCTCGTGCTGAACAAGCCTCCGGGATCTGAGTTAACAAGCAACCACCGTTCTACCTCATCATGCCCGCAAGACACGTGCTTCAAGGGCAGATTGAGATATCATCGTTCCAGCTGATCAAACCAACCCTTCGTGTCGAAGTCGCGACCATGGAGACGACCGGGCCCTCAATGGATGCTTGCAACACAGTCGGTGCTACTAAAAAGCATCGAAGATAATTCCCGATACGTCTTTCATGACCATCGCAACGATCATGATCGCCTCGCTTTGATCTTCTTGACTTTTCAACCGAGGAGCTCAAAGGATTCCCTTTTTGAGACCCTTCAAGTCCAAGGTGTTTAGCATCAGTCATGCCCATGGAATGGATATAAATAGAACCACATTCATCCCCGTCTCCGGTCTCGACGAGCACTCCATTGCTACACACACCATCCCGATCAGCCACTTATCTATATTCCGACACCCAGTACAGAGAATGACACCCACAATCTCGTCCACCAAGGCTGTCCCGTCCGCATCCCCATATACCGAAGTACGCACGGTCCCCAACCGCTGCGAATGCGTCGCGGAGTCCAAGTCCGGGAACTATTGGGACGACGAACCCCTCCGGGAGGAAATCCTCAAGGCCAAGGCAAACCAGCAGAAGGAGTGGTGGATACCCCGGCCCGGGCATTCCCTGGACCTCTGGGGGCGGCTGCTCAGCGACACGTTCGGCCTCGCCGGCGACGGAGAGATCCTCCCCGACAACCTCGATGACACCCTGCCCGCGCACGTGGTGGCGGCGGAGATCTACAACGCGCGGTACCCCTTGACCGGCGTCGTCCGGTATCTACGCCTCTCAGAGTGCGTCGGGAGGCCCCTCTGGCCGCTGACGGACTGTGCGCTCGTGGTGATCGATCTGATCCCCGGGAACTCTTCGAAGCTGGTGCGTGAGGCCTTCCCGGAGCGCGCGAGGGCTCTGGATCGTCTCATTCGGAGCAGCACCACCCCCACCCACAAGGAGGAGGAGCCCCACATAAAACAGGAAGGGGGGAAGGAGGAGGAGGAGGAGGAGGAGCCGGTGAAGGAACTCGTCCGATACCCCTTCATCCGAGTCTTCTGCACCTGGGGCGACAAGGAGCACCCGGACCCGTCGCTGGACGAGTGCCGCGAAATCGTCACCCAGCTGGGGATGACGGACGAGGCGCGCCGCACGTGTCGGGCGTTCTTCCTCGCCAGGGGCTCCAGGGTCGGCATCTATACGTGGGATCGGAGTGGGCAGGGCCGCACGGTGCTGCCACTGCGCGTCCACCCGGACCAGGGCGATGACCCCTTCCTCTGCCTGGCGGACGATCATGCGCGGGTGGGGAAGATTGTGCAGCAGCTGTCGAGGGAGGTGCATGCCGTCCTCAAGCTGGCGGCATTCTGGTAAGTCCTCTTTTCCAGGCGCTTTTCCTATTCGCATCGCTGTCTTTCCGTTAGTGTACTTTGCCTTACAATCCAAGTGACTATATTCATGATTTTTCGTTCTATCTCTCCTGTCCCTTTTCCTGTTTCCTTATTTCCTTTCTTTTGCTGTCCGTTAGAACTCTGTTGTGTCAATGTGCATGAACGCCCCAATTGCTCTTTCTCTCTTTCTTTGTACCCGAGAACGCTGCTGACGACAGGAAGCCGCGCCCATCTTGAGCTCCCTCCAATTTTGGTCAGCACAGCTGACCTATGACAAGAAGCCACCATAAGCGAGAGTATAAAGCATCATGCGTGCGTGCATAATTGCGGACAAGAGTCCATACTCTCCTGGTCTGTACGGAGACTCCTCTACATCATGCTTTGTGCTCAAGCCAGCTGTGACCGAGTGATAGTTTGAGGACTGCTGCTTGGAGGACTGCATAAAAGCCACCGATGTGAGCAAGGATGTATAAGTATTCGAAACCCCGAATAAACAAATTTGATTCAAGTCGAGGGTGTTGTTGTTGTTGTTGTTGTTCTCTTCCCTTGGGAGGGTTACCGGAGGGAGATAAAAGCTAGATCCGATCAGATTAATAGCGGACGGCCAGAAAGTCCGCCCGGCCTCCGGATGCGCCCGGAATTGCTCGGCTCGACACACCTGGCAATGCAATTCCAGCTGCCTTGTTCCACGGTATTTCCCCTCATAAATGTCATAAATTAGGATAATTACCCCACCTTCTGAGCGAGGGATCATAACTCAATAATCACATTTCCTGTTGCACTGCTGAAGGTGTCGTCATGGCGGACCGCGGCCCCCCTCTCCCCTTTCACCAATCCCTGTGATGTGGTGAACCGTTGCGGACGTGCATTAGACCTCTGCATTGTACTTATGCACTCCCCAAATTTTCCCTGCAATAACAGCACGGCATTGGAGATCCATGGCACAGAGATAAGCGAGAGGCCAGATGCGCCCTCCAAGCTGGCAAAAGTACCAGATGAGGGGAGATGGAACTGTTTTGGGCCATGTGCTGCTCCAACCCTGGCCATAAGCAGGCCGACTATAGAGACGATCACCCTGTCACTCCGAAGCTTACGGTCGCATTGTGTCTGGAAATGTTGATCACGTAGCATGAAGAGAGAGAGAGATACGATGGGTTAACCGCCGTGGCGCTCTTATTATGAGTCTCAATTGCTGTTTTGCCCGTTCTCTTCCGATATTCCAGGGCTGATGTAGGGTGGGCTCACTTGGAAAGAAGAGAGAGAGTACTAGTTGTATATCTTGCAGGAGCTCCGCAGGCGGGATCTCAACCGCATGGGATGATGCAGCGAGATGGCTCCACGTCAACCCTGCCCATACGAGGACCCCCCGGTCATCATCTATTCCCCCGACCGTGTAAACACTATAGAATGTAGCCTCTGATAGGGTGTCACGAGTCAAACCGTCTCGTAACCGAAGGACAGAAACCTGCCAGAATCCATGATCCCGACCGATGCGGCCGAAGGGGAAAACCCCCCCAGATGCCCCAAAGGGGAATAGCGCCGAACGTGGCCAGCCCTGACGACGTCATGGACTTCCGGCCAGATTCGGTCGATGATGCATCAGTGCTTTCACTGTCAGACCATACCTTACCACTCACTCCCTTATAAAGATGGAGGAGGGGAACACAACTGTCACGCACAAGGAGTATTTCCCCTCCATCACCTAATTCCCCCATTCTGCAATCAATCACTCACTCCATTTCACAATGCCCTCCGACGAGCTGAGCATATCGGCCTACGGTGCCGCCCGCTCCACCATCAAGGGCGAACCCCTCGATGCTGAGGAGATCCGCAAGACCGATGCCTATTTCCGCGCCAGCCTGTACCTGTGCCTGGGCATGCTCTATCTCCGGGACAATGTCCTGCTGCAGGAACCCCTGAAGAAAGAACACCTGAAGGCCCGTCTTCTCGGCCACTGGGGCTCCGATGCCGGCCAATCCTTCACCTGGATTCACATGAACCGCCTGATCAAGAAATACGAGCTGGATGTGCTGTTCATCTCGGGCCCGGGCCACGGCGCCCCCGGGATCCTCTCGCAGTCGTACCTGGAGGGTGTCTACTCCGAGGTCTACCCGGACAAGTCCGAGGACGTGGTGGGGATGCAGAAGTTCTTCAAGCAATTCTCCTTCCCCGGGGGCATCGGCAGCCACGCCACGCCGGAGACGCCGGGCAGTCTGCACGAGGGCGGGGAGCTGGGGTACTCGATCTCGCACGCCTTCGGCACCGTCTTCGACCACCCCAACCTGATCACGCTGACCATGGTGGGCGACGGCGAGGCCGAGACGGGCCCGCTGGCGACCAGCTGGCACAGCACCAAGTTCCTGAACCCGATCACCGACGGCGCGGTGCTGCCGGTACTGCACCTGAACGGCTACAAGATCAACAACCCGACGCTGCTGGCGCGCATCAGCCACGAGGAGCTGTCCGCCCTCTTCTACGGCTACGGCTGGACCCCCTACTTCGTCGAGGGCAGCGACCGCGAGAGCATGCACCAGGCCATGGCCGCCACGCTGGAGCACTGCGTGCTGGAGATCCGCAAGTTCCAGCAGCAGGCGCGCGAGTCCGGGAAGCCCTTCCGGCCGCGGTGGCCGCTGATCGTCCTGCGCACCCCCAAGGGCTGGACCGCGCCCCGCGAGGTCGACGGCAAGCTCCTCGAGGGCTTCTGGCGCGCCCACCAGATCCCCATCACCGACGTGCTGACCAACCCCGCCCACCTGCAGGTACTGGAGGACTGGATGAAGAGCTACGGCCCGGACCAGGTTTTTGGCAAGGACGGCAAGCTCATCCCCGAGCTGAAGGCGCTGGCCCCGACGGGCAACGCCCGCATGAGCGCCAACCCCGTCGGCAACGGCGGCCTGCTGCGGCGCCCGCTCGACCTGCCGGACTTCCGCCAGTACGCGCTGGATGAGATCGAGCCGGGCGTCTCGGTGCGCGGCAGCATGGTCAACATGTCCAAGTTCCTGCGCGACGTCGTCGGCCGCAACCTGACCAACTTCCGCGTGTTCGGGCCGGACGAGACCGAGTCCAACAAGCTGTCCGAGATCTACAAGGCGGGCAAGAAGGTGTGGCTGGCGGATTACTTCGAGGAGGACAACGACGGTGGCAACCTGGCGATGCAGGGCCGGGTGATGGAGATGCTCAGCGAGCATACCTGCGAGGGGTGGCTGGAGGGGTACGTGCTGTCCGGGCGCCACGGGCTGCTGAACAGCTACGAGCCGTTCATCCACATCATCGACTCGATGGTCAACCAGCACTGCAAGTGGATCGAGAAGTGCCTGGAGGTGGAATGGCGGGCGAAGGTGGCGTCGCTGAACATCCTGCTGACGGCGACGGTGTGGCGCCAGGACCACAACGGGTTCACGCACCAGGACCCCGGGTTCTTGGATGTCGTCGCCAACAAGAGCCCCGAGGTGGTGCGCATCTACCTGCCGCCCGACGGCAACACGCTGCTGTCCGTGACGGACCACTGCCTGCGCAGCGCCAACTACGTGAACGTGATCGTGGCGGACAAGCAGGACCACATCCAGTTCCTGGACATGGACGAGGCGATCGCGCACTGCACCAAGGGGCTGGGGATCTGGAACTGGGCGAGCAACGACCAGGGCCACGAGCCGGACGTGGTGATGGCGTGCTGCGGCGACGTGCCCACGCACGAGGCGCTGGCGGCCACCGCGCTGCTGCGCGAGCACGTCCCGCAGCTCCGGGTGCGCTTCGTCAACGTGGTCGACCTCTTCCGGCTGATCTCCAAGATCCACCACCCGCACGGCATGTCCGACCGCATGTGGAAGTCCATCTTCACCGACGACAAGCCCATCATCTTCAACTTCCACTCCTACCCCTGGCTCATCCACCGCCTGACCTACAAGCGGCCCGGCCAGCACAACATCCGCGTCCGCGGCTACCGCGAGAAGGGCAACATCGACACCCCCTTCGAGCTGGCCGTGCGCAACAACACCGACCGCTACAGCCTGGCCATCGACGCCATCGACCACGCCCAGTCGCTGGGCAACACCGCCGCCGGCGTGCGCGAGAAGCTGCTGAACATGCAGCTGATCGCCAAGCAGAAGGCGTTCGACGATGGGTTGGATCCGGATTATATCCGCAACTGGACGTGGCAGTGGCCGAAGAAGAAGTCGGAGGGGGTTTAGGTGCCCCCCCACCCAAGCTCCAAGTTTGACGATCATTTCCTTTATCTTAATGCTCAATTCTTCAAACTAGTTGGCGAATGCTATCCCGAAATCTAGTACCTAGTACAATCTAATGAATGCCCTTTCCGAAAAGTTCAATACCTCATAACTCGTAAACCCTGATCGTCACTCCGTAGCCCTATTCCCTATACCCCCTACCGGGAAAACAAACTAGAGCCCAACCTCCAACACCCCCGAATAAGCACACTGCATCTTGATATACTCCGCCGTGCGATTCCGGCACACCCACTGCGACGCATCAGTGTACGCATCCAACCGCACCTCCCCTTGCTCCACCAGACTGGAGTTGCTCGTCTGCACGCGCAACGTGAACCGGTCGATGTGGCTGCCCAATCCGTCGGGGAAGCTGACCTCGTAGGCCGGGTTGTAGCATTTCACGGTCGTGGAGACGGGGACGGGTTGTGTGGGGTGCCTTTTAGACAGAAGGTTAGCCGGGAATGGGGAGTAAGGGGGAAAAGGGGGAAGAGGGGGAAAGAACGCACCAGTTTACGTTGCAGATGGTTGGGGGGGCGTCGGTGTTGGGGTCGGAGAGGGTCAGGTTCAAGAGGCCGAAGTCGAGGTCGGAGAGGGTGCGGGCGGTGAGGGTGGTGATTTGGAGGGGTTGCAGGGTTTCTCTTTTGGGGATTGTGGGGATGGCGGTGGTGGTGGTTGCAATTGTGATTAGGAGGGTGGTGAGGAGGGCGGGGAGTTGCATTTTGAGGGTTTTGTTTTGGTGGTGGTGTTGTAGTAAGGAGTAAAGGTGGATGTGAAGATTAGGTGGATTTGAAGTGTAGTGTCTGTTTGGTCGTGTTGGTGGAGTTGGAGTCTGATAGAGCGGTGGATGTGGTGGGTGTGCAGTGCGCTTTATAACGCCTTCATAAATCCCATCAGTGTAAGGTGGGCAATGATGTGAGACAAGCCCCGCCAGTCAAAGGGTCTGACAGGACGATTGTTGTGTTGGGTGGCTGGGAGTGCTTTCAAGTTTCAACCGAACAGCACAGCTTCAACGAATCCCGATGTGAGGCTGAGCCCGCCGATCCGATCGGCCGCCCACTCCTTGTCACTGGCTGGCTATTCTTAGCGTCCGCCCCTGATTCTCCACACTCAATGAAGAACAGGGCTGCCTAAGGAGTAGGTAGATTTCTGATCATCCTGCAGAGAGCGTTAACACTACGCACTACGGAGTACTCTAGCATTGTCGCTGAGTATTCTTGTTCTTTCATCGCGACAAAGACTGTCTCTTCTATATATCCACATACTGAAGCTACAATTGCTCAAACAAAGGACTGGAAGTACTGCGCAAAATGGGTTCAATTGAATGGACTACGGATCTTGAGCATTTAGCCAACGTTAGAAGTAGACATTTCATCCAAGCCCTAGTGATGGACTTGCATAAGCCTTTGCTGCATCAAACGCTTCTCAGTAACAAGAAACAAGACCCTGGTTCCCGGCTGTTGCCGCGCCTCGTTTGCTTTCGAGCCCTCGCCCCCATTCACCCCGCTAGCGCTTATCCCTTCTACCTCGACCCTGGTTTGTCAAACCGGTCGATCCTTGCAATAGCTACAGACCTTATTCCCACCCGTTCACTGGCTGGGAAGATTGTTGGCTACGGAGAATCCCTCCGAACATCGACCGATATAAGCAGCTCAGCTATTCTGTCTTGCGACCAGTATAACTGCCCAGAGTACAAGACTCCAATGACCAGGTTGGCACCGGAGAGGATAGTCATGTTCTGTCGTAGAGTGAATAAATAGAAGAGCTGCGTAATAGTGAACAAGAACACTAATTGAGCCACCAAGCCGGTGTGCCAACTGGCAACTTGCATAGATAGATTTATGCTTGCCGGTGGCCCGGATCGGTTCCTATCGCAGTGCAAACAGACTCTGCGATAAAATTCATATCCAGCACCATCGCCACGCAGAGACTACTGCAAACTGCTTTGCTAATCTACAGGACAGCTTATCTCAGCCCAGTTTCTGGAACTGGAGGCTGGAGTCATCCCGCATAGCCTTTGGCCCCCAATCCGGGGATGTGTTGGTTCGTCGGGCTTTGTCAGTGGGTGATGGGAGCATGTAGCTTGCTTGTTTCTCATTGCCCCAGTACTGTGGCTGGCCGTTGGTCTGTCTTTCCTGAAGTGGACTTTCTCTCATGGATCAGGATCCACCGATAGATGCTTCTCACAGCTTCTTCGAGCTTACGGTGAATCTCAGGTAGGTCTTTACTGGGGAATGCTTGTCTTTCCTGAGTGGTCCTATTGCATATCTTCTTATTGCTAGACAATTACCTCGCAACCTTTGCTCAGTCATGGTAGGCCAGTGTCAACGTGTGATTGATCGGTCTTCTCATTCTATACCTACCTGCCTAGTTGCCTCTTTGTCCAAGGCGCTCCTTCAAAACTACATGAGTATCAGAGTACCCCCCGCTTCAGAATCTCGTCGATGGGCATCCATCATGCGAAAATGTGAGAATCCAATGACGGAGCTAAGCATAATCACCGCTGACGCTGCCATGGTCAGTCCGATCCTGAAGTGTGGATATACAACGAGCACGCTCAGAAGGGAGTTTTGGGACACGGAATGAAGCATTGTCGTGCTTTTTCTTACAACAGAAATTATTTAAGGAATTTTCCGGCTCCATCATGATCAGAAGATTCATATGAGGCAATGAGTGCTGTTTGCGGCCCTGCAGAAGCAGTAATGAAGTCCTTCATAACTTGCCGTTATGCTAGGTCGGCGAACTACATTTGTTGAGAGAATATTTTCATCTCCAATATGTATGTATTGTCAATTTCCCAAGGTGAATGTCCTGGTTACCCAACCAGGAAGAAGCTGAGTTGCCGGAGAGCTTCATTCCCTTTTGTAGGACCTCTTTCAAAAGCTGTCCCTTACTACCCAATCCCCATTATAAATACTCCCATGCATCCTTTTCAATATCTCCTGTTGATGTAACTTCAACCCGCACGGAGTTCGTCAGATCGCGGATAAAGCGACTGGTTTGTTCAATCACGATCTGACTACCCACGACAGCAAAATGTCGACAATCCCTACCTATGAGCCAGGCGATCCAATGCCGACTTTCAGGATCCCGCCTCCGCCAATGGCCGCAAGCGCGTTCTGGAGCATTCCGGTGATCAAAGACTTCCTGGCTATCACAACCCGGACCCAAGTCGTGTGCAAGATGGAGGATACTGCGGAGATGTGGCGAAGGATCTTGGCGGTACGTTTTGATGACTGGAGCCTCGCTTTTAGCCCCGTCAATAGCCCGCTGACCGAACCTCCAGAGAGCCCCGATCTGTCCGATCTGTCCGAGTTGGATGATGACATTGATGATGAAGGCATGAGCTCAGGCTCTGACATCCCATTTCGACCTCCTCCGGGCCTCCTTCCCTACTCGGTTCCGCCGCCGCCGCCACCACCGCCATTGTATCTCTTCGGAGCACGCAATGGCATACTGAGCCAGCCCACAGCCGGCAGGCTGGGTATGAGCATTCCACCGGCATCGACCACTCAGCGCGGCGACTCGGCCAACAACGCCAGCAGCAGTGGGTCGGACATTCCTTTCCGGGCTGCTCGCAGGTCACTCCCGTATCCACCGCCCTTGTTCATACGCCAGTACCTGGCGGCTGCAAGGGAGAGCACCCGAGTTGGGCCTATCAGACGGTCCCAGACCCGCCCTGCTGCCAACCCTAAGACCTCACAACGTCCACTGCAGCCCTATACACTCCTGGACCCATCCTGGGACCTCGGACCGCCCACGCAGATCCCACGTCAGGTTCTCTCTGCCCTGCGTTCGACAGCAAGCCACGAGGAAGACACATCGCGCAGCGATGCCAGCACTCAGCCCGAAGGCCCTGTGCACCCACACGGCGCAGCAACCGGATCCTCTGATAGCGAAGAATCCACCGCCTCCACCATGAGCTGTGCCGCTCCAATCGTGGTCCACGAGCTGGGAACCGCCATCTTCTCGCCCGATGGCACCGAGACGGACTCCAACGCCCCATCCCTGACCTCCTCCTCTTCCCCATCTACCCAAGAGGCACCCTCAGACCCCTACACCTCCGCCTCTCCCACCCTAAACTCCCCCTCCCCGCCTCCCAGCCGACCCTGGGAAATCACCGACCCCACCCTCATCCCAACCTACACCCTGATCCAGACCAAACACGACTGCAGGTCCGTGTCCATGTTCCCCACGGAGATGCTGACGCTGGTCATGACGCGCGCCCTGCCGGGCCACCTCCCCCTCCCGTTCCTGCTCCTCTACTGCCTCCCGGGGATCGGCGACGAGGAGCAAGAAGCCGCGATGATCGAGTGGCGCGACGTGAAGGAGCACGCGCTGCACAAGATCTCGGAACTGGTCGACCGGTACACCGACCCCATCGGGGATGACGGGAAGCGGCAGCGCGCGCGCACGCGGCTGCTGGCGGATCTGCGCTTGGGGATCGCCACGGGGTCGAGCGTGCGCATGTACGACTTCGATCGCGGGGACGACGGGGTGTTTCTGCTCGAGGAGTGCGCGTGGGCCAAGCAGGCGGGGCCGCGGTTGGATGTGCGCGAGACGCCGATCGCGTTTTCGAACCTGGTGGATCGCATTGCAGGGTGGGAGAACTAGTTTCACCGGTGGGTATGGGGATAAGGTGTCGAGCGGACGTTTCGACTTAACATAACACCTCGACATAAAAAAAAAAAAAAAAAAAAAATAGTGCCTAGCTTCGCTAGGTAAGATTACCTCTATCAGTATCTTTGTACTTGTTTCTGTCCTCTAAGAACCGAGTAATCTAGAGCGCAACAATATATATCGTGAATAGTACACAGAGAACGTAAGCCCAATCCCCCTCTATATGTCAGAAAGCTCTAACAAGCGGAAACCAAACTATTGCGCGACCGAACCGGACTGCGCCCCTGCAAGCCGGACCCCTCCGACTCCACCTGCCTGACCACGGTGGTCATTGTGCCCGTGGTCGCCGTCTCCGCGCCCGCGACACACTCATCCCAGCCCTGCGGGGTGGTGACAAATGCACTGGTTGCACTGGTATTCGACAACGGATCGGCATCGTTGAGACTCGGGCCCTTGGCGATCTGCACCAACCGGCCCAAGATGGCATACTCCAGCTTCAGCTTGATGCTGTACGCGACGGGCTTGAACATGACCTGCAGGGCGTAGTAGCCGGCATACTCGATGGCGACGACGGCGAGATCCAGGATGAGGATGACGATGTTGATGACGAGCAGCTGGGCGAGGATGAGGCGGCGGGGGCGCTCGGGCCGCAGCCGCAGCATCTTGATGGTCTCGTAGACGTAGATGCCGGAGAGAAGGGCCTCCTGGACGCAGAAGGCGACGAGCTGGATGCGCTCCATGGCGTTGTAGCCGGCCTGCCAGCGCGGGGCGCCGCCCAGCGCCCCGTACAGCAGCACGGTGGTCGGGATGTGGAAGAGGGCCGCGTCGAGGACGATCGCCCCCAGGATCCAGGTCAGGAGCTTGGGGCGCTGCAGCACCAGGTGCAGCCGCGACCACAGCACCAGCGAGTGGCCCGTCACCATGCAGTACCACGTCAGTACGATCAGCGTCACCGAGATGTAGCGCGACACCTCCGGCGCGAACAGGAACAGCGTGTACCCCAGCACGTGCGGGATCAGGCTGAAGCTGGTGATGAACAAACTCCAGAAGTAGCAGCCCCGGTACGAGTGGAAGGTCGTCAGGCATAAGATCACCAGCTCGATCGCGTTGTACCAGGTGATCGCCGAGAAGGCGCTGATCACGTATTTTTGCACCGTGTCGCCCGGCGTCACGGCGCTGAAGCTGCCTTCATTGTGGGTGGCGCGGTCGAAGGCGGACATTGCATTCCAGTCCGGGGCGTGTTTCATCTATCGACGAGAGGACGGGAGGGGTTGCGCATGATGGTGGGATGCTGGTGCCCCGGCTGTCTGAGGGGTGAAGTGTCGTGGTGGTGATGAAGAAGAAGAAGACGGAGTCAGGTGTGAAGAAGATAGGGTTATGGTTCTCTCTTGTCTATACCGCGCCGCTCATGCGACCACTCCATGTTCCTGAACACGAAGCCAACACGAGAAAAAAAAAGGTTCTGCAGGGATTAAAGAAGGATTGGAAGGAGAGGGAAGAATTAGAGGAGAAGAGGGTTAAGGGGAGTTTAGGGGTTTTTTTTCGCCTCCCTCAACGTGGAGGGAGCGAGAGAAGGGAGCAAGGAAGCTTAATGGTAATATTCTGACGTCGTCGACCTGGGCGAGACTGGCGGCCGATTCCATGGTTGACGCTTCACCCGCTCGTCCTCTTGCCCGCAATGGGGAATTTGACTGCCACTGCGACCGGCGCCGATGCCTCTGGTTGGTCTCTGCTGAAGCTGAGTTTCTGCCAAGCAGCCCCTCCCAATAGTCTTATTTGGTCGGTTTCGACCTCGCAAAGCGCAAAGCGAGATCGGATGCCAGTGGATTTGGCACGTTACGCACGCTAGCCCTAATCCATCCATCCCCCTTCCCCCGCGTTCGTCCCAACTGAGACATCATGGCTTCAGGGGCGACTGCAGGCACCGCGATCAAAGTTTCTCCTCCCGATCGCTCGATCGGGAATTGATCGGCTTCGTGCGGGGGAAGCTGCTGGTCTGAAGCATGGCACGAGCGACCGCAGGGTAATTCATGTCGATCGCAAGCAACATCCACCCCCGGGCTGATCTAGTCATGAGGTAATGCACCAACAGCTGATTCTTGGCCTCACTTCATGCTCAATTACAAGACTTACTTCACTAGCAAAAATCGTCCATCTTGCCGGTAGATGTGAGGGATTGGTGAAAATCCTCCTATGCTTCCAAGACCTCCGACCGTGGCATGGTCGGGAACACGACCTCAAATCTCCGCGGCCAATGCCTGCACTGCCTCCGACAGCTTCTAGTCAACCCGGAGCTACGGAACCACCCCATGGATACTGGCTTTGCCAAGGAGTTGATACACCTACTGCTGTGATTCGCTGGAAAAGCTCTCCCCATCGGCGGTTCCCGGCGCGTGACAGCAAGCTTTGATCACTGGTGGGCGAAGATGCAGGGTCGAGCATGGCCGGGTCGGCCGGTACTCGATCTCAGTGAGGGTGTTTGTAGCCGGCCCGGTGTGTATTCAGGGCGAAGGACTGTCAGCTGGTCCTCATGTGTACTGTTGATGGATCCTGCAATCTGGGAGCATTGGGGCGATTGCTCGTCAAGTCACGGACGGATCGTTGACAATCTGGACGGCCACCATGCCGTCCTGTAGCTCTCTACCGCGTCGAGCTGCTCGTAGCGCTTGCTTACTTGTGCAAACATTCTAATAGTCTGTTCAAATTAAATTCTCTCACGTCGTTCTCATTAACTCCTTGATTAGCCAATCGCCCAATGCTCTCAACAGAGCAAAGTCTATTGCATGTCCGGGATCATGGTTTCATGTCTTGGCGAACTTCGCCCCTCATTTTGATCTCTTGGCACGGTTTTCATTCCGAAGTGTAAAAACTTTTGCTCCTGATGGCTGAGTTCTATTTCACAGAGACGAATAGCGCGGGTGGATACTATTCTCAATTCCTCCCGCAGATCACACAAGAACTCCGCCCCGGTGTGGTACAATAGTCGCCGACCCTTACCAGGAATCTCCTGACGTTAGGTTCTGAACCTTTGGCTCGATACCACACCAGCATAGGTCGGTGGCCGATTTGGTTGGCTGTATGGCAGAGACCTACATACTAGTTGGCTTAGACCCTCTGAGGATGAGAAAGTTCCTGTCCTTCAACGCGACTGTGATCACGATATATCTGAGAGGCTTGTTGACAGATACTGTTCGGTTTAGAAATCTAGTCTGCTCACCCCAGGCATCTGGATTTAACATTTCTTCTGTTTCGTGCCAAGCCCATGACACTGATACACGGAGTCGATGTGGCCATTCCACCCACATCTCCTGAAATTCAAAGCGACGCAATCTCTATCAAAGACGGGGGTGAATCTGCGGTCCCCCAATACCAGCTACCGGGCACCCCGTGGAGCTCGGCCGTATCGAATTATCACCGGGGCGAAGCCCTGATGCGGCCCTGAGGGCGGTAAGGTTGAGTATATCTACGCTCGCTAACAAGTAATTAAGTCATTGTACAGTAAGTACAGCATTACATGGGGGACTCGAAGAGATAATTATCTGATAGTATGTGCTGCTTTGCGCGGGAATTTCATTTGGATTATCCCTATTTTTCTGTCGGAGTAGAGGAATCTGAGGAAGAATGAGTGCTGAATTGTATACAAGTTCTACCCGGGGAAGTATCAACCATAATGCCGATAGGAGGGGCATGAGCTCCTGGGTCTGTAGGTGAACAACCTCACTTTCTGAGCTCCTTTTTTATTCGCTACTTGTATGGCCCTTTCTTTATACTTTTCCCGCCCGCTTCTGGGGTAGACTGCAATATCTTTCCTCCCCATGAGGCTTCCGATGACAACCCTCCATCGCGTGTTCACAGGACGACAGCCCGCTGCGGAGAACAATCAAAGCCTGGACATCCCTTCTGCGGCCCGGGGGTTATGGCCCTTCCCATTGAGCTTGGGAACTCTGAATGCATCGATCATTCAATCACCTCAGCAAAAACAGCGAACAAAACCTGGTTGGCCATACGGCAGCCCTCCCAAAGGAACCGCGCGCAGCGATATCCGCCTCGCAGACGCAGATCCAGCTCGGAGATACTGAGGTTCTTCGTGTTGTAGCCGATGACCAACTCCAGGGCTACCGTCCACACGGTCGTGTCTGCGTCATTATACTTTGCCCACGCTGTTTGGAATGTGATTCCGTCAGCACGCTACAGATCCAGGACCCAGGTCGCCTTCCGGGGGTATTGGGAGCTGGCTGGTATCTAGCAGCGAGACTCTGTCAACTTGCTCGGTCGGTGAACAGAGAGGGTGATGGAGAATCAGAGTGAGGTGGGAGAGGAGGGAATTGGCTTGCGTGAGTCTTGGAGACGATGCGCGTATGTAAGCTGCAGGCATAGTAGTCCTTCACACCTAGACCGGATACGTGGGTGGAAGGGACCATGTCCTAGGACATCTCCATGCAGCTCTGATTGTCGTCCTCTATTGGCCCTTATAATCTGGGTACCGTGTCCTCGACGCCTAAAGAAGCATCGACAAAGGCTTTGAGCTGTTCACTCTCCTGGCGCAGCACATCCGTCATAGATTGCAGTGTGCTGATTTCCCGCGCCGTGGTGTTCTCAAGTGATACTATCCTTCGCTCCAAGTCAGCCACACAGTCGCGTTGTCGCTGTCGGCAGCGGCACTGGTTGTTGCGGACGCGGGTGAGGCCCTCTGCCTGCTTGGGAGGTTAGATATCTAGTTATCGCCCCATTTACTAATACGAAGTACTTAAGGCTGCGATCAGCCTACTCTGGTCTTTTTTTTTTTGATGCGTGGCATGTTGGTAGTAGTTAGTGCCGAACCAACTCCCTCCACGTTCTTCTACTGTATATATCAGGAAGAGGACGATCTTTAAGTTGCGATGGGTGAAAAAGGAGTGGCATAGCTGAAGATGTTATCGGTCGGCCGGATAACAAAGTGGCTTGGTTGGGGTGAATTCGACGGCTATTGGTGAACAAAGTTCTTGGGTCGCGGGAGAAATACTTAGTAGTTAATCCAATGGGCTGAAGGTGGTGACATATCATATTTTTTTGCCCAAACTGATGGCATACTAGGTATAAAGATATTCTAGAACTTCAACAGAGGTCGCCATCTAACAAGGAATGAAAGACGTCACATGAACCATATCAGATCAATTAGTAATACAAAGAACTATTGATTCCTGCACACTGTGAAAATAAAAACAAACGATTGCCCCAAGTCTGCATTCGAATTCCTTCTGCAATTCCTCGGCATTCTGCTCACAGAAAGAGACATACAATCTACATCTCATCCCTATTATTCGCCTACAATATGTCTCAAGATACCTACAATCTGGTCCAGTCCCGCTACGGCGACATCGTCAAACAAAGTACTGCCCCCAAGCGCGGCAAAGAAGAGGATATCGCCAAAGCATTCGGCTACAGTGCCGAAGACCTCAGCACCTTGCCCGAGAAGACTAACCTCGGCCTTAGCTGTGGGAATCCCGTAGCGTTCGCCAATTTCAAAGAGGTTTAATCTCCCTGCATGGCCCTTATGCCATAACAGCCACTAACTATATTTTGGACTGACATTCGTACCAGGGCGAGACGGTCCTGGACCTCGGCAGCGGCAGCGGCATCGACGTCCTCCTAACCGCCCGGAAGGTAGGCCCCAAGGGGCAGGCGATTGGGGTGGACATGACGAAAGTGAGTGTGCTTCCAGTGCATTTCTCTCCCGCGGAGCACTGACATGGTCCGACAAAAGAGTATGATCGAGCTCGCCGAGAAGAACATTCAAAAGGCAGGACTGTCCAACGCCAGAATCATCGAAGCAAACATCACCGCCATCCCGCTGCCTGACGCCAGCGTGGACTGCATCATCAGCAACTGCGTCATCAACCTAGTCCCGGCGGCCGACAAACCGGCCGTCTTCAAGGAGATGGCCCGACTTCTGAAGCCCCGGGGCAGAGTGGCAGTCAGCGATATCTTGGCAAGAAAACCGCTTCCCGACCACATTACCGGAGACATAGCGTTGTATGTGGGATGTGTGGCGGGTGCGAGTCCGGCGGAGAAATATGAGGAATTCCTTGGCCAGGCCGGCTTTGAAGGTAGATATACCCCGCGACGTGGAGTCCCAAGTACTGATCCAGTAGCAGGTGTCCTGATTGTGGACACAAAGTCGGATCTCAATCTCTACAAGCAGTCTTCGTATTTGCCCCAGGGCTCGGGTTGTGGCTCGTGCTGCGGCGGGGGATGCGGAACCGCGACTGCCACTGCCATGACCGAGCTGGACTTTAACGAGTGGGTTGGTCAGTTTACCCTCCCGTTGATCCTTGCTTTAAATAAACATCTCATTGGTAGTGAGTCTAGGCTCTTTCCAAATCTACGCCATCAAGGCCTAAAGAGCTCAATTTTTCTTTCGAGAGGTAGCTGCGGAAGAAAATGTAGAAGGGAACTGCTCCTCGATGTGTATGAAAAAGAATGAGATTATTCAGCGTCAAGTTGAGATACTGTCGTCGCATTTCCAATCTTCATCGAGTAATTGAACAATATCCATGTTCATGACCATGTAGTCGGTCGTCGCGAATGCGCTGTAACGATGATGACTGACTTGTCTGACATATATTCGGTTCAATGGTACTCTGTTGATGGATATGGCCCTACCTACCTCTTATTAAAACACTGACTGGGGCTGTCATTTCCGATTCGTCGGTCAATAGGTCTTCCTTGCGTCGGTAAGAAATATTCACCTCTATTTATCGAGCACATGAGTTTCGGTCCACGAGATTTGACTCTTCAGCGGGGCCAAGAGAACACCAATCACGGACACGTACAGTTCCTCGGCATGGGGAAATGCATCTGCGGTCGTGTCATTCAAGAAATGAATTTCCATAGTATGTATGGAGTGGTATGAAACGCCATGCATGGCAACAACTTGATTCACATACTCAATTCCTCTCTGTTGGCAGGCCAGAGGCGCAGCAACAATGGTCCGGGGCTAACCTTTTCAGGTTCAGAGGCTGTTTCTCCGAATTAAGTCTGCTCCCGCCCAATCAGCTTACGCCAGTGACATACTCGCCGTCGGGCTATGAGCAGCCATCAATTCACTTAAGTTTGTAAATAACTGGAACGCATCATCTGGCACATTTTGGTCAGTACCATAAAGGGTCACTTGTCCTTCCTTTTTCTTGCCTCTGTTTCAAAAACGAAAGAAGACAGCACCCAATGATCGCATGTCGCAGACTTCCCTTGTTACACCCATTGACCCCATTCACTCGTTCAGTGGTCCGTTTTGCGCCCAAGAACTACAGCACCATGGCCTCTTCCGCAGCTGTCCAGCCAAACCCTACTACCCCCTCCTTCGATATCCCAGTATCTCTCGCTATACCAGAGGCCGAAGATAGCTCCGACATCCGCCGCAATTACCGCCCGTTCATCCTCGGGGATGGAGCCGCGGAAGACTGGGTCAACAGGCTCGAGTTGACAACCGCCATGGATATGGCAGCGCAGGAACTGGCAAAGTCTAACAACCGGCTGAAAGTCCTCGTCTTGTACGGCAGTCTCCGTCGGCGATCCTATTCCCGCCTGGTGGCCTTAGAAGCCAGCCGAATCCTCTTCCGTCTCGGCTGTGACGTCCGCGTGTTCGATCCCGAGGGTCTGCCGGTGAAGAATGATACCGAACACAACCATCCCAAGGTGCAGGAGCTGCGGGAGCTCAGCAAGTGGAGCGATGGGCATGTGTGGGTGTCTCCCGAACAACATGGCAACCTTGTCAGTATTCCTATCTATCTATCAAGTCCTGGTCATAGCAGTCACTAATAAACAACCTGTCGTCAGACCGCCGTCTTCAAAAACCAGATCGACTGGATCCCACTCAGCACGGGCAGCGTGCGCCCCACGCAGGGTCGCACGTTGGCGATCGCGCAGGTATGCGGCGGATCGCAGTCGTTCAACGCCGTCAACTCCCTGCGCATCCTCGGCCGGTGGATGCGCATGTTCACCATCCCGAACCAGTCGTCAATTCCCAAAGCCTACACCCATTTCCCGGACGAGGGGCAGCCGGGTGATCAACGACTCCTGCCGAGTGGGAATCGGGACCGACTGGTGGATTGCATGGAGGAGTTTGTCAAATACACCATCCTCATGCGACCACATCTGGAGCTGTTTGGGGACCGGTACAGTGAGCGGGAGGAGAAGCGGGTGAAGGAGGAGAGGTGACGCGTTGAACGACATGTCTAGCCCTCAGCGGTGCGCTTTTGTATGTATACACTGATAGACTTTGTTGATCATAGTCTTTACTGCATTTACATAGACTACTTAGACCAGTACATATATTCACCCTCAACTGGCTATCGCTTTCATATGCTATGTATTCATTTAGCCCAGACAGAAGCGTCATATTCATCCATCAGATCCGTGTATTCTTGCCCCGACGCAGCCCAGCCCTTGATGCCCCCTTCTAGGACGAGACTCCTCAGCCGGGTCTCTCCCTGCTGTTCGATGTAGTCGGCGAACCAACTGGCGGCCCGCGTGCCGCGTCCTTTCGAGGAACCTAATTCCCAATCAGCGTCATGCTTTGCTGCTCGTAATTGCGGTGAGGTAAACAAACCACAATACCAGACCACCTCCTTCACGGGGCTCTGGCTGAGCAGAGAATAAACTGTTGGGATCGTCGGGTAAAGACTCTGAGCTGGAAGGTTGATGGATCCTCGGATCGTCCCTCCCTGCGGTAGGTGTCAGCGTTAGTTAGTCTCGGCCTTCATCTTCATATTTCTCTCTACCTCAAAGTCCGTCCGGCGTAGATCGACTAATACAAAATCGCGCCCGGCTTGTTTGCCGGCGCGGAACCATTGCAGTACTTCTTCGCGACAGATGCCGACCGCTGTGCTTCGCGGTGCGGGGTAGATTGCATGCCAGGGGATAGCAGGGGTGGTCATCGTGGCTCAGTGGTTCTTTGAGTCAATAGTATGACATAGTAAATAATGATGGTGACAGGAGAAAGTCAAGCGAGTTCTGCTCTTGGAATTGTGATAGTGGGAGACAATGGAGAAGCTAAGCATGGAGATACCTAAGGCATGAATGTTCGCATCAGGTAGAGTCTCCGGTAGCGCTGAGAGAGCGGCATGGCGATGCCGTATGTCACCCGCGGATTGTCATTGGCTAGACACAAGAGGGTTCTGGATGCTTCAACAATCAGATTCAATCAGTGCGGGTTTGTGCCAGCGGGCCCAGTGGGGCAAGCCTACAGCCCGACAAAATCCAGGCTCACAGTGCATTTCATCACCCAGCCAATCAGCGTCGACCAGTGACATTCACTTGCAGCACCCCGTATTGCCACAACATGGTTGTGCAGAAGTAGAAATTATCGGGTATCGAGGAGGGGGCATTCATGAAGCTTGGTTCTACACATTGTGTCTCTCGTCTACTACCTTCTACAGTCACTCTCCATTGCTGATAGCTGTTTCACCCCCCCTCGATTGTAAACAGCCTCACGAGCCACATTCTTGCTCCTATCCTACCGGCACTGGGTCGGTCTGTGCAACCACGGCGATGGCTGAACACCAGTTTCCAGTGAACACTGGTGAAGACTTAAGATCTTGCCAGCCCAGCGACATCGAGAAACAAGCAGATGCAACCACGCTAGACTCATCCCAGGTGAAAACATCCGCGTTCAAGAGCCTCGGCCTGCTGGACCGCTTTCTCGCGGTGTGGATCTTCCTGGCCATGGCCATCGGCATCATCCTGGGAAACTTCGTCCCCAGCACGGGGCCTGCGCTCCGGAAAGGGAAGTTTGTGGGCGTTTCGGTTCCGATCGGTAAGTCTTCTCCGTCATGAAGCATCAAGCTCCCTCTCGCCATACGAAGATCCTAATCGGGAATCGCTAGCGGTGGGCCTCCTGGTGATGATGTACCCGATTCTCTGCAAAGTACGCTTTGAGAGCTTGCACCGCGTCTTCAAGACCCGCGAGATCTGGATCCAGATCGCCTTCAGTCTGATCATCAACTGGATTATTGCTCCGTTCTTCATGGTACTCTCCCCCTTCCCTACCCAAACCCACAGCTTTGCCATTGTACCGCTAACAAATGTTGTAATGTAGTTGGCCCTATCCTGGGCATTCCTCCCAGACGAACCCGAGCTACGCCAGGGACTCATCCTAGTCGGACTGGCCCGATGTATTGCCATGGTAAGCGGCCCCCTCTCCCGGAAGGCACAACACGTGATACCCAACTCGTATCATGCCAAACCCTAACAAGCCCCAGGTCTTGATCTGGACAGGCCTCGCCGGCGGCGACAGCGAATACTGCGCGATCCTCGTGGCGGTCAACTCCCTCCTGCAAATGGTGCTCTTCGCGCCGATGGGCGTCTTCTTCATCCGGGTCATTAGCGGCGACCACAATATCGACTTCCAATACGCCACCGCCGCGCAATCCGTCGCCGTCTTCCTAGGGATCCCGCTGGGCGCGGCGGTGGTGACGCGGTTCGCGCTGCGCTGGGCCACCAGCCCCCGGTGGTACGACGAGGTGTTCCTGAAGTGGGCGAGCCCGTGGTCGCTCATCGGGCTTCTGTTCACGATTCTCGTGCTGTTCGCCTCGCAGGGCCGGCACGTGGTGCATCAGATCGTGTCCGTGGTGCGGGTCGCGGCGCCGCTGATAGTCTACTTCGCGGTGATCTTCTTCGTGACGCTGCTCGTGGCCTACCGGCTGGGGTTCGGGTACCGGCTGGCGGCGACGCAGAGCTTCACCGCCGCCAGCAATAACTTTGAGCTGGCGATCGCGGTGGCGGTCGCGACCTTCGGGGCCGATAGTAACCAGGCGCTGGCGGCGACGGTCGGGCCGCTGGTCGAGGTGCCTGTGCTGTTGGGGCTCGTGTATGCTGTGAAGCTGGTGGCGAGGAGAGTAGGGTGGAAGGATTAGTGTGTTATCTGGTTTGCCTCCCATCCAAGCTACGATGCGGTGGAGATACTGGAAGATGTGGAAGATGGTTCCTAGACCGCGTTATACATACAGTAATGTAGATAATATAAATCTTGGTAATGCTCTCAGTATCGCACAGCTCCTGCGATACAGCTCTAGCACATAACGAAGCATAGAGAATCTGGTGTCTGCAATCCGATCTCGAAAGTGAATAAATCCCGACTTGCCACAATAAAGGTTCCATGTGTACCTATGGAAAGGACACATACCCCAAACTCCCATCCAAAACAAAGATCTCCATGCCAGCAACAAACACAAGACCGGAACCAGCCAGTCCAGAAGCAAAAGCACGAACCACACATCCCAGTAAAGCACCTAGTCCAACATGACGACCCCATCAAACAACCCATCATGCCCCATCCTCCTGACCACCCGCAACATCCTCCCGGGATGCACCGCCGCAAACGCAAACACAGCAACAGCCAACAACGACGCGTCAAAGACATACAAAAACGCCTCCTTCTTACTCAACACACTGTCGGTGCCCGCCAAAAACTCCACCAGCCGATAGACGCTCCGCACCGTAATCAACCCCGTGACCGCATGCAACGTCCACATCGTGCGCGACCACGGCACCGCAGGGTCGCGCGCCGCGGCCGACGGCGGCCTCGTACGAAGCCGGCGATGCACCGCGCCGGCCTCGACGAGGAACCACCCCAGAGCGACGAGCTGCACCCCCAGGCCCCCGATCACCACGCGCTGGCCGGTCCGCACCCCGTCGGCGTCGCCGCTGGCTTGCATCGCCGACCCCATCATCTGGCACACGAAGCTGCCGATATCGATCAGCACGTAGATCTTGGTCATCCACGTCGAGCGGATGACCGTCGCCGACTCGGCGTGCAGGGCCCGCACCACCCGCCCCAGCGTCATGTAGACGCTGGCCGAGAGCAGCGGCGCCGACCCCAGGATCAGCATCAGCTGCAGCAGGTAGGGGCTGCCGTTGCGGATGTGGTTGTGCGACCACGCGCGGCCGTAGTAGCCGAAGGCTTCGCCTGTGGTTTTGGTGGATGTTAGCCGGTGCGTTGCCAGACTTGGCTGTGTTGAAGGAGTTCAACTCACCGATACACCCCAGCAGGAATGGGATGAAGAACCACGCGCGGAGACGGAAGATCAGGAAGAGGTGCACCGCGGCGCCGAGAGCGAAGATCACGACGAAGGCCCAGCCCGCGGCGGCGGAGGGGTTGTAGGCGTAGAGGTCGAAGGAGGCTTCCCCTCGGGGCGCGAGAGGCGCGGCGGACATTGTGCGTTCGGCGGCGTTGAAGTTGCGTTGGAATCGGTAGAGGCGAGATACGAGAGTGACCAAGATGTAAGGGATGTGTTTTCATCACTCAGAACGGAACTCGAAACCTATATAGCCTTGTCTTGACGGGGGTTGAATGTCAATCGCCAAGGAAGCTTGAGGGTACGAATACGGCGTCATTTCCTGATCGGGTAATATCTCGGGATGAGGCCGGAGAGCACCCGACGCTATTTTAAGCCCTGAAAAACATTGCGTCCATGGTGCTGTCAAGGCACCAGTCGCTGTCCTGATAAGATCATCTAATGTGTCAAGTAGTTCAAATTCTTTTGATGAATTGCAGTCTGCCTGTAAGCTCCACAGCAGCACTCTCTACTTGGTGAGTACTTTGCTCCGACGACCACTTTCAATGACCGATATAAGCTCCACTGATCAATGAAGGTGTGGGGAGCGATACTAATTACACAATGAGTATTGGCATCCTTTGAAGATTGAGTTGAGGGGGTAAAATATGCTTATTTGAAGTAGCTTAGCTGGTACATATATAGACACAGAGACAGCCCCGCGTCCGTTCCAGCCCGCGCGGCTGTTTACGAGTCGCGGCCTGTCACTCAAACCAACTCTACGTGATGGTCTTGAAGATTCCTCTTGTTTCAATTTCCGCGCTCACTGTATGGAACCAAAAGTAAAAGCTTGTAGATTACGAAGGCGCTTAGTCGTGCGTGAACTTCAATACCACCCACCAGAGTACCAGACAACCCTTAGGGCTCAATCTACCACTCGGTATCTCTACCGTGCATTTATTCGGCGTCTCAAACTTGAGGATGACGACAAAGTTGTAAAAATAGCACAGAGGATGATCTCACACCATCCACTCCGTTTCCACTAGACAGGATATTGAAATCACTGCCGATGAGAATTCTGTGACATTTGATACCTGACCACTCTAGAAAAAAAGAAACGTTGCGAGATTCTCGATCATGGTTGCAGGAGAAGCCTGCAGTGGGGAAGTCCGATAAAGTGGGTCACTTTGTCCGCGAGTACGAGAGAATTACCGCATGGGGACAACATACAAGAACAACTGCCGAAACTCTAAACCTATTTGTAGGCTGCCCTGTCTGATCAGACTCGCTGGTGGAGTACAAATCTAGATTCTGAATCAAATCATATACTTAAATGCCTATATATTGTGGGAGGCGTGCCCAGTTTTATTCACCCCATCTGCTCCCGTCATTCTTTGAAATCCACCCGAGTGCTCCTACCCCTTCATCTCTATCACAACGCCATACACCGCAGTGCATCCAGAACAAACAGCACCAGAGAAAAAGAAACAATGAAGGACAAAGAAGAAAGCATTCACCGATGCCCCCATCCCGACGCAAGACCCTCATCCGGTGTCACTACGCGAGCCATCATCCGCACCCTCCAACTCATCTTCGCGGTGCTCGTCGCCGCCCTCTACGCGGTCGACCTGGCCCATGCTACCGAAACGCGATCTCGCGCCTCCTCGGAATGGATCTTCGCTCAAACTGTCGCCTGCCTCTCCGCCGTGACCGCCGTTGTTCATTGCACGCTGGGGCGGAAGCGAGTGGTCGCGGCCTGGTCCGCTTGGGACTTTGTGCTCTTTGTTCTCTGGCTCGCGCAGACGGGGGTCTTCGGGACGATTTACATCTCTGATGATGTGGAGCTATTGTACCGGGAGAGGACGACTTCGCTGCTCCGGATGAAGGTCGCGGTCTGGATTGATCTCGTGAATATGGTGCTATGGTTGGGGACGACGGTCATGGGGCTGGTTTGGTGTGTTCGGGCGCGGAAGAGTTCTCGCTGTGCGAAGGGATGTGATTGTGCGGGGGCAGTCAGGGGTCCAGAGGTGGAGAATGTGATAGTTGGCAGTTCGACACGAAAGCAGCATGAGACGGAGGCGTTGGCGAACTATGCGGAGGCCGTCGAGCGGTTGGTGGCGGGCGAGGCGGACAGTCCTCCGCCGCCTTACTGTGAGAAAGAGAGGCTCGCCCAGGTTGAGAAAGGGTTGCGGTGAAATCAAACAGGTATAAGCACGATTACTGGACGACTAGCTAAGGGAATGACTCGATGACAGAATGTTATATGTTATGGCGAATGGGAGCAGCTGGATGATGCGTAATCAGGTATACAGGGCTCTTGGTTTTATCGTGTTTGTCCGATTCGTTTTTTTTTTCCAGCCGATAAACTTAACCTTGAACGCACAACGAATGGCTCACTGGGTTTGTATGGTTTATTGGTGGACACAAAGAGTTATGGTAGATGTACTTGAATGCCATAATAATGAAGGTATCTCTAGGCCCTGGCCATGCAGTCTTCTCCCCTTTCGTAAATACACCTTAACTCGTCTTTCTTCAATACAGGAAAGCCCTTGCGCCTATCCTTCCCCTCGTCCGTCCAATCCATGTCTACCGCATTGCCAAACAACAGCGGTAGAAAGTGCGAATACGCCCGCCCGGTCCAAGTCACCGGAACAAAGTGAGCTCCTCGGCGGATCCACCACAGCACCGCATGGGCAACCCAGTCGGGCGGCGCAAAAAATCTCGTTGTCGGGTGGTGGTATGCTGGAAGCACGATATGGCGATAGACAACTTGCGAGGAACGATAAAGGGAGCGAGCATAAGGCAGGAAGGATGGCTTGGCTGGAACAGAATCTTTTCGGGCATGGATGATTCCCCACGGCAGGGGCAGCTCCGACTCGCAACCAAGATACCAAATCTCCGGGAGCACCTTGCCTCTGCGTGTCGCTTTGAATCGCAGGAACTCTTGAACCAGCCGGATTGACGATGTGAAGGTTGACTCTGTGGCAGCTATGCTTTGCGTGTCGTGCGCGAGAATGAGAATGTCCGCCTCTTCCAGCATGGTGAGCAGGCGGGCGTTGTCTTGTTGCGAGCAGCCTAACTTTAAACTCAGCTTGTGGACGCATTTGACCCGTTCCCCTAGGAGGTGCTTTTCCATCGCCTGTCCGAACTCTCCGGAACCATCGACCATAACGACGGTCTTGCCGCGAAGAGAGTATGCCGTGCCCGCCACCCAGTCGAAGACCTTGATCGCCGATCCCATGTACTTGTCCGGGTAATGATGGTGCAGGGCATGATACTCGGGGCCCACGAAAGCCCAGCTCCGGTCTTTTGGAATTGTGTCGTAGGAGATGTGGTTGGAGTCCTTGCCATCATCAAGAATCACGGCTAGGGCTCGCCCCGTTTGGATGAGCAGGACAAGGAGCAGAGTCCTGCGATCGGAATGACTGCTCGGGGACAACCAGACCGCTCTCGCAAGCAACCACCCGATAATGCTCCCCAGCAGTTGGCAAAAGAGCTCGAGTGGAAGGGCGATCCGTGCATTTAAGCTGGTGTATTTGGGGTTGAACTGGAGCAAGCGTCCGTAGTAGAGGTGATGGTATTGGTGGTAGCGGGAGAGCTGGCGCAGGATCCTCCACTCTGACCGTGCCCAGCGATGGAGCAGACAGTGCATTCCATCGAAGAAAATAGTACCGGTGAGGTAGAGATAGCAGATAAAGAGAACGAATCCAAGAAATGACATGATAGCAACGCGAACACTGGGTCTGGAGATTCTGCCATTGTCGCATTTGCCTTGTTGTCGGTTTAATAGTCTTTGCATATGTGCCCCTGAAAATCTCGACAACGACCACTCTTTGTTCACTTCTGTCGGTGAATCGGTGCCTGGAAGTGGATACCTTCTGTGTCACGGCGCCTCCCAAGCATTTACTCACGCACAGTGTCGTGAACTACCGAGAGGTTTCCCAACTAGTACTAGATGCCCAGTATGAACTTCTTTGTGCCATTATTAGACTCAAACCTTGTCCAGTGTTGGCTGATTTCTGAATGGAGAAGTACGTTTTCTCTAGACGATGCATGCTGAAGCAAAGCCAAGCTCTGGCAAGAGTCAAATTTGCTTTGAGGATTCAGCAGAGTAGAGATTGTTCGACGTTGAAATTGTTGGCGCGATGTCAAGACCGAGACGAATCGGTCGCTGTACTGAGCTGCGTGGTCTTGGCCCGCTCCACACTCCTGCCAAAAATAATCAAATGGCACGTGCATACGGAGTACGTACGATCCTATACGAGTACGAGCTTAGGACCGAGATTATGTGTGCATGGAAGAATTCAAGATGCTCTAGCGAGTCCTTGTCTACGTCTTAGGCGAAGCCTTGTTGGCTGACTCGTGGACACAGGGCTGGCTAGTGAAGCCGTGCGGTGCGAGCTTAATCACAATTCGCTAGACGGGATTTGCCATCGGCAAAGCCAAGCCTGTGCTATAGACCACTGCGAAGCTACGCTAATTATGACAGCGCTGGAAACCTCACACATTCCCCAAGGCTCCCCAAGCTCCGTATTACATACATGCAAAAGCAGTCTCTGGTACATGTCTCGGCTTTAGGCAAATGTGCAAGCTTCTAGTGCGATTCGAGTACAGCAGGTGTCGGGGTTGCCGCTTAGGTAAGGTAGGAATCCTTCATCTCTCTCCGCTATGGATCAAAACCACTTGTCACTTTATAGCACTAAGATCTCTATGGGTGGATGATTGGCTAGGAAGAGACGAGCGGGCAATGCCAATGCACAGCACAGCCACTTCTTACCGCTTCCAGGCAGCATTTCCGCCAAGATGGGCAGGGCGATCCCCACCCTGGGCCCGTTCCTGCCGACGCAGAAGTCTCTCGACTTTATCTCCCAGCTGAAGTAGAACTAGCGGTTTCGCAATTCTTGGTGTCTCTTGCTGTCACCGTTGCCAAGGCTTTTTTGCAGTTCTATCGTGGCCGTGCTGCTGGAGAGGCCTTGCTTGTTTAGGAATGTATCTGGAGTGGCGGCCTCGGTTGCTTACTCCCTGGGGAGATGACTGGGGGCCCTTTCCTACTTGGGAATGTGTCAGGAGAGCTTTTAGGTCCAGCTAAAAGGGTCTGGAGACTCCTTGCTTGCTTCGAAAGGCAGTTAGAAAGGCCTTAAATTGAGACTTTGATTATAGTGTAGAGCTTAAACTAGTGTATACAACATTTACTACTCATTTGCATAATTTTGTAAGAGAGTTGATTTCCTACCTTGTGTGTCCAATGATAAAAGGGAAATCACATGACATGTTGATACTTGTACAGGAATGCGTTGGTGAATGCCTTGATAGAAAGCACAGGTAGGCAGCTCTGGCTGTGTGGTGGTAACCCGCTTCCATGTAATTCCAGACTCCAAGGCTTACCTAACAGGAGATTTCAGTTGCCCAACAAGGCATAATCTCACAGAAGATTGGCCAGCAGACCGGTTATTCTCACTGACCACCGCAATCAAAAGATACCAGATTATTAGTACTCTGCATTATCTTATCCTATCGCATCATAACATTGCCTCATATCCCACGTCATACATCGACATCATCATCTCACGCACTGCCCAAGATGTTCTTCTCGTAGATGCTGGTCAGCTTGCCCGTGTTCTGGTTCTCGACCTGGTATCATGTGGTTAGCAATTAGTTCTCGTTCTTCGTGTTTGTAAATGTCCTGCAGAACATACCTCATAGCGGGGGTTCTCCTCGCTGGCATCGACGTTGCGGTCTGCCTGCATTCCGGGCTCGGTCAAGACGGACTTAATCGTGCCGACGCTCTCCGAAGTGTTGGAGTTGGGGCCTGAGCGTAGGTATTAGCTGTGTATTGTTGCATGGTTTGTGCAGGACAATTCAGGAGGTCAAGGAAGAAGGAAAGGGGATTGTACCGCCGACGGGCTTGTAGCGGATAGCCTGGCCGTTGCTGTATTGAGGCATGTTGGGTTGTCTGGGATCGAATTGAGTAAGGAGTATATTGAATTGCCGGTATCAGTGTCTGAGACAATAAGCTTGGATTGGTATAGTGCTTTGAAGATGGAAATTGCCGAGCGTTTATATATGCTCAATCTGCGCGGTTGAATAATTCACATATATGTCAATGTAAGCTTGACGTCAATCTGGCGGGTCAAAGGAACGTAGCTATGATTCTAGAATGACCACTCGATTCGGTCAAGTGTGGTCATTGTTGACGCATGGTGACATTATCGGGGTGGTTCCGTGGTACTGGCACGCGGGGGCCCGATCGATCCGGCGATCGGGTGGGGTTCATCGATCGATGAACCCTACAGCTACACATGTACATAGAGTATGTACGTACCGCGCGGGGCATTTCTGCTGAGGTATAGTTTGATTGTTCGCTGCGGTTCTTGAGCTTAATTGTGAGAAGTGAAATGAAACCTTCCACGAATCCCATCAAAACACAGTGAGCAAGTTTCAATCCTGAAGCATTAGCCTGCGAGGAGGATGGGCAACGTAACCCTCCCTACCAACGAGGTGTGTCACCTCCGAATCGCAATTTGACTTCTAGCCCAAGATAGTCTCCAGCCCACACTCGATCATCACGTCGATCCAATGTACAACCAGACCCCGCTGAGACATGACTCGCGCCGCCCCGTGCCCGACCAACCCTACGGCCGCCTGGCGGTCTGCTCGAGCCCAGGATTCTTCCACGATTCTGGCTGCCTGTTGCACGGTCGCCAGGCCGACGTAGCAAGCTAGATTCCGAAGCCGATCGGCCACAAACGCTCGCCAATGTTGGATGTCCGCTTGTGCAGTACTACCCATAGTAGTCGGAGTAGCGTAAGACGGTGGCGTGATAGCTCCTCCTGCACCAGCTCCTGACGTTCTCCCTGAAGACAATAGGTCCACGCCATCATTGACCGGCAACGGCTGCAGGGTGCTCCCAGCAATGACGAGAGCCAGCATCTGAGTTGCCCGCGTGCTCGAGGTCTCGGGGATAGAGGCAATCAACGACAGAATGCCAACCGCCCGCGCATGCAATTGTCTTCGTCGGTGCTCGTGATTCACACCCTCCTCCAAGGCAGCCTCATGCGGAGACAGCCACGGCCCAGACGCAGGATCATCCTGCTGCTCCAACTCAGGGAACATTCTATAGAGTTCCAACAGGGCTGAAAGCTGGTACACTCTCGCCAGGGTGCGGAAATGGGCGGCGGGCGCAAGTGCGTCACCGGTTCCCCGCACAGCTTCAGGAGGTGGAACCCGGTACTGCGATACCAATACTTTGAGTCGCCCGGCATGTGAGCGCAGATCATTACGCTGCGCCTGAAGTTGGAACGCAGCCGAGCCTCCTCCGCGTGCTGCCATATAGGTTGACCGATCCCTGCGGAGATAATGAAATCGTCTGGCGATCGCACCGATTTCGGAGAGGTAAATAAACAGCTCCGGCGAGATTCCGCTCCAAGGATGGGGATCTTTAAGCATCCCTCGAGTTGCACCTTGATGGCTCACACGCGGCCGAGAGGCGAGTAGGTACTCGGCCCCCTCGAGGTCTTCTTGGTCCACGACGAACGATGTCAGGGCTTCCCAATAGGCCAACGCGCCGACGAAGAAGTGCTGCGGAGCAGCCGCACCGCTAGCATGCGCGGGGAGTGGATGGGCTGGGATCGAAGAGTCGTGGAGGACGCCAAGCCCTCGTGCGCTGACCCCGAGGCATAGGCCTGAGTGTGAGTATAATGCTCGGAAGATCGCCCGTGCCGCCTGCAGGTGTTGGATTCCAAGCGACGAGGAATCATGCCAAGACTAGGAGTTGAACCGACGTTAGCTGGCGTTCCCATGCAAGGTCTTACACATGAAGCAAGAGCGGAACGAATATTTAACAATCACGAACCGAAGGAGAAGAGATCATGACAGAAACGAAGATGGAGAAGGGAAGAGACAGAAAATTCCAACATACCGCCGTCATGCCGAATATGGTAATACCAAAGAGCAATGCAGTCATGGATTCACTCCTTCTTGCGACTGACTTCCTCTCAGTATCCGGTACAGTTGACTCGAGCAGCGCACCATCTAAGCTCGCTACCGAGGTCGCGAGGCTCGAGAGTGCACGCGTGTGATGGCCCAATGCCAGTGTACTGGTTCCGTGCCCCTGCTGTGAAATATGGGCGGCCGATATTGACAGGACGCAGGAATGGACCACTTCATTTTGTGTTGAGAGCTTGGAAGCCCACTCGCGCAAAGGGTTTGTAGGCGAGTCAAACCCGGAGAGGATACGACATGTGTGATAAAGATAATATGCCCGTAATATCGTGCAGGTGTCTGCTAGAGGGCAGGGATCAGGCAAATCGATTTCATTATCTCCTCGCGCATCCCCATTGCCACAGCAGATATGACGTGGGGTGAAATCTAAGCTCTGGCCTGGCAAGGAGTTATCCAAGACACACGTGTAGTCATCTCCGTCGAATTGGTTGTGGGCATCGTGGCCGCCAGGAACCTGGCTGTTCGGCCGTTCCCGCAGTCCCTCAGAGATATCAAGGTATAGCTGGCCCGCAGATGAATAGTCGCACTCCCCATGAACATGACGAGCAGAGGGGCTTTCACTAGATGAGGTTTGGTTCAGCACGGGCGGAGGATGGCTTTGCAGAGCGGTACGCAGTTTCTCTGCAGGCTCCAGAAACCAGCTCATAGAGGGTCCAGTTCCGGGGCCATTTGCCGACGGATGCACGCTCAGCGCATAGGAATTCGACTCGCGTAATTCATACTTCGCCAACCATTTGACGGCCTTCTGGTATCCCGGGCAATCATATCCCCTGCTGGAGCACGCCAGACAAGAAGGCCTTCCCTCGTCGCATTTGATTCGCTTCCAGACATTAGTAGGTGTTTGACTTGAGGTAGAAATTTGAATCATAGGTATTGATTGGTTGTTGAAAAACGCAAAGAGGGTCAGGGGGTGGGACATCATGGATAAGCCTACACGTTGCTTGCACCGTGCACATCCAGCTGCCATAGCCATTTGTCAGCAATCTTTTTCCATAACCCGCAGACCAGCAATTCAGAGGAGATGATAATTTACCACGGGATTTGACTGTCCGGCGCGCACGCTGCAAATCTCGACGGATCATGTGTGTGAGGGCTAAGGGGGCTCATAGGGTTGGTCAAGCAGCGAGAACAGGTGGATAGGTAGAGACAATCAAGGGAGCCAGTCGGCAGGCTAATGCTCATAAGGGCTCCGCTGTACACCGGGTCTTATTCTTATGAAAAAGACCCTTGTTGCCCTTGTGGGGAATTGCTTATTAATTGGGTTATCCACGACTTGCATGCCGGCCGTGGTTCGGCAGAAGACACCACCGAACTAACCCTTGTGGCCAACCTCATTGCTAGCAAAGTGCTAGGGCGCACTTGGCTATTGGGATATAACTGCGCGTGCAATTGACATACGTCGCATTTTTCATACCCGTATGCACGTGGAGATCCCGTTGCAGGGCGTGCAGTATACGTACATATACTCATGGTAGAACTACTCATAGCCCTACCTCACACCTCACACATCACATTCAATGGGAGTTTGTGGAGACTTGCCGGTCGACCAATCGCACTTTTTGACCCAAAACGGTTAAGCGCTGGGATTTGTAATCGCCCCTCGACGAAGTGTGAAGTATACTAGGCGAGTATGTGTAGATGGCATCATTGCAATGCTTACCAATACAGGACAATCTCAAAGTGTATAAAAGGCCCTACATCTAGCTGTGACTACTAATATCATTCAGAGCAGATCTTCTCATCTTCCACTCGACTCGTCACGCAGAGACCAATAGACCTGAATAGAAATGGCATCCTCGTTGAGAAACGTCGTTATAGTCGGGGTAAGCACATCGTCTCAGAGAACCACCGTATCTAAATGGAAACTAACCAGAGAAACTCGTCGCATGATTCCAGGCCGGAGGCAACTTGGGGCCCCATGTTCTCAAGGCATTTCTCTCCGCTGACGAATTCCGCGTCACCGTGCTTTCCCGGGACTCTTCAACGAGCGTGTTCCCAGAGGGGGTGCCCGTGATTCGGTCCGACTACAGCCACGAATCCTTGGTTTCCGCCTTCCGGGACCAGGATGCAGTCATCAGCGTCGTTGGGCGAGGCGGTTACGCTGCCCAGCAGAAACTGGTCGACGCGGCCCTCGCAGCCGGGGTCAAACGATTCATTCCCGCCGAGTTTGGGAACAACTCGGCCGATGAGCGAGTCCGGGCTCTGGCGCCTATGTTGGAGGGCAAGAAAGCCAAGGTCGACTACCTGAGAGCGAGGGAAGATCAGATGAGTTGGACGACGGTCATCACCGGCGCCTTCTTTGACTATGTGAGTTGTCTTTCTCGTGTCTACTATTCTCCCCTCCCCCTGTCTCCTACGTTGATTGTTCCCGGATGAGGTTCATCTACCCCTCTATCCTAAGGACCTTTGGAAACATTCTTCGTTACCATCTGCAATTCTCTTTCCACTCTCGCGACAGATCTCTAATATCGGTTCTCTCGGAAATAGGCCCTCAAGATCGGATTTCTGGGCTTCAACCTGCAGACCCACGAAGCCACCATCTACGACGACGGCGTCATCCCGGCCTCCGTCAGCACCTTCTCGCAGATTGGCCGGGCCCTGGTTGCCATCCTCCGACATGCCGAGCTGACCAAGAACCAATACGTCTACGTCGAGTCCTTCACGGTGACGCAGAACGAGGTCCTCGCGGCGCTCGAGCGGGCGACAGGGGGCGAGAAATGGGCTGTCCAGCGCGTGGACCTGAAGCCCTTGATCGAAGAGAGCACGGAGCGCTTCAATCAGGGGGATCTGGCCGGCGCGCGGATCCTGAACCTGGCGGCCGGACTGGGAAGGTTCCCCGATGGGCCCTACGGCGATTGGAGCCGCGTGCCCGGGGGTTCTTGGAATGCCCGGTTGGGGCTGGAGGTGGAAGAGTTGGATCAGGTGGTTCAGTCGGTGGTTCAGTCGGTGGTTCAGTGATGGCGACGCTTTGTGCGTGAATGAGGTCCGGGGCGCAGCCATTTGTATATATCTGCCTCTTTTAGTGGGTTCGAGGGTGGATTAGAGAGGGGTTAGAGTGAGAATTGACTAAAGGTACAGTAATTTGGTTGTTGCGTGGACAGGCGGGGTAACATAGAAGTACGAATTGCAAGATAGAGAGGGATTCAGAAATGTGAGGAAAGAGATTACAAGATCAGATTATGCATTGATAATACAAGTTTGGAAAGTTCGGGTCAAGCCATCAGCTGCTCAGACACGAGGAGAGTGGGCGAGCGGGACGAGTGAGAGCCGCTCATTCAGAATCAGACTCTATTCCGACGCAGCAATCCTTACTCGGATGGTGCTCGCATGCGATGGGGCAATCCTGGATCCGGCGACGCAGGGTCTTCATGAGCTGCTCGACCTCCTCGTGGTCATGCCAGAGGCAGCGGTACCCATGGTCTATGTCCCCGCCGTACCAGGGAAACAGGGTCAACTCGTCCGGGTCGCAGTCGGAACACTCCGGTCTCCACTGGAAGATCGACATCCGGTGGCCCTTGGCCAGGACAAACGCGCCGCCTGCCTCCCGGATCTCCCACCGACTCTGGCGCGGCACCCAACAATCCGCTAGGGCGCGCGCCTCGTCCAGCGTGGGCGGCTCCGTCCCGCCCACGCAGAAGACTTGGAGAAAGGGCACGGCCGGGGTGTGGCGGTCGGGCGCGTCCTTCGATCTGGCGCGGGTGAGGATGACGGCCAGCGGGCCCTCGTGCCGCGACTCCCAGTCGGTACTGCGAAGTTGGCAGATGTCGACCTCGAGGCGCTGGGGCTCCTGGTCAGGTTTAGGGTCCTTGACTGAGGGCGAAACGCTGAGAGCGTCGAGGACAATGGCTGTCCAGATCTTAGCTGTGGCCTCGGCTTGGGGAATGCGATCTGCATCTCGCGGTGGGCGCTCCATGCTCTTTTCAATCATGGCCCTGATTTTCTCGTTATCCCAGTAGTCCGGCCTGCTTTGCAGGTGCCTGACTCGAACGGAATCGAGCGGCGGACCCGGGAGCATCTTGAAGAAGGTTTGTCCCGACGACATGGTGGCTTTTTCCTCAGAGGAGCAACAGCTTGTGGTGATTGGTGCCCTGCGTCCTGATTTGATAGTGTCAAGGTGGTCGTGGTGGCGGTGGGGTGTCGAAATCGAGGGCGCGTGATTGTATATATAGCTAGTGTAGGAGCAGCGATAGCGCTCGCACTTCAAGTCCCAAATGCAGTTGAAGGAGACATTGATGGGAATTTCCAACTGATTACACTGTTATGATTGCAGCTAAGTGGATTGAAGAATAAGGGAAAGGAATGGTTTATTAAAGACATAGCAACAATCACCTGCAATCCTTTGCCCCTAGCACTCATTGTGCTGTGCGATGCAAGAAAAGAGGATCTTTCTACACAAATATAGAACAAAGCATTGTATCCGCTACCTGCGTCTGGCTAAAGAAGCTCAAAGCAAGGTGAACAAAAAGTTCCGAAGACTGACACAGCTAAATGGCAGGACCTCACTGGTGGCCAGCAGCGCATCGAGACCTCCATCGAATTCTTCCTTTCATCTTCAACATGTGCGCCGATGGACCAGCAAGAATTTATCGAGTGCTGTCCGTGGGGCGGCTAGATGAACACTATCTGCTTCTGCTCTGTTCGGGGCATTAGGTGTCTTCATTCATTGTTCAATGGGCACTGCTTGCAATTATCCAACCACCTTCACACCGGATATTCGGAGAGCGAACCGAAACCCTTTCTGGTCTTCTGGTGATGGCTATTAGTTGCAGGAATGTACTCGCCCGCCACAAGTGTGACTATATGCGGCCAGTCCATTTCTCATCGGGTAAGAAGGTCTTCGTTCAAGTATCGACAAGAAGACCTTGTTATACCAACAATTCGTGTATACTGCCATCTCCGCGTGGAATCATGTCAACAACACGGAAAAATCCTATCGAAGTTCGACCCAAGGGCTGGCTTAGCAAAACAATCGCTGCTTCGTGCCAGATTTGACAATCTCCTTCCAACGATCGTGGGAGTGTCTGAGAATCATATGAGTGCTGTATACTGCTTCTCTGTTCATTAGAGAATGCCAGGCTATCTCCATTGGATCATTGCCTTATCTTAGTGTGAGCTATGCACAACTGGAGTTCTTTCTTGGATATTATTGATTCATCGATTGTTGAATTTGTCTTGTTTATTATTCTCGAATGGGATCCTTTACATCTCCAGTCTTCATAGCTTGTTCTACATCGGGAGTGGCCATACAAACCACTGCGTACTCGACTCCCATTTTTATTGGTATAAGGAACGAGTACCAATTGAAGGGTAAGTAAGATAAGCTTGATATGATAAGGTAATAATGTAGTAAAGGCTCAAGTCAGCTCTCCACCTATATGATATATACCTTCACTTGGCCTCTGGTTCTGTTTAAAATACTTTTTCACCGTCTTCGGGTATTCTGCTGCTCCGGCATCTGCCTCAGTCAATTTACTGTCGCCGAGGTCCCATGCTGTAGGCTGGGGCCGGCAACTTACCTCGAACCCGGTACTACAGATCGCATTCCGGGGCCTTTTTTGCCCCCACTCATTCCTGTATAACTAACTATACTTCTGTTATCTATTTGACATACAGGACACTAGTAGACTAGGTAATCTAGGTTAGTGTAAATTTATATATATATGTATATAAAACCACAGTGGTAGTGATCTAGGCTTGATCGTTTTTCGGCCTTGGTACTTATTGAAATTTATGATATCCTGTAGTGGGCTAGTATCCTTACTTCTTAAAGAAATCCAGCCCACTGCTAGATGAATAGCTGCTATACGGCCGCTCAAGGAGCCCGATCTGGAGTCACTTAGCACCACCGAGACGGAAAGAGTATGGAATGATGTCTATGCGCCCTGAAACCAAGGTCGTCGCAAATTCACGTTGAGTGGTGCTGAATCAATGAGGCCCCAGTTGCCGGTCGAGGATTGTGATCAGGGGCTGCTTCTAGACAGCATCATGAGAAAGGATTGGGCAATATGGAACCATTTGTAGAATTCTTGGTGGTTGGTTGATGAACTGGCAGCGCTAATGTGGGCACCTCGCCTTGTGGATCGCGTCGGATAACGTGGCCGGATTACTCCCGATACTGCTCAATAATGCGGTCTTTAGGAATCTATAGTTGACCCTTTTGTGTTGTTTGTGTCGATAACACAAAGTCAATCCAGAAAGTGAACATCATAACATATCATGTGACTAGACTCTTCTGGTATGAGGCCTCTTACTCTTGCATGCATCCGGATTACATGCAGAGTTGGTGGACCTGCTTCGGTGTGGATACATATTGCATCAGAATTATACTCTCCAAACACATGGCCTTTACCATGGTAGCAGAAAGTGGGGCTGGGCCTTCAATTTAGAGACCACATAACCCCAGGGCAGGTATAGAAGCAAGGCATTCTAGTCAAGGCATTTTAATCATTGAGAACGCCCTAACAGGGCAAACGAAGAAGAGATAAAAATGAACCCAATCCTCTCACCGGGCCACACCCCAAAAGCTTGGTTTTTCCCAACACCCCGAGTTATCAACTCCGGTTCGCATCCTCGAACATCCCGAAATGATCGGCATATCCTACCATTGTTCTCGACCGATAGGTAGCGGATCAATTGAGTAAAGCAAACATGAAAACCGGTTCCCTTATCTTCCACCGCACGTTGCGGTGCCTCGCGCTTTGACTCACCGACCGAGACGAAGAGCCTGGATAATCGGGATGTGGAGCCCACTAAGCTAGTCGGAGAATCCAAGTTCGCCACGCGAAAATTCCCGAAGAGTCGGACGCTAAGGAAAAAATCCCGTCCGACTCCTGCGCACGGTCCCTGTTCCGAAAAAAGAAACAATTGGCATTAGCAATTGTATGCTTGGATTGGCTAACGGCCCTGACGATGCCGCCGTTCCCGCTGGGAACCGATCGACCCGGTCCCCCCTGTCCCCTATGCTACGCTCAAGTGTGAGAAGCATATGACCAGGTGAGTTTTTTTCTTCTTTCGCGCTGCTTAGTGTTTGGTAGGGCCAGGGGTACCAGGGGATCGGCATCAGGGATTGGGAGTGAACACCCCCAGATAATACCATCTCTTGTAACAGCGACCATTTCCGAGATAAGAAAATTGGTAGGTGAGATCGGTTTTCATCCAGACGAATGATCTACACTACGAATTGGCAAAACGATCGTTTTCCACAAAATATTCCCTAGGCAGAAAACTGTGGTTATCTCGCAAGTCAAGAAGAATAACAATGTTTCGAGATGGAAGTAATGTTCGTTGAATTTCTGTGGAGGTTAAGTGAAATGAATATGTAATTCTAAAGCGTTCATATATACATGCCCGCCGACAAGATTAAGTATTAACAGGTATTAAAAAAGTTTTCACAGGTGAAAAAGAAACTCCCCGCCCCGCTCACAACCTTCTAGACTCCTCCGAAAATGCCGTTATATGTCGTATCAGAGCGGATATGCTCAGTGGTTTTCATGGTTGATTATTTATGATGGTGGTTTTGTTGGTTTCGTGATGTGGTGGTAATGTGTTTCACAATGACGGATGAAGACTCAAGCGAAGTGGAACTTCTTGTACCTGTTTTCAAGTCATTAGCATTTTGTAGATGCAGATGGTAAGATGAAGGAAGGAACTCACTTTTGAGAAAGCTTCTGTCTCCAGCTGGAGGATGAAGAGGTGGTGGAAGTGGTGGCCATAGTGGCAGCGGAGGAGCTGCGCGAGCCCAATTGGCCGCGGGAGACATCAGTGGACTCGAGCTCCTTGGCGAGGGCGTCCTCTGCGACGTTGCGAGGAGCAGCGCGACGAGTGTAGAGGCCGTAGCTCTCGGGGCCGATCATGGGGAAGGGGATAGTCATTTTGAAAGGTTGTGTGTGGCGGAAACTAACCCGGATGGGCTTTGGTGTTTGTTGTATGGTTTGGAAGAGGAGGAGGTATTAGAATTAGAATGCTTTGTTGGATGATGAGAGAAAAGAAAGTCGAGGAGGACCAGCTCGACAAAGCGTTTATATAACTTTTTCCTTACCCCTTAGGATAATCTCCTGATAGAACTACACAGTATCTATGCTATGGTGTAGTGAATCATACACCCGATCAAAATTTTCTTCTTACGCGGCACAATCGATCCGAGAGGCGAGATGGCCGGAAAGGGACCTAGACCGTTGGGATCGAAGCTGTCAGGGCCAGTCTATGCTTCCTTGAGTATAGTGGGGCATCTAGAACCGCAGCGAACCTTAACAATTTCTCCGCCAAACTTGCCACTCTTATCAGAAGGAAACCCGCCCGTCCCCCTGTGCGAAAACCGCGCATAGAAAGAAATTCTCCCGCGCAAGGAAAAAAACTCTTCGGCTCACCCGACCACCACCGTCCAGCTGGGCTGGGCTGGAACGCCGTGCTAGCCGACTCTGAGTATCCTCTACCTAATGATAATTGCCCTTGAGTCGTTCTGATATGGTAATTGTATGCTGATATCGGCACGGTCGCGTCCTCCCGGTCGCCAATGCTGCCCAACACAGACAAACGACATAGACTACCTACCCGTTGCGTGCGACCGCGCAATCATGCTAGATTTTTCTACGACGGCTGCCACCCAACCCGCTGAAATGCAGCTCCCCAACCTGTCTGCAACCGGCAGACCTTCTGAATTCTGCAATTAAGGTTCCGAAAGCGTGCTGATTGTGTGGCCAGGAAGCTCTGATCCTTGGGCCAGAGCGGGCCGAGGCCGATGCCGTGGATCACACCACGATAAGATAAGGAGTCAGTCAGGTGTTTGAGTTGCGTGAGCCCTGGGTGTGCCCTTGCAGAATCAGTTGATATGACAGAGTCATGATGTGAGGGATGCTGTTGGTCTCATGTCATACCCCTGGTGAACCTTGGTTTGAGATGGATTCTTAAAATAGCAGATGCTCTTTCATGCTGATACTCAGGGTGTATACGTATACGTATAACGTATGCTTCCTGGTGTTGTTGTCAAGCGGAAGGTCTTGCTTGGGAAGGGAAACTGTGGCTGTCCAGTTGGTGTGGCGGGTGTCCGGATTCGGCATCGGTGGTGATGCGAAGTGAACAAAACCGGCTTTTCCCGACCGAGTAACGCGCAACACCCCGATTTCCTTGACTCTTGATATGCATTCTAGTTACTGGCAGCACTTACGAGTAACATCACTCAGGTTCCACTGCCACATATTCATCAACGATTACGCGACATCAACACAGAGGATGTGACGTTGCAAAGTAAAGGAGAAAAAAAACCTTGACAATCATCCTTTGGTTCAGTTTGAGTTTGTGTAAGGCAGCGGTGGAGCCCTGGATTTCCCTTCCCAACATGTCAATGACGTTAGCCCAACATTCTCGCAAACGTCAATCGACCAGAAAGAAAACCTAGATTTCCGGACAATATGTTATATCACCACCGCAGAATCCGTTCTTGCTTTCGGGTGGGACTCTGACGGAGACTCTTCATCTCATGTCTACCAACCTCTTAGCCCCGTGTAGACTCAATACACGACAACCACTAACTTCCCCCAGATTCCGGAACTTTCGAGTCCAGAGTGAGCGATCACGAACACCAGCCAAGCCGAACAACCACCACCCATCCAGGCTGCATCCACCACCTAGCAGGGTCCGAGATCCTCTTCGACCTGCGCATCCTCCATCGACAGACTCGTATCATCCGCACGCTCGACCCCTACCTCGTGCCAGGTCCCCTCCGTCACCGCCCACGGCCCAGCCGGCACCCGCTCATCCCAGACTCCCCCGGGCGGCCTCCACAGCAACAACATCCCCATTGACCGATACTCAAACATCAGCCTCTCCCACTCCGCACTGGGATTCTCGGTGGCAATCTACCGCCAACGCCATCACCCTCCGATACCCGCACTCCTCGTACAGCCACCTTCCCATCGCCCCGGACTCGATGAAACACTCATACCCCCACGCGTCAATCCGCTCATGGCCCCACTGCATCAGCATCCGTCCCACTCCCTGACGACGGTAGTCCGGGTGCACGCCCATTCGATTGACCCCTATACAGATACCCAAGTAGCCAGTCAGCAAACACCCCACCTCTAGTACAGTTCACCCAAGAACCAGCAAGGAAACACGAACCCGCATGCGCCCGTCGAAGCCAAGTCCGCCGCGGCAACAGACACTGCGTCAATACGTGGGATGCGAACTCTGCAACCTCCGATCCCTCGGGGTACCAGGTGCACGGGACGCGGACCACGCCCTCGGGGAACGGGTTGGTGTGGTGGAAGGTCCATTCGCAGCCCCCGGCGACGCAGCCGGTGGTCGGGTCGAGGGCGTAGATGTAGTGCGAGGCTGGGTTGCGTTTGTGGGCTGCCCAGTGGAGGTCGGTGTCGCGGGCGATGTCGTGCGCGCGGTCGGCGGCAGTCGGGCCGGTGATGGCGTGGCAGAGGGTGAAGATTGGTCTGTATGACAGGGTGTTCTGTCAGCCTAAGGGATTGGGGATAGGATGTGTGTTCTGGATGAGACTCATGAGGCGAGGATGGGTAGGTGGTAAATGGGGCGGGGGCTTGGAGTGACTCACTCGTAGGGATGGAAGTTTGCAGTCCAGAGAACGTCATTTAGACGCGCGAAGTCGGTTTTGGTGCGGACTTCGCGGATTTCAAAGGGGAGAGACGGAAATTGTGCTGTTGACTCTGTCATCTTGTGGCAGAAATCTTGAAAGAGATGTGGTGATATCTGGAAAGAGGTAGAGCCGGAGGATAGAGCTGGACGGTAAGAGGGATCTAGTATTTATGTTTATGTCCGAGTATTGACGCCTTCATTCACTATGACACAGGCCGAGCAAGAGTCTTGGTTTCACAAACCCCTCTCACCCCTTCTTTGTTCCACGGTTCCCGCCATAACTTCAACCTCGGCCAAGGGTCCCATATAATGCTGCCTCCCCCATCCCAGATAATACCCCACTGCCAGGATCAACACCCCGGCAAAGATCGCTACGCTGTAGTTCATGTGCGATGGAGTCGGATGGCTGCTCGCGGGCCAGAATCCGAGGATGACTACGATGCCCGAGAAGACCAGCGCGAAGATGTTGTTCGCTATGCCTAGCCACCCCCTCACCCGGAAAGGACCCCAGACGAAGCCTTTGTTATCCCCGTCACCCTGCTGCGGTTCAGAAATGTGTCCTTTGACGCGGCGATACAGGAGCAGGGATAGGGGGATGACGTAGGAGAAGAAGAATGCCTCCATCAGCAGCGAAAGAACGATGTTCAGCACTACCGACGAGCCGATGTTGATGAAGCCGATGAGGCCGGCTGCGATGGCGATCACGCAGATGCTGTGGAAAGGAACCGATGTTCGCTTATTGAGCTGTAGAGGTCGGATTAGTGGGAGGGTCAGGCAGGTAAGCAGACTGCAGCGTACCTGAAGAATCCACCGCCAGCCTGGAAGGGCCTGTTCTCTCGAGAAGGCCCACAGCATGCGACTCCCGGAGGAAATCCCGCCGAGTCCGCAGCAGGCCTGCATGATCGCGATCATGCTCGAGAACACAATGGCAGCCCCCGTGCTCTGGGTGGCACTTTCGAGGATCTGCATGAAGGGATATGGAGCGTCCGATTTGAGAACGGCGGACAGATCTCCCGCCGTGAACAGGAAGGCGATCAGCATCGCGAAGCCAAGGACTACGTTAATGGCAACGGCAAACAGCATCGAGTGTGGAACTACCATGGTACTATTCGCGATCTCCTCCACCATCTGCGGGTATCAGTAAAGGAATCGAACGAGCCATCTGTAAAGACTTACATGTACCACGCCATCTGTGCCTGGTTTACGTTAGCTCTCATAACTAGTTACCACGCTGAAGGGACGGGCCGCCGGACATACCTAAAAAAGCGCCAACGATTCCCTTTAAGCCCACAAATGTGGCCAATGTGATATCACGCCAACCGCCGACATTGAAGGTCTGGACAAATACTGACCTGGCGTCAGCCTTGGGACCTAGATAGACAATCGGTATGAGAACCGCGAAAAAGCCAAGCACGTGGGCGATGCCTATGAACACCTCCAGCACGGGCAGAATCATCCCTAGCCAGGTGTTCAGGATCGCGCAGATTAGTAGAATCCCCCCCAAAATCAACGTTACATGCCAGCCTTGAGGTTCGTATTCTGGACGTTTCATCGCAACCGCATTCTGCAGGATGCTCCCGGCTACATACACCGCCCCTGTTGGAACAGCTGTCCAAGCGATAATGCAGATTGAGCCATCGCCTTGAATTAGAATTGAAAGTGATTTTATGTTGTTGAAAAGATGCATTGACATACCGGTGACATGGCTGATGAATCGCTTCGATGACTCGGGTGCTAGGATACTCGCCCAGTGGTATTGCCCACCGGCCTGCGGATATTATGTCAGAGAGTGACCACGAGCAGCAGCCGTCAAAACCTACCGAAGGGATCATGCTCGCCAGCTCCCCCAATGCAGTAAATATGCTGATGAAACCGGTCCAGACTGCGATATAGCCATAGACCAGACCGGCTGGCCCTCCACTAGGAACGAGATTAACACCAACACAGAGCCTTTCATGTCAGCACGGCATCGGGGAACCATACTTTGGCAGGCCTACGCCGAAGTTACTATTTTCATGTCAATTTAGGTCGACTGAGCAATGTGTGGCAACGAACATAAGAAAAGCCTCCCATGTGAGCATCAGGCTGCAGGCAAATCCCACCGTGCTGGCCAGTCCGAATCTGCGCTGTCAAATGGGTCAGCTGACAAGTAGATGAAGGCATATGTCCAACTGTAGGACTTACCTTGAGGACCTCCCTCTTTCCCACCTGGGCCAACTCGAAGGCATCCCGCGTACAGAGGACCACATTGCCCCGATAGAGAACAGAAGGTCCCTCTGCCACTATTGAGGTCAGTTCGACCACACTTTCAGCTGGGAGCGCTCGCGCATCTTGTCGGAGGAGGTTGGTTCTGGTATTGGAGGGTGAGCAGGATGGGCATGCAAGAACAGACCCCATTCGAATTCTGGAAAAGGAACGGAAAGAACATAACGGAAAAACGGAAAACCACCGAAGAGATTCCAACGGTTGACAGAGGGAAGGGATGGCTGGCCTGGGCCCCTGATTCAACATCGGGCTGTCCGATCGGCAAAGTAGGACAAGGTGCGGGGCTTACGGTTTAACCAAGATGCCTGTCGCCTGGGGAGACCTTTGTGCCACCACCCATGGCCGATTTGTCATTCGACCTCTGGCGAGGAAAGCCAGAGCCAGACCCGGGATCAGAATGTGTAGGACAAAGTCAATTTCTGCTGACCGAGCGTCGCCCTGGACCGAGGTCGAGATGAGGCTGCCCCGGGGTCTGCGATTAGCATCAGGATATGTAGGTCCTGTTCTCTTTCAGGCCAGGGGAGTACCTAGCTCCAGTCACAGGGAGGCAGCAGCATTGAGATTGTAATATTGCGATGTTGCAGTGGGATGGCCTCATTGAGGAAATGGGGGGAGGGGGCTACCGTTTGCTGGTTCTGTTAGGGTTGGGTGTTGTCTTCTCACGCCCTCGCCATGATCACCAAACCATCATTCCCACACAGTACTACCTTACTCAGCAGATGTGACCGAGTCGACATTTCTGCCTACCTCGCGGTCTTAAGTTGGCTTTTAAATGTATCCAGCACGCCCATAGCTTTACTCCGAATACGATAAACTTCCGAAATCCTTCGGATAGACAGAACCCCACTGTTGGCGTCCAAGTGTGTGTTAATCTTTCTTGCCGTGCAAGATGGAGGATCACGGCGCCGTCGTTAAGATTGTTTCATGATTCTTGCTGATTGTGTCATCCGGGGCGGTGGCGGCCTGCCTTCTGACGAGCTGGCATCTCCTCGGAAGGAAGATCTTGGTTCTGACCCTTCTATTGAGCACACTGGTCAGTAAGAAACCCCTAACATTCCCGGTGTGCTGGCTCCAATCATAGAAATCTCACACCTCCGGACAGCTCTCATCCGCCATCGCCGGGGCCACTGTCTCTCTCGCCGCCACCCGTGGCCTGAGCCGACCGGGGATCGACGATGACACCCTCGAAGACCAGCTCGCGGGCCTCCAGACAGCCATCTACCTGACGGAGATCTTCCATGTCCTGACCCTCGGGCTGGGAAAGCTCTCCTTCGTCGCTCTTTTTTACATGGTTCTGTCCGGAAGCGCGCCGACGACTTTCACCCGCGCCATCGTCGCCGTCGGGACGTTTCTCATCCTCTGGACCTTCACCATGGTCCTCGCGGTCGCCTTCCAGTGCCGTCCGCCTGAGGTTTGGAACCTGATGTCTGGGGCATGCTTGGACGCGGTATGAGTCTATTCGCGCATGCCGAGCTTTCTACACGCGCTTACCATGTTTCTTGATACAGACAGCTCTATGGACCTACTACGGCGCCGTGAACATCATCATCGAGACCATATTATTTGCTATCCCGAGCATCCTCATCTACCGACTTCGCATGCGTCTGCGCAAACGGCTGGTGGTGATCGGATGCTTGAGCGTTCGGACTTTGTACGTCTCCCCTCTTCTCCTCTATCCCTGCCCTCCCGCGTATGATAGACCGTATGTCACGAGTGCCTACCCGTCCTAACCAGTTTGCTAAAAACAAATAGAGACATCCTCGTCTCCGCCGCCCAACTCCACTACGTCCACGGCTTCGACCCCAGCCCCTCCCTTCCCGTGGCCCTCTACCCGTGGATGCTCTGCGGCCAGGTCCTGCAGACCGTCACGATTGTGGCAGCGTGCGTGCCCTATCTTCGCGAGTTCCTGGAGTCCTTCCCGAGCGGCATGCTGAAGCCGGCTGGGGTGGAGCGCACGACGGGGCTGCGGTACGGGTCGGGGACTACGCGGCTTCTGGATAGTGATTCGGGGGCGCCGCCTTAGTTACCACTGGCGGAGTGGGGGTACTTTTCTATATTATTCTGTATAAATACTTTTTCATCCGCTTTCCAAGATGATGTACCTGGAGCGAGAGTCGTAAAAGATGAGAATAAGTGCTTTTTGTGGCTGAAGAGAGTCAAAGGGTAGAGTTATCTGAATACCGCCGCGACACTCAGAGAAGAAGGGATGCAGTCCGACACGGTCGTCGGGCCGGTCGAGACACAGGACGCTGTTTGCACAGTGGTGACTGGGTGCGGAGCGTGGTTGTTCTGGTCTACCACGCGGCCCATGGCTGTTGTTGCCAGAGCTATGAGGACGAGATTTGAGGTGCGCATTGTGGATAGGCGATGAATCTACAGCGCCGACCTCGTTCTGGAGGTGAATTCTGCAGCTTCGGGCTGAAAATCAGTGAACGGTTGAAGATTAGTGAACAAGTGGTGGAGTGTGTTTCATGCATCACATACCTAATTTATATACGCGCCTTCCTGTTTATAGGTTTCCTCAGGGGATGAATTGTTGAAACATCGACGTTATCTATCTGACTCACGGAAGGGGCAGTGTGGAATATTTTTGCTCACCGTGGACTATCTTCAAGAGAGGGCCACGGAAATACATCCTTGCGATGGCTCTAACACTGCGCATTGACCTCGTCGTGTCACACGGAAACCAGTGTCGCTCGGAGAATTACTTGATTGCACTCAGGGGCCGAATTTCAAATCTGTTCATTTGATCGGCGGCACGGATCACGGGGGGTGTCGCACAAATGTTGGTGCTCAAAACCTCCCAGTGGCTTGAAGAAGACGGCAACATATGACTCTTACCCAATTTGCGTAATGTTTGTAGGCTGACATAGCTGACTAAAGGGCTATTGGGATTGTGGTAGCTCGGACAAATGTTGATGGTTGTACTGTACTACCCCGTCAGCAAACGGGGCTATTTTCTACACACCTTAGGTGGCCTGAGTATTTCAGCCTCAACGATTTTGGAAGGGGGGAGGGAGACAGAGCTTTACTCGTCATTTGTCTTGGATGCTTTTCGATTGCTGAAACACGCCAATGTTCATGTTGTTAACCCGTTCCACTTTCAGTTGGAATATCTTTGTATATCGACTATTGATCTCCATACCTACCAGGGTCTTCTATTATGCTAGGCATATACCGGAAGGTAAGTGAGCATGCCGGAACGATCGAGGACGGGGAGCTCGAAGCAACCGTCGCAGACGGGCTCCTCTCCCACAAAAGGGCAAGCTTGCTACCAACAGTCAACAGCCGCGGGTCGTCATTTATGACGCTGTGTCTCTTGATATCGTTGGCGGCCAATGTCTGTTTTGTATTCCGACAGAGCCCGCAAAGTTCTCATTGTGACTCTGCGACCCTTTGCAGGGCTCCGCAACTCCAACGCTCTACATACGGTAAGTCTTCCACACATATCCCCACACGCGGGAACATCCTTACATCTCCGAATTACAAGGTGGACTCGCTTACGATGTGCCAACCCGATACTCCCTCTCCACCGACTACACCAGCAACAACCAGACGCTTGCGGATCACATGTGGGATAGCCTTAGTCTGGATTCGATGGTTATCGCTCCTACGATTGAATGGGCTGAGGAGATCGGCCTCCCTGACTCCTGGGATGGACCCAAACCGGAAGATCTACTTTGTCAAAGTCTATCATCAACTACACTGTCTGGTACGTGAGGTATTCACCTTGTGTGTCTGATATGTGATCAAAGTTGATACCCAGCTAACTCATCTTCTATCGGGTGAGGTAGAAAAACATCCGCCGAGCTTTCAAAAAGCTTCTCTCCCCGGAAACAGACCCCATCTCCTTCGGCCACGTCGAGCATTGTCTCGACACCTTGCGACAGGACCTCATGTGTCGCGCCGACGACACACCGATGCCGTCGCTGCAGCTGGTTAACGGGGCCGGAGAGGCCCAGATCCGACAATGTAGGAACTTCGAGGCGCTGGTGGCGTGGACGAAGCACCCGGACCGCGATGCTTGCTACCGGCGGCTGAGCGACTACCGGCCTCCGTCGCGCAGTATCGATCGCTATGCGTTTTGTGCTCCGGGCAGTGAGCATTTCCCGACAATGACGAGGTACTTTGAGTATTATGGGTGGCCACAGGTGGTTGAGGATTGATGATGGGGTCCGGGCCTGAATGAGGGGTAGAGGGTCGAGTGAATACTGATTGGGATTGGGTGTGAGGCTTGGTGTGGTGTGGTGTAACATAGTGTTTTTGCTCGAATTATGATAAGCAGTGAATCGAACTTCCCAGCCCCTTGCCTTTGTGTTCTTCCTTGCTTTTCAATTCTTCTTCTGTGTTTTCAAGATTTGTTGAATTTTGAGCATGGATGGGAAATCGGCATCGCAAGAACACAACTCTGGCTCTGGGAACGACGAGGGAGCATGCGGGCAGCTCCTGGTGGATCACTATGAAAATGATCCAGACAACCCACGCAACTGGTCCAAGGCATGGAGATGGTCCATCGTGGTTCTCGTCGCGTGTTTATGTGCAGAGGTGTATGTCACCAACCACGACCTTCGAATGAGTGAAACCATGACCTACTGACTCCACCACCCGATATCAGACAGCTATGCACCATCATTGCCGCGCCCGTCTCGCCTCAGATCCTGGCCTTCTTCCATTCCAACAACCTGCTGTACCGCACCCTCCTCGTCACAATCGGGAGCTGGGCGAGATCTTCGCCCCTCTCGTCTGGGGCCCTCTCTCGGAGCTCTACGGTCGACGGTGGATCTTAAACGAGGCGAACCTCCTCTTCACCGTGTTGCTTGCCGGCACAGCCCTGAGCACCAGCAGCCAGATGCTCATCGCCCTCTGGTTCCTCAGCAGGCTCGCCACGGCCTGTATCCCCATCGGCCCCGGCATCGTGAAAGACCTGTTCCCCAAAGACCAACGCGGGCGCGCCATGTCCGTCATGTCGCTGACCAGTGTGGTCGGGCCCGTGGTCGGGCCCATCGTGGGCTCGTATCTGGGCGAACGCGCCGGCTGGCGCTGGGTCTTCCGGCTTCCGACGCTGCTCTCCGGCGCTCTAGGGCTGTTAATTCTGATAGTCTATCGCGAGACATACAAACTCACGATCCTCAAATGCAAGGCGGCTGCGCTACAACACAACCCACGCACAAACACCCACCACACCACAGCCTCCCCTCCACGCACAACAGCCAACACAAACAACCTCATCCTCCTCCGCCCCCTAACCCTCCTCACCCACTCCCCGACCCTCCTCCTCGCAACCCTCCACCTCAGCCTCATCTACGGCCTCACCTACCTGATCATGACAACCATTGCCCCCGTCTTCCAAGACACCTACGCCTTCTCCGAGGGCGCCTCCGGCCTGGCCTTTCTAGGACTCTGTCTAGGCTTCACCCTCGGCGCCCTGCTCTGCAGCCTCCTCCTGGACCGCTACATCACCCGCCGACGCAGCAGCCCTAGCCCCAGCTCGCATGCATCAGCGAGCCCAGAACAACGCCTCCCGCCGCTATTCCTGGCGTGCGTACTCACCTCCGGCGGACTGTTCCTGTTTGGCTGGTCCGTTCACTACAGAATCCACTACCTGGTCCCGATCGTGGGGACGGCGATGGTCGGGCTCGGGCTGGCGGCGACGTCGATCACGGTGCAGACGTACGTGGTGAATTCGTTCGGGGTGTGTGCGGTCAGTGCCATCAGTGCGTTGATGGTGGTGAGGAATGTCACGGCCGCGGTGTTGCCGTTGGCGGGGCCGCCGCTGTTTCGGGCGGTGGGGCACGGGTGGGGTGAGACGGTGTTGGCGGGTGTGGGGTTGCTTGTGGTGCCGGTGCCGGGGGTGTTGATGCGGTTTGGGGGGCGGTGGAAGATGGGTGGAAGGAGGGGTGGTGGGGATGGGGATGGGGTGGGTGGTGGTGATGGTGGATGTGGTGTGGAAGGACACAGGGGGTAATCTACGGGGAGGGTGGGTGTTTATACCGGGCTACAATATGTCTACAGCAGAAAGTCTTGCCTTGTTTCTCTAGTGAATTGGTGCATTGGTGACTTGTGAACAATCCATGTCTTCATAAAAGGATAATTGTCCCTGGGGCTAGATAATCAGCTTCCTATTTCTTTTTATCCTTGTTCTAAGTTAGTATGCTAGCCATTGTTTATCTAAACAAACTGCCTGAATTGCTTCTACTTCTTGTATGAGGTAACGTTGAGATTTCTGAGAACTCAAATTGTAGCATGCATGAACTTTGTATGATATTTCAAACTACCTAGCTGTATGTATATTCGCCTGTATATTCGCCATTAATCTGTATGCCTTTGTACATATCCCTATAACCTCTTCCTCCATCCATTAAGCTAACGTTCTAAGATGCCACCCTAGAATAAATTAGTAGAACATCCCCACCCCCCACAAACCCGCCCACCAAACCTCAAATCTCAACCTTCACCCTGCCCGTAACCCGAACAAACACACTCTCCAACACCCTCCACACCACCTCCTTCATCCCGTCCCTCCTCAACCCCTCCAGCACCTCCCCCACCCTCTCCCCGGCCACCTCCCCATCCCAATTCACAGAATACACCCCCGAGCCCACCCTCCCATCCGTCCCCCTCGCAACCTCCATCCCCCCAACAATCACCCCACCCTCCCCATTCTGTCCATTGAATTCACCCTCCCGGGCCCGGAACCGCCCACTCGTCGCCAAGAAAACATGGCGCTCCCCACTCTCCACGGCGGGGATATACACCCACCTTCCAATCACCAACAAAATCATCCACACCACCCACCCGTACCAGCTATCCGCCTCCCGGAAGAGCCCCGACCGCACCGTCCCGGGGTACTCATCGACGAACGCGACGGTCGGCGCCCGGTCAGCCAGAGCCTCCATCGCCAGCGTCGTCATCGAGGTGACCTGGCCCCGGAAGGCGCGCATCGCAAGGCTGCGGCCGTCCGGGTCGGCGGCGTCGAGGATCGGGCCTTCGTGACCGCCGGAGAGGACGGAGATCACCCGGCGGAGGTGGCCGGGGGGTGTGGCTTGGAGGAGCGGGAGGAGGTTGAGGGTGAAGCGGAGGCGGGCGTAGTAGAGGAGGGAGGCTAGGGTGCGGAGGTTCTCTGGGGTTTCTGTGCGTGGGGGATCAGAATTCTGATTGTGGGGTGGGTGGGTTGTGTCGGTTCGTGGGCATTTTTTCTGCTTGACGGGTAGATGAGGGATGGGGGCAAAGTAACGCACCAGCTTTCCCGGCTGTCGTGCCGGGGCTCAGAAACAGGAGGTTCAGGTAGGGCTCGTCGCGCAGCAGCCTGAGACTGAGCTCGTCGACCGCGGAGAGCAGGCTGACGTCGGCCTGCACGAACATGAACCTTCCGGTCGGGTTGAGGAATTCGCATTCGTGGGCGATGCGGTGGCCGGCGGCGGCGTTGCGGCCGATGAGATACACCCGCGGCCGCAGGGTCTGGGTGTGCTGGGCGAATTGCTTGACGGTCGCTTCGCCGATGCCGCTGGTTGCGCCGACGAAGAGGGCGATCGGGTTGCGGGGGATGGACGGGTGGGTGGGGATCCCGCGGTTGGAGGCTTGGATTGTGGGGAGGGGGATCATTGTGGGTGCGTTTCTTTCTTTGGGGGGTCCGGGGTTAAGAGGGTGGATTCCGGGGTGTCATCAATGGATGAAGGATCTATCTCCGAAATTCCGTTATCTTGGGGACGGGATTGGTTTATATTCTGGCGTGTAGGCAGCGAATGGAGGGCTGGTGACCGGATTTGTAAGCCCTGCAGGGGTCTCGTAAGCTGAGTTGCCTGCTAACTCAGCACCTGGAGGTAACTGAAGCAGGCTTGGTGTTTCACAGGCTCGATTCATGCTTATATGGGACTTTCCATACAAACAGTAAAAAAGCTATGCAATTGTCTTACGTGCTCGTCTTGTCGGCTACTGGGCAAGTGTATGCATAACACTAGTGTGGCCACTTGTGATGGTTAGTGGCCAGATCTTATTCAGTGTCAGCACTCAAGACTTTATTCCATACCATGGATGTTAATCATGAACCGCTGGACTGAGCTTACCTGGATGGATGTATCAAGGAGATAAGCTCTTAAGTCCGTTGCGCAGTACAAATTAAACATACAGGAATGCGAGCACTGTCTGCTGCCATTCGAGGAAAGTATCAATGAACCTGCCAGAACCCAGCATGACAGAAAGGCATACTACCTGGTTAATCACAGGCGCATCGTCCGGCATCGGCCGATCCCTCGCCTTGGAAGCATTGAACGCCGGGTTCAAGGTTATCGGCACAACCCGCAACGTCAGCCAAGCCGAAACCAATTGTGCTGGATTCTCATCTCGAGGAGGGACCTGGTTGGAATTAAACCCTGCGGTGCCGGATGCCTACCACCAGATTGCCAAAATCGCTCAAAAGGAAAACATCGATGTGCTAATCAACAACGCCGGATACGCCTTCATTGGCAGTGTGGAAGATGCCAGGTATTTGACCCTGGGTGTTAGCGGCTCTGATACTCGATACCTGATTGCTAACGACCCTGTTATGCAGCGAGGCGGAAGTCCGCGCCCAGATGGAAGTCAATTTCTACGGGCCCCTTCGTACCGTTCAAGCCTGTCTGCCTGCGATGCGCGCGCGAGGGTCCGGCCAGATCATCCTCATCAGCAGCGGTGCTGGGTGAGCATTCGCCCCAGACCTTTCAGGCTGGACAGTAGGGACGCAAGCTAAATAGAATAGGTTCATTGCTCGTCCTGCACGGGGTGTTTATTCCGCCAGTAAATTTGCCATCGAGGCCATTCACGAGTCTCTGGCTCAGGAGGTCAGATCCTCTGGGATTAAGGTTCTGATCGTGGAGCCAGGTGCATTCCGGACGCCTTTTGCGAGTCGGATCATCACGCCTGCGCGACTCAGTGAGGGGTTCAGTCCAGGTTATAGAGGAACCGTGGTGGAGCAGATGATCAACGGTAGTCAGGCCATGAAGTCTCTTCCGGACTATGTCAAGGGTGACCCGGCTAGAGCTGCACGGGTTGTCGTCCAAGCTGTCACCAGTGACCATAATTATCTTCGTCTACCCCTGGGGACAGATTGCGTCGCGGCGTTGGAGTCGAAAATCGGAGACCTACAGCATGATCTGGAGGCGACGAGGGCTAATGCTGTAAGCACGGATGTTGATTGAACGGTATCGAATCCATTATGGAGCAAGTATGATAATAAGGACATAACCCCAATTCGATAGCCTCTATGCCTTGGAATGCAAAACAAAAGCAATACGAAACTATACCGACTTGGGCTGCTGAGCCTCCAGCTCAATATGAGGCGCCTCCCGCGCAAGCTCATAGATCGGCCGCGCCTGCATCTCCGTCGGCTGCGGCGTCCACCCCTCATTGTGAAGCCCATTATACCCGTGCACGCCATCCGGCGAAGCTGACCTCCGCCTCCGCAAGCACAGAAACGCAACAACCGCCGCGACGGCAATCACCCCCGCCGCCGTCCCCACCCCAATCCCAGCGGCCGCCCCGGCCCCAAGGCTCGATGAGCTACCCGTATGCGATTGGGCCGATGCTTCTGCTGTACTGGTGGCCGATGTAACGGTGGAGGTGGCCGTTGCGACCGCGTAGGTGGGCGTGCCGGAGGCTGTGGACGGAAGGTACTGAATGGTCGCGAGCTTCGTTGGCGCAGGGCCGGCCCACATCTCGTCCGACGGGTTGGAGCAGTTCACCGTCCCCGAGGAGTTCTCGCAGCATGCCCAGAGGCCGGCTTCTGTGTAGGTGATGCGCGCATTGTTGCGGCCGCCTGCAAGGAGTCAGCCGTGATTTAGTGAGCACCCCAACAAATCAGTCAGTCTGGGTTATGGGGTCCCACCGCATCGCGTCCCGCAGGCCGGATCCATGAGAGTCTCATCCGTGCAGTCGGCTGCATAATAGTAATCCTCGTTGTGGGTGTTGACACAGATGGAATTGCTGAGGCAGTAGTCGCCGTTGACGCAGCAGGTTACGTGGGGGTGGGTGGAGTTGGTGACGCCGCAGGCGAGGTCAGCTTGGATGTTCTGGATGATACCGTTGTGCATGCCATGGCAGACGGTGGAAGACATTAAGGCGTCGGTTGTGTTGTTGAAAATGCTACTCGTAGAGGATGGGACCGTAGAGCATGGGACGGAAAGATTTTGTCAACTGTCATGATGCGTTGGTGGAGGTTGAGAGTGAGCATTTAATTCGAGCTTGGGCGGCTAAAATGGGGCGGTGCTGGTCGATAGGTTTATCAAAAGGCATCAGCACGTTAGTTCAGCTGAGAGGAGCTAATTTATGCATGGAACGAGGCCGGATTAGTCTGCAATAGCGCAGTGATGGGGTGACTAGACTATCACCGGCGCTTGAACGGTGTTGGTACGCCGCGATATCGTTGGTCGGCAGTGCTGCCAGCGACAGACCTCGCCTGTCTAGTGTACTTTAGGTTGAGAACCGACGGAGACATTGTAACCAAAGTAAGTAATAAACAACTTCTTGAATACGTTAGCTTCAGGGAAAAAAACTTGCGATATGCGTATCACATGACTAGAGGCTGGTCTCAACCAATGACTGAGCAGAGCAGAGCAGAGCTAAGTTAACTTGGCGCCTTCCCAAGCTCAGCTCAGCGCTTAGAGCAGCAGCTTCCAGTTCATAATTACTTGGAACACCACCGTCACTACCGTAGCCTCACGCTATAACGAATCCCGTTAAGAGGAATTTTGGCTGTATAACACAATCCTACAACCGCAAGACTAGTTTTACTATGCACAATCTGTAGTATCGTTTTATTAAAGTTCTTGACAATACTAGTAGTGTTACTTTCTACATATAGTATTCGTTATGTCGAATAGGCAGAATCATTGGAAATGATAAAAAGAGATTGAAAAGAGATTCGAAAAAAAAAAAAAAAAAAACGAAGAATTTCTGCTTAGTCAGTATTTTTTTTTAAAATCAGTTAAAATTTTATAAAATGCCTCTTACATCTAATTAATGTAACAGATATCTTGTTATGACAAACAAAAGGAGCTGTCTCGTTTAATTTGTTATATTGTAAGGCTACAGTAGTACTTCTATTCCATGTCTCAGTCACTACAACATCACATCTAGTCTTCCACTAGCCTACAAGGACCATGGAATTTGTCACTAGCATCGGTTTATTTTTTCTCCCCGCGTGTTAGACCTAAAACATGTCACGACTATGTGTCGTGAATGAAACAATGGCAAGAGGTAGACCTTTGCCATGAAAAACACAATACCCGAATTCTGCTGCCAGGCTTTGCTGCCATAAAACATTCTGCGCGCTGTGCAATGCTTGGAATGTTGTTTCCCGCCAATTTTCCTGTGTTAACAATGATAATCACCTCTTCCCGTCCCAGGATGTCGACATCCAGCAATCCTGCAAAAGCATCAATCTTCTTCATGCCCAAAACCTGCATAAGGTCTACCTCGGCCAAATTCTCGACCTCTGACACCTCGCTTAGCACCCTCGCTTCGCAACCGAACGACTAAAGCTCATAGATACAATGCTGCAACTGCTTTCAATAACTTAGAACGACAAGGTCTTTAATCTATTTCAACAGAGAGATTGAGATGTCGCAATGGTGTCGCCAGAGCAAAGAATGTCGCAATTATCTTGCACAATGGGTAAAGCAAACATAGTGTCACCTTCTCAGCACCTATAAGTAGATGTGAACATGACCTGTTACACAAAGCAGATACTGCTCTGAGGACCACCCGCCCAGATTTTGATTCTTGAGTTTCGTCCACAATGGAGTCTTTTTCGTTCTCCAGAACACTTGGCTCCGCGCTTGCCCTCATAGCCAGTTTAGGACCTCTGGCATCTGCGCTGAGCGTTTCAGAAAATCCTTTGGCGACTTCGGATCAGCGAGACCTCGATGCCCTGGCAATCGAGATCTATCAAGATAACAGCTTCCCTGTTCTAAAAGCTGAAGCAAAGGCGGCCTACAAGACGGCTCACGGGTCGCCCATCAGCGACGAAGCTTCCTCGAGTCTCGACGCGGCAATCGAAGAACTCATCTTCAGCTCTGTCCAGAAGGCCGTGAACAACGACCCATACTATCCAAAAGTCTATTGGGTCGATGCTGGTCCGCGGGACTGGTTCAATCTTGAGGTACCTGGTGGACGATACTCCTACGACAATCCGGACTGCATCTATCGCACTATTCCAATCAGCTCCGACGTGGACTATATTGTGACGGGCTATCGCCACACACCAGGCCCGACCGACGTCAGCTTCTCCCTGATTAGCGACCCGAACTCCCAGAATACCGTGGCCTACCTTGCCGGTAGTGATCTGGTCATCGCTAGCGATGGCTCGTATAGTATCACGATCAACAGCTCTGCCGCAGACGGCCAGTCGAACCATATCCAGTCAACCAGTTCAGCCGTGCAGCTCTTGATTCGAAACAACCTTGGAGACTGGCTGTCCGAGACACCGGACAACATCACCGTGGAAGCAGTCAGTGATGTGACCGGTCACGACGCCATCACCAACGCCCAGATCCTCGTGGATGCCAAATGGAACCTGCAGGAATCCATCGTCGACTACGGAGTGGGGGCACTGGGGCTCAAGACATCAA